AAATTATTGCGGAAGTTCAGCAATTCAAATACGTGAGTAGACATGATATTACTAGGGCACTGAACACCAAATAATTTTTCACTATTTCTCTATAATTTAAGGAATCTGCTAACCAAAGAGAACTCGACGTTTCGGTGCCACTCGAATTAATGCAAAAAAATTACTCGATCGTGCTTCCATCTGCAAGACTTCACAGAAACGCAACGAAATCAACCCATTTCTACATAACGATTGATGAAAAATGTATCACATCCGGCAATAATGAATAGATTAAAGAAAATGAACGAAATGTCATCTACAATCTGTGGCAGAACTCAGACAAACGCCAAAGAAGATATTATGTGTTAGTGGGATTCGAAAGGAATCCTCCATTCTAAATTTCTACAGGAAAATGATTGAGCCAGACCTATACAATAAGTAACAAGATTACAAAAAGCCACTCACAAAATCGACTGGAACTGCTCAACCGAAAACGGGTTGTCTTTCACCATAACAATGCGAGACCAGATACATTTCTAGTTGGCCAGCAAAAATCGAGAAAAATAGACAGTAAATTTTAATGCATTCACCGTATAGCTCGGATTTTACACCGTCAGACTGTGATCTTTGATCATTACAATATTTCCTAACGGTCTTCAGTTTCAATAGAGGGATACAAAAATTGCTTGTTGCAACTTTTCGCCGATGTTCCACAGTGATGGGATTAAAATCCTCTCGGGAAAATGACAGAATATCATCAATTAATATGGCGCGTGTCTAGTTCAATCAAATTATTTTACAAACATGAAAAATATGCACTTAGAAATATTCAATACTTTTGTCTGACAGCCCTATATATACATATGTATACAAAGTATATCACGTAAATTGGGACCATTTTTTCCTTGCTATATCTAGATAAAACTAAATATTTCAATAAAATGTTTTTCATGTGCTAGAACTACCATTCCTGGTGCTCATACTTATTTATTATAATCACCATGTCCCGTGATTACAGCCTCAGTTCGGAATGTAAACCATACATGAGTTGTGTTAAAAATGGACCTACTTGCAAAGAATTTTTTAATAGTTCTAATAGTAATCTTACGTCAAGAAATCGTTTCTTGATTACATATAAGAAAACTCTAATGAAATTTGATTATTAGGATAATAATCTAAAAACGGCTAAAAAATTATCTTAAAATGTCCAGCCATTGTAGAATATAGGAACGACCCAATTGGCACTTAATCTTCATCTTTCGAAAACGGCTGTTTATTTTTATAGTAAAGATGACGATGTACCAAAAATAGCTTTTTGAGCCATTGGGAAAAATGTTTGAATTGAAATTTTCCTGAAGATCTTCCAGCCTTCCTCATAGGAATCTTCCTTGGGTTTTTAGAAGTCGCGTGAAAAACTGGCAGTAAGTAAATCGTCGATTTCGGGAAAAACATAAAGCTTATAATTTTGGTGGCCATTCCATAAGCTCGAGAAGACTGGATGAGAGTCAATCCTCGCTTAAGTCCTGAAAATGTTGTTGTAAAAGAAACTAGCTTTCGCCTGGCACCAAATGTGGCGGATGAACACATATCCATTGCGGCAAACGGCCTACTGAAGCCTATCTGGATTTAAACGATTAGAGTAAAAAAAATATATATGCACATATCAGTTTTGCAACGTAAACCGAGCAGGTGATGGCGGAAAAAATCGCATTAACATCACCGTAATTGGTGGCAGCTAGAGGAGAGAGAATCGTCGTGGCCCAATTTCTGATGCAAGATATGAGCCACTACGCTGCAAGGCAAAGGTGGAGTATCAAACAGAAAGTATGAAGGGAGCCGCGCTATAACCGGAACAACTACTTTGCCTATATGAGACTTGTGCAATAGATGGTGATTTCGGAGACACCGATGAGCGTAGAAAACTGGTCTCATAAGCGCCTGCCAGGGCATGCTTATGGATTTCTTCAACACCCAACTTAACAGTGGCTCGAATCAGTTGTGGATAGCACAGGTACATGGGAAAAGTTTAAAATTCACATAAGCGGTTCTGCAACAGAATACTATGCAGGCGTACAAAAAGATGAAAACCTGCACGCGTGCACAACAGAAAAACGTTTGCATTTGAATAGTTTTTAAGAGAGACTAGGGAATCGTCACGCTATGATGGCTTCGCAAGCCGCTTCAGTGCGGTCTCACTGGTAGACTTGAGGAATCGTAAGAAGTTTACTCGTGATTCTGTATGGTGGTTTCGAATGGTTTTTGGACACAATGCTCTTGACAGTACCCGCCATGGGGTTGGAGGGTATCGTCAAGACCACTGCACCTGCTTCAAATCAAAGTAAAAACAGCATTGTTGCGCGAGCGTAACCTAAAGCCGCGATCACATTCTGTTATTTTAAGAAGACGGGTCAACAGGTAAACATTGAAGAAACTGCAATGGATATTGAAGCATGTCCATATCGGACCCGGTTAGAGAAATGGTAACTCGCCCCTTAAGTTGGCGATTAGAAAATGAGACGCACCTATTTCGGAGTCCGTTACCATTTGAGGAAATTTTCAATTCGAGACCCGGTCGGTTGCAAAAGATGTTGAGGTGCACACCTGTGAATGGTAACAAACGCGGCCCAGCAGCAGGCCCCGATTCAATGCAGGCGCCGTAGTAGTTCAGGAACAGCGTCGGATCATTGGGCCTTATCGGAAAACTTCGTTATAGTAAATTATGGCCGGCTGTCGACCGCCTGTCATCGCATGTCTCCGCGGTTGGCACTCTGGCACTAACACGAATCTGCTCAGAGTGAGGATAACCGTATGCCATATATTGGGGCATCTGCCAAAAACGTTTTAATTGCTTAGTATCTTTGTTACTGCACTATATATATGAGCGAGATGTCGCTTTCTTTAATAAGACATACGCCGGATGATGATTTACACATCATGTGGCATATGTCTTGTTCGAAAGAAATAGAACACAAAAACGTCCACTGTGATATAGCAAGTTATACAATCTAAAAAGTTACGTCTAGTAACCTTAACTTCTTTCACATAATACGTTGCGATCTGAATAAATTGGTCATCATGTACGGGAAAAAGTGTCGCCACTTAGATACGCATGAAGGCAGTTTTGTCTGGGTCTGTTGAACAACTACCTAAGACGACGTGTTCCTTAAATTTAGAATGAAATTAAACATGATGAAACACAAAAATTGGACGCGTTCTTTAAGAAGAAATTCAATGGATTCACGAGAGATCTTTTATCGCCTATCTATCTATCTGATAATTAGTGATCTATGAACCCTTTGAATACCTATAGAGAAAAAAACTTTTCCCTGCTAAAATAGAGCTTTAATTTTCATTTACATTTAACAAGTCAATAGCTCCTATTTTTAATTATAATTGCTAGTTAATATTGCTTGCAAGCTTTCGGTATGATTTAGCCCTAACGCCTAACGAAATATATGTTGTATGCAAATGTCTTATATACCTCATCGCCGTATCCGTTCGTTTACAAAGGGCAAAACGAACAACCACTGCAACAGTCAACAATTACCCAATAGGTCCGCTCTTGTACGCTGGTGTCCATCTAGTTTTACTTATATTACAATAACATTTTTCTTGACCAGTCTTACGTTTCACTACGAGGCATAAACGGGCTACCATTGATTTTCTATATCCATTAAGTTAGGCGACGACAACAGTGAATCGAAAGATAAGTAGAAATGAACAGGACGTTAACTTGTCGTGTTGTTTCGTATTATACTTTACGTATTTATGTTCAGTCCAAGAACCAGGGGGCCAGTGCAAATGTAATGACAAACTGTGTTTAGTAATTAACTTTTTAACTCTAATCGAAGCGATGATATTATCTAAAACGACTATCTAACGTTGACAACGTTTTCGGTTATTACAGGTGTGCATACCCGCCATCGGCAAACCTTTCGCTGCATGTGAGCTGTACCTCCGTTGTCGTGACTTCGTTACTGAAGCAGGAACGCCGAAAGGGACGATAAGTTCCACCGGGAAATGTAACTTGTCAGAGACCCGTAGGCGTCACACTGACTGTGGCAGATAATAATATGGCTAATAGTTATAATAACAGTAATCCCTTAATAAGAGTAAAGAATAATAAATTCTTTCGTAGTCGTGTTCGAGGTAAAGGAAGAAATGCCTCGGTTTTATTTGACCTCGATCTGAGAGTGAACAAAATACGAGAATAGACTATCGGCAACGCCGAAATCAACTTACCGCATTAAGACTGCGATATGTTTCATGATTAGTTGAGCATTCACTAATATATCGCGTAGTAATTTCTGGTAAGGATTTATAAACAATTTCCTGGGATTTTTGTTCAGAGTTCATCGGGGTTACGGACATCTACAGGTATGATACTGACGCCAGTAATATGACCTAACAAGAGCATATTACATATAGAAGTACAATTTGTTACTAAATGAAGTGAGGCTCGATCTAGTAGGGCACGTATTTTTTTATTTATATAAATGCTTAGTTTGATGAATTCGGGAGGTAATTCATCATTTTGATGAGGTCGCTCTGGCTAATGTATACTAGTAAAGCAGCAGAAAAAAACGGGGCTTGTTCGTTACAATGAAATTTATTTGAAGAAATTGATGTTTATCATTTAATTTAAAAGTGAAGCGCTTGCTAAGTAAGTTAAGGCATTGCCACAAATCAGGTTACGACATTTAGAAAGCCAGCTGTGTAGGTTTTCATTTTCGACGTTCAGCATCGTAACTGCTGTAGCTCGGTGATCTGCAATGAGACCCATGCAAAAAAAAAAAGCGTTCAGAACCTGATGTAATAGCACCTGCTAGCGCAAGGGTAGCGTAGCTTTGTTAGCACGCGATCTGAAACCGTATAAAGTAGTTCATGAATTATTATTTTGTCTAAATGCTATACGCGCTACGCTGTACGCGCTACGCTGTACGCGAATTTAAAGTTTACCTTCGGGTATCTCTACGGACCGACTTCGAACGACTTCTTGTATCCCGCCGTGGTGATCTCGACCGACTTCGGGAGTCCCTTCGTACCCTCCTATCGCGACCTCTCGATGAAGAGCGTGACCGAGATCGCGAATCCCGTCTGTCTTTTAGATTTTGCCTTTTGTTGGTATTAATGTACAATAAATTGGAGTTGACTTATCTAAACATTTCGATAATTCGCAATGATCGTGAAAGTATGTAACATACTTCAGTACAATTAATCTGATTCGTGTACGTCACTATCGATGAAAACAACTACGATATTAACAGTGGTCAGAAGTTACAGCAAAGAAAAAGCTATAACAATAATCGAAATCATCGTTGAGCTTGAGCTGCACCATATACCTCTACTACATAATAGAACTTACTGCTCTCAGATATTCTAGCGTAAGATTCTTCTTTATCAAGACAACGGACGATGAAGGTTTTCCTTCCCAAAGAAAAAAACGATATTACAAGGATGTCAGCCCGTATAATGACCCATATAATTTATAACGCCCGTCACGTATTTTTACATAAATATTTTACGGCGTACAGATCTTGTTTTGTAAAATTTGCAATTCACTTAATTGGTTCTGCACATTACGAACCAACTTCGTATGTTCAAAGCAAAAACTTTCCAGGAAATACAATAGCTTAGACTATGCCGGGTAATAACTAATCAGCAAACGTCTACATGCGCGTAGAAAAATCGCAGAGACCGTATGGGGGTAATGGACATCAGCTGGTAAACCAATACAAAGTGGCGGAATATCTCTAACTTGCAAGCAGTCCTTTGAATTGTCGTCACCTACCACCACTGGTGTGGGCATCTACGAAGGCTCAACTTAACAGTTTGTTCGGGTAAATTGTAACCTGTTACGTCTCTTGAGCTCATCTTTCCTACTACTGCTGATTTTTACCGCGTCGCCTTTCTACGTCGACAATGTAGAATTGACGTAACTTTACTGTAGACATTGTCCTAAGCCCTAATGGCAAAGGGGCCCCGAAAATTCTACGTGGTAGTTATTGTGGTAGAGTTGACCCCTAAGCAGCGCTGACGCGTACAATTCGCCGTCCACAATTGAGGCGTTACAAGTGAGGTCGTCCCGTTATGTTTCAAGGTCTATCGACCGAAGTACACTGTCGAGCGGCACATTTAGACGAGTTGAACGAATTACGTCATGCATTGCACAAGTGATAAGGAGGAATGGCCAGAAGTTGCAGAAGAACGAGACTGAAGGACTCGAATAGGCTCGTGTTTTCGGAGAAGGTCGAGCGAGCTGTTGTTGTTGTTGTTGTTGTTGTTGTTGTTGTTGTTGTTGTTGTTGCTGCTGCTGTTGTTGTGTTGTTTTTCTGGTTTGGTTAAAAGGACAAAATGTAAGATTAGCATTGCTCGTTTGTCGAGTTCAACAAATTAGCTGTGCTAGAAACTAAATCGCCAACGTATTTATTGAACAGTAGATCGTTGAGCTACATGTTAGCCAATTGTGATTGTGCTGTTTCATTTATAGACGAAAATCTATGTCGTAGATGATAACAATTACTGACCTCCACCATGCTTTGCGATTCGTTCGCCTGCCATGTGACATCTCGACGCGGATGCTATGGCCGTTTAGTTCGCGGCCATCGCATCGTCTGACAGCTTCTTCAGCATCTTCCTCTCGGCTGAAGTGAACGAACGCGAATCCTGGAGGACGTCGAGCGACAAATATTCGCTCAATCTAGGTTAAAAGAGGATTTTAAAACGGAAGAATGAACAAAGATGCCTTACTTTTGTTTACCGTACCGAGTTAAAGTCGATAGTGAGCCACCTACATTGGCTGATCACAGAACACTTTTATAATCAGGCTGGCCAGAAATGCTGGACGATTAGACATAGTAACTGAGGAGGAGTTTTACCACTTACTGGTCCGTATTTATCAAACATCCTCTCAACATCTCGTTCCGTGGCTCCGTAACGCAGTCCGCCCACGTATACTTTTGCCCCTCCATCGTACCCTAACGAACCGCCACGACCCATTCGACCCTGTGTCAGTCACGCTATTTTTATAGCGGCTAAAAAGAAACTCGAAAATTTAAATTAACTTCGTAATTGCCCTGATATTTATTACTGAATATCATAATAAATTGGATAATATATTGGGTACTTACTATTGAATAAAATCGGTGCTTATCAAGCGACGCGTAACATATGTCACCAACCTAAAGTGTTAACCCAGTAATAATAAATTGAAGATCATCGAGTGAACCCACCGTTAGTCATCAGCGTCATTAACCCATTAAACCGTACAGATAAAGTATAGCATTAGCGAGACTTTTCTCCATTAACGTGAGCATAAAATTTCAAGCAGTGTTCTGTTTTTCCCATACGTACTTAGTAACCCGTCACTTCTTATCGGGTTCAAATAATGCAGCACACATTGGAGAATAAAAATTCTAATCAACTTTCACTTTATGGCACCACGGTGAAAAACTAGAACCGCACTACGGTAAGCCATGGGTATTCGACCATCGTTTTGTTCGGGTTTATTCCGAGGTCGTTTTGAAACAGTGCTTACACTTGTAGCACAACAGACAAATTATTTGAACAGTAAACATGCCCGTCTATAAGCTTACCGATGATGATTCCATTACGTTTGCACAAAGATAACTAGCTTGTGCTTAAATGACCTTGAATTTCTTTTGAGAATACTGTAAATGTGCTTGTTCATTCATTGTACAGATTAAACTTCTACCAGTTCGAGAGTCATATCAATACATACTTTTTATACACAACATTTGTTCTGCGTCTGCACACAATAAGATTTAAAATATAGAAAAAGTTGACACTCAGCGATCGAATACCAGTATGACCTCTCGAAGCTATCGGGGAGGGAAAATTGCTGATTCGTTATCTTCCTTCGCTCTCATTTGCCACTTGTATCTAGACATTGCACATGTTGCACAAGCACAGACCAATTACGTGTGCTAACTATTCAACATTTCCTACTTACCAGGGATGTTAAAGCAAAGGCGTAAGACTCGTGGCAACGTCGTTGCTGCCAGGATCCGAATGAAAATCTACATAATTGTTGTTGAAAGACAGCTGACAGGCGACTCGTACACGAATGGCACCAAAATTCGAAAATTGTTATCTTGCGAATTAACAACAGTTAGTGTAGTGCTTGTTATTGGATCATTTTCAGCTAAAACACGGTATCCAAGTGTTAGACTCAGAAATGTATGTTACTCGGAAGACCTCGTCCAAGTCGATTCGAAACCAGGATTCAGGATTAGCTGGAGTTTTTCTAGCACCAAATGTGAAGTGCAGGTCCTGACAAACCTAAGACCAAATAGTTAAGGACTTGAAGCAGCGAATCAATAAACTGGATTATTGATTGGCTAAGTCGTTTGCAATGGATTGAGACAAGGTTAGTAGAATTCTACAGAGGTTTGATGAGGGCCCTCATCAGTTGCTGTCAACGTCTAATCTGGAAACGTTTTACGAGCTCAAAAAGCATCTCAGTGTTTTAACTTGGTTAACTTTGACTGGATAACGTACCATTAAATTCATGAAAGCGGCTTCTTATAAATTGAGCCCTACACACATAACAGTTGTGAGTATCCTCAACCATAGATAATTACGTTGAAGCGCGTCTATGTTACCCTTATTGCTATAGCGGTCATTCTTACACCGATTAAAACGCTGAATGTATACACGACAAAAACAAGTCGTTCAGGTCTAACTGCCTTTAAGTTTGACTTCTTGTCGATCGGCCGTGCATTCAAAAGGTTCGATAACCTAGGTTATGGGCTATACAAAGTGCAGATAACAGAGCCCGTCTTGTCTTTCGAACGTCAACGCTCTCAGTTGGCATAGGAGTAACAGGTTAGAAGGAAACTTTTTTTTTTTTTTGATTTACGAATGGCGCCTCAAGGAGGGTAGTCCTACTCGTACGTCACAGAAATCAAACACTTACGTCTAAATTAGTTGGTGGCCAGGTGTTTTTCGTTGCGGAATTTTATGTAGACCTAGTCGCAGCCATATTCGACGGTCATACTCTTCGACGATTACACCGACGACGGTCTCGCTTTTTCTATCCAATGCGAGAGTGGGTCGAAAATAAACGGCAACAATCGATTTGTGTACTTAACGCCGTAATTATCTTTATTATAAGTGTTTAAATGTTATGCAAGTCGCAAATAGATAGTATGACTACTTGCCCATTAATATAAAAATATAATAGTCTAGTAAATAATATGAGTATCATATACAATATACACCTGTTAATTCATTAACCAGGTACAAATGCTACTAGTAAAGCCCGTGACGGCTTTTAATGGGCCGCCAAGGATAAAAAATAATGAACCAATAACATATTTCGATCACCTAACCTAACCTGGCTTGTCTTGCATGGGTACACAGCATGGCACGATTCTACGTAAGGTTGCACAATATAATAACATCAGAGTTCGCACAATTTTTTCGCGCTTAGGCTAAGCCACCTCTCGGCTGTCCAACTGATTCTTAGGTAGAGACATGACCCTCATGGCTATTAATCCTTCGGTTCAACGTTTCTGTCTTGTTTTCGGTTTGTAAGAGGTTTGTCGTTAGAAATATTTCCATTTAACATAACGAGCGACATGATCTTGACGAGGACTGCCACACAACGCACCTATTTCATATTACTCATTAGAAATTTACATGGACAAACGAAACCCTATGATATAACGTCAGTGGTCTCACTGGGACTGGAAACTACAACGATATCATTGTCCTGAAGATATTTTCCTTAACAGATACTCCATCACAAAGTTAGCCACATAAATAACTATCTAGAAACTTATAAACAAGACCAACATATACATATAGATGCAATTAACTGTGATATGCTGTACATAGGGTCTATGCGCTGTTTGCACTGTGTGCTACATTTGATGTAACTCCTTTTTGTTTGTTTTGCCTTTCTCGCATACGCAGACGTCGACTGCATCTGCGTTATTCTAGTTAGCACAGCTTTACCATCCTCCGGCGTATAGTGGACTCTTATCTTTAAATGAGCAAGGGCTGCATGTAGAAATCCCGTGTAACCCGCCGGGATAGTAGCTTTGGTATGATTGTTTCGTATGTCCATGCGACGAGTAACCCCGACCTCCTCGATAGTAGCTAGGCTGGTAGCCATATCCGCTAAAGCTGCTTGAATAACCGCCGAAGTTCTCATAGACGGAGCCACGTTCTGTCCCGTGGCCGTAAGCAGAACTGTGTCCGTCCGATCCTCCGCCGCCGACGACATAAGGCACCCCAAAATTGTTTCCTCTATACCCATAGCCTCTGCTACCATATCCACCTCCGTAACCTCCATGTCCGCCTCGGCCTCCGAGGCCGACCACTGCCGTGAGCTTCAGCTTGGTGAGGCCACCGACAACAACGCCGCCCAGAAAAAGCTTCTTCTTCTTCTTCTTAAGAGTTTCCACCGAGCTCAGCAGTAACACGCATAAGACTATTACCGCGAAAAACTTCATTGTGATGAACGTCTTGTAGACGGGAGCGTAGGCACGAAAAAAATCGCAAAGCAAATTACGGCCGCCGCACAAGATAGGATGCAAAGTCAAGCTTCACTGGATTAGGGAATAGAACAGCCTTATCAAACAATCACAAAGTATCACAATATAGAACTTACAGGCTGAGTATTTGGTCTCCGTCTACTTTTTTTACAGAGCCACCACTACCTAGTTTATCTGGCGGTATTCCGGTGATAGGTCCCCGATCTACTGGCTAAGTGATGATTGTCTGGATTGTGTTAGCATATTTATAGTGGCGTAAAAGACAAGAGAAGGAAAAAAGAGGAGCGAAGTGGTTTCATCGCTGTGAACGGCACCGGCGACAACTACAACGACGACCATGGCTCTTATTTGTGGCGTATGTTTAGCCGTGTCAAACAACGCGCACGGAATGTGTCGAGGGATGGAAGGGCAAATTGGGGAATGGTGCCTGACGCGGACACTCCAGCACCAGCGGCTTGCTGGGAACCGCATCAGCATTCGCCCAAGAAAGTACTCTTTGCGTACGATCCTTACATACCAATGGTGCTTACAATGTGGCAGCGACTTTTTCAGCTCTTACAGATGCTGTTACGCCAACTGCTGTGGATGGTGGTGCCTGATGTGGTTGAGGAAGGCGACATCTCATGTCAGACATGATGAGCTGGGAGCAAGGTAAGCAAGCAGACGCATAGTGTTCACTGCTAGCGGTTTGTAAGCAGAAGGGGCTGAGCCAGCAGGGACAGCTAGATTCGCGGCGGAGGGGCCGAGTCTGGAGCCATTCGGTGTGGGGGCGACGTGTGGTACCCTTCGTCGTCGTTGTTGTCGAAGACGCGAAATATAGCTTGCCAGCTGACGAGTGATCAATACAGAGGCACACCCCGTCACATCGCATAACACTACACACAGCAGCTGAAACAGCGGCGGCAGTAGTTGCCGTTGAACGAACGTACACAACGCTGAGTCGGTCGGTTACTTTATCAGGTTGACTTCTTTGTCGATTGTGACTATGCCACAAGGGCGAACGCGGCACACACCTCGTAGGACGACCAAAACTGTCAATGAAACGACTAATTTTGTGACATCGAACGAGACAAACGACTGAAATGTGAGGTTGGCTAATACTCGTAATAGCTATCGCCTAGGTGCCAATGGCCGAATGGCCTAAAAACTTGTAATTAAACGAGGCACAATCATTATCGATTGAGCACGTGTTATAATATAGCCCTTTGTATTCTTGATGCACTATTTCGTTCGATACTTTGTTGGAATCCATATCAAATGATGGTATCCGTCTATAATTCGATTAAAAAGAGAATATGGATTTGTTAAAGAGGGATAGAGAAACAAGTTATAAGCGAATAGTTGTCTCATCTATAATGTGTCCGCCACTTAAAAACACCTTTTATTGCACAACGATTCGTCGAAGCTCGACTAGCGGTTTGCGGTTTTTGCGGTACGAGACATGCTTCTTGGCCGACCCCTAACCTCCGTAATGCCTTATAAATTCGGAATCGCTTCGAACTTTACCACGCAAGCCTTAAGGCTCGCAGGTTTGGCCTGGTAGCCACGCAGTCCCCCTGAGACAATCTCAAATATTATTCAACAGAAACTGTGCTGCACTTTCCTCCTCATGGAGGCCACTTTTATATGGAAAATGATACGAATATTTATCCAATTAACGTCTGTAGTTGATATCAGATCTCTATCGAGCACGAGGATTGTCGCGCATTGCTGACGAAGCTAGAAGAGATTGTATTTGATTTATGGAAACGATGCAAGGCTACCAGGGCGAAGAAATCTTGCAATGGCAGTTGCTGCATTGTGATCAGCATTGTACAACTCGTGACAAGTGCAAATGAAACCCTAGTTATTACAATGGGTTTTATTTATAAATTTACTGAGGAAAAAAACGCATATTTGTATGGTACTATGTTTGACCCACCTCCGCTAATGGTTTTTTTAAAGGCGGTAAGCTAACGACAAGATGTCACTTACTTCCTGGCCCGTGTCACTGATTAGTTTTACTGCTATTGGATTAATTTTTCTGCTCTAATATTATGTTCGATTGTTGTTATTCTTTTTCGTCTGCTACATTTGTTATAGGACGACTCTTATGTCTGCTTCCTCATTTTTAGTTCGTTCAAGTCACCCCGGTACGAACAACATATTCGCAACATACATACAAGAACATAAATATAATGTAAAGATGCTAAAAAAGAAAAACGCCCTCTAAATTAATAGAGCTGCTGGCTAATATTTAACGAATTAAGTATCGGCAAACTGAGAGACTGGCCGATTTTGTTAAAATACATGCAACTAATTAGTCCTTACACCGACGGAAATCACGTCTTTGTATCCTTAAGGACTTAGTTCCTACTTTATCGCATGAGCAATGTGGTCTTGCTTCCGAAGGGCCTGAACTGAACTCACATTTATGGTTATATGATTTAGCCCACCGTTTTCTGCCTCATGAAGGCAATATCTGATAACTAATATTAAAGCTAGAGATGCCATTATCTCACAGTAGAACATAATTTATAATTTGTAAAAAATTTCGGTGAATACAACGCGGCCGCTATCCTGGGTAAGGTAGAAGCCTCTTTACATTTTGTGAGTCATACGACTGCATAATTTATATAAATATATATATATATACATACATACATACACACAACAAGTACATTTGTTTGCAAACTGTCAAGAGACATTCCCTCCCCCCCCCCCTCCATTCAGTATAATATTCTTTATCAAGAAGTTATTGTCCTTGAAGCCTCGTGACTGGCTTGGCGACGAGCAGCACTAGCCAAAAAGCTTTCGCAGATATTTATAATTATAATAATATAAACCGCCATTATTTCGTAAAACATGCGGAATTTTTCACAGATTTTACGTGTAAATGGAGGTCCTTCTAAAAGATTTGCCCTGGCTCATATTGAGGTATAAAGATAAAAACGGGGAATAGGCGTCCATTATAACCGCCGCGTCGCTCATGGGTGCCACGTCAGATCTAAACGATCGAGCAACGCCAGCTCTATTCAATAAAATAGAATATGAAGACCACTGGCAGAAAACCCGTCAGCATAACTCTATGCAAAACTAATATATTATTGAACTACAAAAACATATCGATTATGGATTAAGTCAGGTAATCGCAGGTAAACCTCCTTCCGGAGCCATTGGCACTAAGTTGGAACAGCTTTTAGACAACCTAAATTGTTTTGTTTGTAATAACTTACCGTTGTTTATCTTGCAGATAAATAGTGAATTAAAGCAGAGAAAATTCGCCATGTACTGTCAACACAACGATCGTTTAAAATAATGGATGCACACATTTACAAGCGTTTGCTTGTAATAGGTTCCTAGAAACGTTTGCCTTTTGTAATGGTTAGCATCATTGTGTTCCATTAGACTCGAAACGAGTTCCTCTTATAATTAGGATTGCCTATCGTACTGTCTGCCAATAATATGTGTACAGATCCGACAAAGCACACTTCGTTTATAGTGTGACACCCCACGAAGAACTCGAATCAGACCGTAGCAATCAAATGCTATCCATTTGCTATATTCTTAAGAAGCCGACTGAAACAGAGGAAACGTTTCAAAATCCGAGGTGACTGGTCCGATTTGGCGAGTTGCGTCGCATTAGCAGTGACTTCTTCTCTGTACTTAGAATACTTGTATCTATTATAGGTGTGACAATATTCAGCCATGGCGACAACAAACGCTTCCAATCAACTACATTTTGGTAAGACGATGAAGCTTTCAAAGGTGTCCACAGGCAGATGACTTTCGGACGGGTAAAATCAGAGTTGATTACATGACATGTCGACGAAAACTCCGGCTGGAGACTTTACGTTAAAGTCTCCAGCCGTGCATATCGATACGAAACAGGTCAGTGGTGTTTCCCATATACAAAATGAGAAGTCGCACATTGAGAAATATAACTAGTAATAACCACGTAGGTTTTTTTTGTCGCTCATCCGCCACGCAGAAGAAGGAGAGCCCGTCAGCGAAGCCAAACAATGGAACAGTGGAGACCCTAGTGGGAGCAAAAATAAATTATTGCCATTATGAAGGTCCTCATCCAAAAACAAAAACTGGCCCAATTTATTTAACCTCTCGAGGTGGTCGGAAAAAATCAGGTATATTCAGTCGAATTTGAAAGTGCTTATTTTGATGACATTAAAGTGTTGATTTTCGGATCTAAATAATGAGGTACCCATCTGCAACATCCATGACGCGTACTGATCGTTTTCATGTCCTGTTTTTAGTTAGCCTTTAGAGTGCTTTCAGGTTTTCTTGAAATGGTAATTTCCAGTGGCTATATTTACAACGCCCTTAGTTTGAATCTTTCCAGCATGGTAATAATCGTTACCAAGAGCTCACAGGAGATGACAGCATCAACTAAAGAGAACTAAACTTTCGCTCCTTTTGTAGTAGCAATTTCTTTTGGCCTACACTTGGACACGGATTACAACATTGAACATGAAACGTTCATGTTTCGCCTTCAGCACACTTCACGGGTTTTAACGTAACATATCGAAGGTCGAAAATCGCTGGCCCTATCGTTAGATCTAGTTTCTCAACTCCTACAGAGCCTACTATATCCAGAATTTTGAACAACCTTGCATAAAGGTTGTGAAGTACAATCTATACAATTAGTGTTGTATAGGTTTAGCTTAAAGACGGGAACTTTTACGCTTTTATGCGTGTTCGCTATTTTCTGCAAACGGACACTTACCATAAATTTAACAAAGACTATGTAGTCTTTTAAAATGTCGAGCATTCAGGTAGATAGGTAGTTGACTCTTATCATTCGCAATTCAAATCCCAAATATGGTCAGCATAAACTGCTTTGAATGATTTAAGCTCATAAATCCACCTATTTTTAACGTTACGAATAAATGTACTAAACAATGTAACCCAGCTACAGAGATTTCTGAGAAAAGTTAACTATTGGAGAAGGCATATTTATTTTACATCTCTACCAAGATGAGGTTTCTTCATAAAGGCACTTTTATTGATGTTCACCAAAAATACGGTATATACATACAAAATCCGTATTTAAGATGTTTTCCGTGCGTTGTCAAAAACTATTAAGACGGCAAAAAAAAAATAAGTACTTTTACAACTCTGTAGTTGTTCACATATTGTACAATTATGTCAACTGTATTTATTCCTTAAAGCCATCTTTAATAACCTTGAAAGGATTTAAACAATCGAAGGTACACTTTGTGCGACAAGGCGTTTACGACGTTCAGTCTGCAACTTTTTCCGCCATTTTTCCTGGCGTCGTTCAGGTTCGTCGTATAGCTGAAACTCAGAAAAAACAGTAATTAGCTAAAAGCATATTAATTGAGCTCCTTTACATAATTTTAAGAACCGAATCTTGTAAGTGTAAAGAATTCCGCTTAATTCCGTGCACATATCTGCATCCTAATAATTCGTTTATAGAATAAATCACGCGTGGGGCTCAAAACTGTCATAAGTGTTAGAGCAGCACTTGCGATGCTTTGCAATACGCAAATGGATGATAGGTAGTTTTTTTTGCCAGAGTTGATGGCAGCCACTGATTAATGACGTCTTGATCGAATTTATCGGGAAAATGCACATTTTCATGAAGTAGAAGATCTGGCGTGTCCTTATAATCAGTAAGCTTCGGAGGTTTTTTGGCCTGTGCCGCTAGAAACTCTTCTAGTGAAGTAGTGCCGAACATCGCAGAGACGTGTGCGTCTCCGGCGCTGCCAATGCCCTGAAATGTCAGCAAAATTACAAAGTTACTATTGTTGTTCTCGATCATAACGAAATTGGCAATGTTTCATCTAATCTATTCGTAATACTCTATCCAATTGTTTAGCCTTTTGCTGCAGGCTATTTACAGTTTATTAGAGATACATTTAATTAGTAGCGATTACTGTGGATGTACGAATAATTTCGAAATTAACGTTGTTTGAAATTGTTACAATAAAGTTTCATAAGGAGGTTCTGAGTCAGCTATCACTCGATGGTTGTTGTCGTTGTTCGGCAAGCTGTGTTAATGAAAACTGGCCGTGAACAATCATAAACGAGGTCGTAGGATAAGAAATTTTCAGCGGGAAATTTCAAATTCGGCCCCAACCTCATCTGCTTTCGTCGGCTGCTGGCTTCGTTTGGAGAGAAAATTTTGCTGGCTGAAACCTGCGTTATTGATACTTTCGATAGCTCGTAAACGCTCTGCTTCATTTTGCACGGTCGGTAGTTCCACTACAAATGCGTCGCGAGAACACTCCTAGAAAATGCCAAACGAGTGAAAAGATTTGTTAAAAATCATGCTTCCTACCCATACCTGATCGATTAATCAAGTTTGTTACTTATTCATCTGAAGTCGTTCCCACCGACTTGTATCATTGCTTATCGCATATTTACCTCTATCAAATACCAGCAATCGGCTTAAAAAATCTTTTAATTGAGTCTCGTCTCGTATTTACCTTCGTATCTATATACTCTCGGCGATCATCACGCTTTCTCGTGTCTCGCTTCCTCGAATCAGCGCTACCACTACTAGAACGGCTACGCCGCCTCCTAAAATTTACGCCATATGTAAACAATATACATATAATGGTTAAAAAGTGCACAATCTGTAAACCTGAATGTAATATAGTTACAATGTGGAACCTTTATTTTTGCCTTCAAGTCAAACGCAGTTCTTTCATTTCGGTGGCACGATAATCGCTTTTTAACACTTGCGAGCCGCTAATCACTAATAAGTTTAGCCGCAGCTATTTTCATTTTAATGTAACCTAGAGCTATCATTTCCTCACTACGTATCTATAGCATTTGAGTGGCGCAAAAACCTAGTTCTCAGTAAACCCCTATAACTTTTTTTATCAGTACCGTGAACGGCAATACTTAACATACGCATCTGTAAGAAGTAACCAGACGCGCAGTCTATGTAACACATCTAATAACCACTATGGTTCTGACAAAATGAAGAGGTAAAAAAGGCATAAATACAGTGTTTGTGATGCAATCACAAAAAAAAAGCTCTATTTGTATTGTTTTACGTCCACTATCGCACAGCAGCAGCAGCAGCAATAGGGGGATTCGCCTAGACCTGGTTATGAACTGTCGGCAGTTTTTGGCCGTCAACAAATCGCTCCAATCATCGTTCAATACTCTAGCTGTATAGCTCGATTGAACAGCGACACATATAGCCGATGGCAAATATCGCCGGACGGTTAGTGATGTGATGATTGTAACGAAGACAATATTTACATGCTGTTCCTTACCTCCTACCCCCCCCCCCATCCCAAGCTTCACCGTCGTTTGACTGCTGCTGCTTTTCTTGTTACCTTTTCTTTAACTTTTCGTTTCATCGCTTCGCGCTGTTTCCTTCATTCTTGTTCGCCTCCATTTTACTTCTCCTATACCACCTACTGGTAGCCGTACACGAAATAGGTTTCGTATTTATTCCTGCCCTCTCCCACCAACGCCTGTCCATTCTCATCGGCCGCAGCGTCCTTAACAGATTCTACAGGTTTGCTCGATGAATAATTAACGAATGATGACGTTCGCGTATTGACATTTTTGTCTATCTTTTGTCTGTACATCAGGCTACTTTCGACAACGGGTTTTTCCTGCTGTACAATTTCACCTTTCCTTCCCACGGCTTACGCTTCACGGTCTCCTGCGTCGTTGGTGTTCAAACTAGCTCTTAAAGATGGTATACTCACTAACATTTTCGTACAAGCCCTTATGCCTTGTTAGTCGATAAGTCAAAATAAGACAGGTTATAGAATAAGGTGCGAGTTGCATTGAAAACTGCCTGCCATTTGTTATTAGCCTCTTTTTTTTCTTTTTCTTCTTATCTATTAGCTTCTTTTTTCTGCTTTTTGGGCTAATTTTCGAATCTTAAGGAGCGCAACTGATATCTAAACTATATCAAATTATATTCGATCACACAAACTAGATTCTGATTTTAGTTTCAGTCATCATCTCAGATGCATCTTCTGTGTATGTATATATATATATATATATATATGTCATGTAACAGTGATAACACTTTACGGTACCGATATTCATGAGACAAATGAGAAAAGAAGCTACTAAGAAAAAAACTTAATAGAAATAACAACAGAAGTTAGTAATGTTGTAAAATCAAAATATGCCAAATAATTCACTACTAATATTATCATTTATTTCACTGGTTATACCTTTGTTCTAGAACTGTGATTAATTCATAATTCGCATCGAGAAAATAGAACGTTACTTGAAACGTTTACGTAAATTCATAACGCCAACACTCACATCCAAGAATATAAATCAGGCTGTTGGCCTAAAAACCTGAAGATAGATCGCAGAAGAAGCGAAACAATGTTTTCGTTTGGCAAGATACTGTTCATATTACAAGCTTCGTGTTTGTCCTATCCAGTAATGTCCTGTAATGGCACAAACCATAACAATGTTGTACAGGAACTGTATGTTAACCGTGAATTAAGAGGCAAATGTAGGTTCATATGTATATAGTATAATATCATGTTTGCATAAGCGTATAGCAATGCAACACGAATTTTTCTAAGAAGAAAAGCGTTTCGAGCCCATCAAAGTTTTTTTCCTTCAATTTTTCAGTCAATCAGGATAGTAATATGACGCAGGAGTCAACGCGTATGGTACAAAAAGAGAAACTTGCGAAATTTAATGAAACAAAAAGCGCAGACCTTGTTTTTATCTCTTTTCAAGGTCTGACAGAAGACACGATAAGCCGAACCCAAAGTCAGGCTTAAACGTTGACATAGTCTGGAAAGATTCTTACAAGACAAGTATATTTGATATGCTCAACACACGGAGGTTTTTGCGTTCATCGGCTTTTTTTTTGATTTCAGAATATGACAGCCTGGGCTATATAGAAGCACGAACAAAAAAACATATCCGAGGACAATTCGAGCTTGCGTCAGCTATTTTGTTTACAATGCGGCGCTTATTGCATCATGAATGAATCAACTTCGCACGACATAGCGGTCGAGGAAAAAATATTCCAGTAAACTTATAAATATCACAGGCGACATTTTATGAACATAACATTGCATAGCTCTAAAACGTTTGTAACTAACGTGTATAAGAAAGACTAGAGATCTCAAGATAAGACATACAGACAGCCTGCTCAAACGCATTAATATGCATCCGGACAAAGAGAAAGTTCTACCAAACCCTACAGTACCCTCAGCGGAGGTAGTCAGAAGAGGTTTGACATACGTAAGAGTTTTTTTTTAATTGACTCACAGCAGGAGACAAGTACTATCTCACATTTGTGCATCGTCGACGCGTTTCAAAACAACAAGTGCCCCAGTTTAACCTTTTATGGCATCCGCTTGTTACGTGCTTAACTTTTCATTTGCTCACTATATAAACAACAAGATAAAAATATTTATGACATACTAAAAATGCACGGCTTACGTGACCTAACAGGACACGAGAACAACAGAACCTTGAGGGACAACGAGAAGGCGATGCGCCTACCTTGGGGAGCGCGTGCGTCGTCGTTTTATGTCTCTCTTGTTAGATCGTTCTCGTCGATCCCTCGAGCCACTTCGTCGTTTTGATCTACTCCGACTGCGACGATTCCTATAATAAAAGGAAAACGCAGAAAATACTATTTGGATACTAATAAGTCTATAGCTTGGGTATATTGATACAGTACGTAAACAGCGCTACGAAGTTTGTATCCACCTGTTGTTTAGCAATACACAGAACAGGTGCCCATATGTATGTGCTGATGGCATTATATGAGCAACGTATGAAATTCATTACGTACTTTTCTCGTGAACGATCTCTCGATTTATTTCGCCGCCGTGAAGTCGAGCGAGACCTTCTGCGCCGACGTCGTTCCCGTGAGTCGTCGGAAGAGCTCGATGAGGAACTGCTGTGAATCAGTTAATAAAATATAACAATATCATCGGATTTACTTTTTTGATGTTACACAAAATAGTTAAGTCCACCAATAATACAGCTAAACATAAGCTCGTGAATTTCAAATCAGAAAAATAAAATGAAGATAAGTATTGAAGCAGGTGCTATATACACGGCACGAATTATAGCATAGAGACTTCGGAAGATTTTTGTCATACACTACTATTAGCTTAAAACCCCAATACGGCTACCTCGTTTCATGCCGGAAACTAGTCGCCTGAGGCAGTGCTTAATGATAGTACCGAACGTAAAACGCAAAACATTTCTAGAGTAGCTTAACAGATGCGTTTCCCGTATAGAAACTCTCAGTTCTTTTTTGCTTCTACGATCACTGTTGTGCCTGAAAATTTTTGGCTATGTCCAATTGTTGTTGCTGAATAATAAAATTAATTAAAACAATTGCACTAATGTATCATAAAATGTCGATTTTTTTAAGTTAATAACTGCTACTGCCATGGTCTCAAATAGAAGCCTTTATTGACAAAATTGAGACTAAGCATCTATGTGAAGCTTTAAAATCGGAACATAAAGCTCTTTATACATATTACTATTCAGAAACACGAGACTTCTAAATTTCAATCTTTGTTGTACCGTAAAAAGCTGGCTAAAAAGGCCTCCTTTGTAGCAAATTTAAACCCCATTATATTTCAGTCATAGCATATTCTCTAAACGCTTATAATAGGAATTCATTTGCTTTTACTGACATTTGCCATGAATGGAATAAGATGGAGTAGTTTTGGTAACGATGCTTAAAAGAACTAAGACTAAAAGACCGTAAGGTATTAGTTTTAATCTATCGAATGGAGACGGACCTTGCTGATGAAGAGCTAGAACTCCTGTAACGTTTCCTTCGGCAAGAGCGATGGTAGTCGTCCGAATCAGTTGAACGAGCCATTACTTTTTTTAGGAGAGATGAACATTTACGGCACGCAATACAGAACTTTATATAGTCACAATAGGTTCATGCTTTAAAATAGTTTTTTTTCATTCACGCACCCTTCATTCCGATCAAAAAGCTCGGGACTGATTTCGATTGTTACTCGGAATCTGTTTATCTATTTCCAAAGGACTTGTTACTCAGAATTTAGACTAGTAAGGACCGTCTTCGAAATCTAGCCGCTTTGTTTACAATGCAGTGAGGGCGACGGCTGAAGGAAAGGGAAACCACGAGCGAAACGCAGAAGCTAGCAAGAGGATAACTAAAAAATAGATTGACATTACGGTGAATATGCTTTTAGAAAAAAAAATGGCTATCCGTTTTGTATCCGTATTGTAAAGTCACTTGACGAAAAATAACAATAATGAACAATAGTGAAAGAAATATATTATAACAAAATCCCATTAAATGATCTACTTGTTAGATTTTTTTCAAAACAGGCGAGTGATGTGAAGCAGATGATATCTCATTTAAATTAACATTTCATAACGATACAACGACCAGGTGAATGCAAAGTTATGTACTAACGATAAAAGCTGGAGAAAAACGTGAGTGGTACTGATATCACATTGCCACCGGGTGGCAATCCTGGAGTGAGATCTCCAAACCATCAAGTCATCAACAAACATCACGGGGCTGGGAGAACGTGGTCAGCTGTGACACGAAAGCGTCGATCAAACAGTACCAGAGCCACAGCTGGTTATCGACAATATATGAATTTTTCCAACATTTACTACTTGAAAAACTACTTTCGTGCGTGGCGTTTCGTGAATCGTATACAAGATGGGTGGGCTTAAAGTTGTCGTGTGTGAGGACCTTTGGAAGGTTTGTACCAATAAAATGAGCCGTAAGTTATTTGAATGCAGTTACTCACAGAAAGCTTGAAGGTGGCTAATGCCAGCAAGCGGTAGATTAGTGCACGAGAATGACGTGCTTACTACTTGCATGACAGCTACTCAAAACCGCTCTTTCAAATCGTGTACATAAAGCAAGCAAAAAAACGTATGTTGTCTTCGCGACGAAGCGTTATATAATGTCTTATGCTATGATGTTTTTACCATCACGAATCAGTAGTCGTTGCTTTAAACGATGGATCGTTTTACAGTTTCCGCTACCTCAACTATTGCGGCTCTATTTTTCTACCATGCGAATTCTAAGCGCAGAGTCGTAATTCTCATTTAGCATTATCTCGAAAACATTGCGGGACCATAAATGTTGCGCCAGCCCTCTGTAAGAACGCTTTTCTGTGTCGCTATTGTAAAAAGTTCTTATATTGAAAAATAATAGTTTTTCTTATGAGTTAAAAGTATTAAGTACGTTTTTGTTATCTTATGACAAATTATTATTATTATTACATTATTCTTTTCTATTTGTTTATATATGTTTATATATTTATTTAGACAATTAATTATATCAAAAGGGTAGTTTCAGTTGAGTGTAATCAAGGTAGAAATCTGACCTCATGGCATTTAGCAGTCAACTTCAATTTGATTACCAAAGCAATGTTTTTTTTATAAGTTGGAGTGTTATTTTGAAAAGTTTTTTTTGAGTCATATACAGGCAAAATACTAAAATTGTTAAGGAATTATAATGATGTGGTTTCCCATTCGACAGATAGCAGCCCTTACACTAGTTCCTATAAGCAACGCTATTTTTTAGTGGGCTTAATTATCCATTACTCTGCATACATTAGGAATAGTTCCGCGGCCTGGCATTACGGTTTAGTATATTGCATGTCTGCAACATGAGTATTCATTTTCCAGAGAATCCAAGGTTGCAAAGACGTATTCCGCACATTATATGGCTTCGTCGCTCAAGATGGTGTACATAACCTAACAGGTTGCACACTTTTGCGGGAATCATTCCCTTATGGACATCCAGCGCTCGGAGTATTTGCCAGTGATCCGGAAGCCGACGCGCACAGCCTAATATCCAACTGCGAAAAAAGGCTACAATGCATTCGAGAGGTCAGCTCTTTAGCTATGTTAGACCATTATTTTTAATTGCATTTAAAGGGACAGCTTAAAACAATAGGCTCACGTATAGTATTAGGCAAGGCGATTAATAAGGCGTCGTTCGTTTGAACACCAAGGATCAGGGTCTTTGCACTAACAAATACAATCGCATTGCCCTGCAGGCGTTAGATGCTCTGGATTTGCCAAACCTGGTGCTTTTAACGACTAAGGCCAATGGTTCGCCATCAGCTCGGCTGGTCGCCAAGGATGCCTTATACGAAGAGACGGCCATTTGTGAGCTCGCAGACCTCAGTTCAACACAAGGAGTTGTACTCAGAACGCGACTGAGTGTACCATTAAGTGTCGAATACACTGGAGCTGAGGGTAACAGAGAAAAATCAAAGTCCTTCTACTCGTTACGACAATCTATTCAAGTATCGATGTTTGGAAACAACAAAAACAGATGACTTTGAATATTTAAAATCGCCATACGATGTTGATACAACTAAAACTCGTATTAAAGAAAACACCATTGTCGTAAGTTACTTAACATATGAAAATACGTTTGTTTAAACAGGTCAACGTATTCCTCTAGTTATGAAAAGGTGCGCTCGCCGTGCATCCTTTGTAGGTTGTGCTATTATGTGTTCACTGTGTCTATACATATCTGCCTCTCTAATACCCATCAGGCCAATTTCGTGGTGATGTGAAACACGCGATAAGCACCTCGTGCCGATGGCTTGCCCCATCATGTGTAACGTTCGAGTTACGCGAACAATTTATGAAAGGTCAGGAGCAAGTGACGCTCGGGGAATTCTTGCGGAAGGTCCTGGGAAGAAAGTCTGAACCCGATGGCATGGTATGTGAAATATGGCATACATTATTGCTTACAGAAAATTACATCAGCAGTGTTTGAAAAAAGGGTACTTACTGCATGCAAGTTAGAAATTCTCAAGAAGTTCCTCTTGTTTGAAATAGTGTAGTTGGTAGTACTGTGTTACAAATCTAATTTTAGCTGTAGGAGAATCTTCGTGTCTATTCTGTCTGTACTAATTTTGTCCGTTTTCGTCAACAAGAATTAGATTTTCGCTAGATTTCGTAAATTTTGCTAGTTTTTATGGTAATATAAAATAGTTTTCGTGACTTCATCTTCAAACATGTAATATACCGATTTTTAATATATGCCACTTTTTCCAAATGCTCAGGATAAGCAGGAAGTAAATACGATTCGCTTACTAAGCGGCGAAAAAGTTGTGTCAAGCTGTGGTTGTCCTCATACGCCCATAATCGACGTGCAGCGCCGCCGTTCGCAACGCTTCGAGTTCCATCTTAATCTCGACGTAATCTCGTTCACTGTGTATAGTTTATCCGTGGAACACGTTACCACTTTACTTACTAGAAGTCTTCACCAACAGGTTAGACCAGTAGCTGGATAAGAAACTGCGTTTTTTTTTACTTACGTATGTTTTTAGCGGTTCTGTTTACTGTTTATTTATTATATTATAGCGATTCTGTTTATGTGTTCTGGGCTATTAAATTTCGATGATAAGCTGCTAATAGTCACTATAGCTATAACATTTATAACAAAAGACTAGGAGGCAGCAGTCAGCTGATTATTTTTTTCCACAACTTTTGTCCCATTTATAAATTGCTCCGCAGGCGTTCTCAAGCATCGAGGCAATTTGCAGCTCTGTCGTCTATGGTAACCAGCTGATTCCACCGACCCCGATGCATTTTCAAGCGGGAGGTGCCCGATCATTTGCTACGGTACTATTTCCCGCTAATCGCGTCCTGCCTGCATACAGGCTAGCGCTCCACGCGGATCTTCTACTTTCAAATGATAAGGGACCATTGTTCTCGTTAGGACAACATATTTATTTCGCAAAGGACTCACCAATCTATAGCAAGTTACTCGTAAATCCGCACGCGAAAGTCAAGCCTCCGGCGCGCGCCGATCGTGTAGCAATTGTTCGCGGGAACTACCTATATTTTCATTATATGCAAGAGAAGTTTGACGACAGCGGCTGGGGTTGTGCGTACCGATCACTACAGACGCTTTCCTCATGGTTCCTTCTGCAGGGTTACACCGATGTGAAAATACCGAACCACAAAAAAATTCAGGTAAGTTGACCTCGTATATCTATTGCATTGTGTCATTAGCTAGGCACTGGCGTGACAATTTTTCTGCACTATTTTCTAAACGGTAGATTAACTGATAGAAACCATGCCCTTTATGTAAACATAGGAAACGCTAGTTGAAATCGGCGATAAGGAGAGCAGTTTTATTGGGTCAAAACAATGGATTGGCTCTCAGGAGGTGTCCTTCGTCCTTAACCAACTTATGAAAATCGACAGCAAGATTATTAGTGTCCCATCAGGCTCCGAGTTGCCATTTAAAGCTCAGAATCTCATTACACACTTTGAGACTCACGGGACGCCTGTAATGATTGGTGAGTTTACCAACGTCAATTTCAAAAGATGCGCCATTTCATTTTTAGTGGTTTCTTTTAAATAGGAATTTACTACAAATAGAATTATTGCTTTGTGTAACTTTTCTCTAAACTCCTTTACCTAAAAAGCATGGGTCAGGTTTCTCCATCGAAAATTACAAGCTACAACAGCTAGCCCTAAAATACAGGTGATGCAGTACGTTTGCCTTTAGTCGTTATATGGTAACGCTTAATAAGAAAAGCAGTGCAAATATTATGACACGGGTCAGATCTCATAGATTCGGGACGTGTACCACCTTGGATCATCTGCTAAATATTTGCACGTTTTCATTTTTACGAATTCAAATTAAATATGACTCTAACACGAATCCGTTAACAAACGTGCACAGGTGGGGGCCAGCTGGCTCATACGATTTTAGGAGTTGCAGTCAACAGTGAAACAGAAGAAACGCATTTTCTGATCCTCGACCCTCACTATACAGGCACAGAGGACATGCATACCATCACCGCAAAGGCAAGTATAACGTACAGCTGTTTACGGTACAGGTATTACTAATATTTATTCCAGACTCCAGCGTCTCTAAGCAAAGTATCGATATCGTTATACAAACCATTTTAATTTTCTAAATGTCTTCAAAAAGATGAAAATAGTCTTCTACTCAAGCTAATTAGTCCATCTAGTCGTATGCAATTTTTAGTAACCAAAGGAGATTTCTGATACAGCTTGACAATTCAGTCTGTCAATTTCATTGATCTACAATCGTAAAAGCGATACAGAACACTGATGGTACATATTTTCTACTCCTTAGTATCCTTAGATAACAAAAAAAAGACCTCGAATAGTTTATTCATGTCTCAACTATCCAAAACGCTAGAAGCTAAGCAAATGAAGTTTTCTTATAGCTGTATATATTCCTGTTTAAAAATAATCGGTTAACTATCATTCAAGCGGAATTTTATTTCGGAATACATATTATAAAGACGCAGTCCAGTTAGACGTGACTTTGTCATTACTCGACATCACAGATTGTATTAGAAAACCTCTAACAACAGAATTTTTCAGGGATGGTGTAGCTGGAAACCGTCGACATTTTGGGACAAGGCTTCATTTTATAATATGTGTCTTCCTCAAGTTTCCCGATATACACTTTGATAATATATTAGCAAAAATCTAGTTTATATAATAAAGTTGTTAAATCTGCAATGCTCTCTTCCGTTAGTGTCTTAGGATGTTATACATTACTTGCGATACAGTGTTCAACAATTGATAATAATGCATATTCAAACACATTATATGCAAATGTCGTTTGCCACAACCAGAAAAATCGGTGATTAGCGACGGTAAATGTGGTACGCATGCTCCTACACACGATACTACATTGATCAGTGTTCATCATCATCCAGCTGGGCACCAATTTACTTCTGATTGATCCTGTGGAAATCGCACATTATCAGCATAAATAAGCGAGCCCACTGGCCACATTCTATTTTTACAATACCGCTACTAACTGCTTACTTGGTCGCCACGGCCGCATGCATGTTCGTACCAAGACCGCAAACTACATTGAAGAATTAGCTATTTAAAACTTTTCTTTTATTCTCGTTCCAAAGGAACAGATAAAAATTGTAATAAAATAAAGCCCACCGAGTCCTCTTCATAGAACACCTGTTTGAAAGTGGTCTCGCTTCTGCTTAGCGGAGGAGGTTACCTGCCATATAAGAAACAAACGTTTGTTGCTGCAGTCCTTTTGTGAACAAATGGCTGTTGGCTAAGTCTGTTCGAGTCCAAAAAATTATACGGCTTAAAGTTGAAACGTCGCCTGGGGCGCTTTTAATGGTGAGATTTGCTTCAAAGAACCTCGGCCTCATACACATTTTAAAAAGATATAACTGACTTCGTATGTATATAAGCTGTCAAGAACACTGTCGGATAGGTCACCAATCGAATCATTGTTAGTTCGATAACTGTTAATTGACATGTTATGGTGCTGCATAAACCGTTCATCATAAATTTGAACTTAAGCCTCTACAGGTTGGAGGAAGTAAAGTGAAAACGGAAAGGACTTGCTTATATGGCCTAAGTAGGGCTATGGAAAAAAATTCATTCCCAGCAAAGCTTCTTATAATAGGTCACAGTCGCAACACACTATGTAGTTTCAAAAATCAATTACATGCCGACGGTAGCTTATAACATATTAATAACAAAAGAACATCTAAGTCACCATTAAATTTTCCCTTACTGGCCAAATCTGCGAATTTGATTCATATGCTTGCTTACCAAAACTGATGTATAAATGTTTTCGAACTTTCGGAACTATTCCTTGAACTCGCTAAAAAAATACAGTTTTGTTAAATTGTTTTCTACTGAAAATTTCATACAGTACTTCCATAGAGATGCCCAAAACTTTCTCATACATAATTGTCACCTATAATAATAACCATAAAACGCAACTCACGATATGTTTGCAACGTGAAAACTGATTTAATTTAAGCAGATGTCATGATAAATATTGCTTAGCTTTCGGTTTTTATAATAAATACCAACCTTATTATTATAAAATAAGTTGTAATCTGTTCAGGGAGGTAATGTGGGCTTGTTTTTCGTGCAGGAATAAAATGGGTCGCTCAAATATCCCTGCCAGCCGCTTCAGAGATGCCACTGGTCAACCTAAAACTTGACTGCCAATAATAAAAGAATCTGACCTAACTGACGCTATGTGACGTGTGTTGTTTTTTGCATCCTGCAGTGATAAAAATCGCGAATGCTTGCAAATAGAATGTTAAATTATGTTTTCGAATAAAACTCTGCTTAAATATATGTATACCCACATATGTAAATGAAGCATTAGCGGCACTAATACAGCTCATCGTCGTAAAAGCTTTCACGCAGTGGTCCTGGTACTTGCTCTCGATGGTGAATCTTATACTTGTCTTCAAACAAGGTACATATGATTCTGCGGAAATCAAGGGATAACATGATTGTCTTTAGGTTTTCTACCGTGAACCACTCCCCTTCATAAAACACCTCTTCAAAGGCATTATCATCCCGTTCGCCCGGCGGAAGTACTTTAACTTGTACCTGGTAAAATGCCAAACAAAAGCTCAACGTTAATACAGTGAATCTAATTGATCTCTTCCGATATCACCAATATTGCTCAATACGAGTATATGTGCAGGGAAGGTTGCTTGGTAAAAATCGATTTGTAAAGGCTGACACATGCAACGGAAACAAATAGCGCCCAAGGCACTTCTGGTCATGAGCCATAACGAGAGGATTAACCTTCGATGCAATATAAGAGGACTCCTGCAAGCTAAGTTTTCATAGCGATAGAATAGGTAGCATAGAATTGGTGATAAGCGCACGTCGTGAGACTTAGATATACCCAAATGTTTTTTTTGATGAAGTGCATAAAACCGATTATCGTTAGGAAGGTTACCTGGTTGCACGCGCTGTATTCCTGCAGGATTTCCGTGAACTCTTCTAGGTTTCCTTGGGTATACCTGACGTACTTTTCGTCCAGCTCTGAATTACTTAGTGGTAAAAGGAAAACGCCGCTCACGATCTGTGCGCGAGAAAAAAACAAACCAATCGACCTGATAATACGAAATTAATAAATACACTGTGCTTACGATTGTTTAGCATAACATTGACAGAACCCTTGGTTATTAATAATATGATCTCATATTTTTACCTTCCGATACAAAACGTGAAAACAACTAAAAACATTTTTTCAATTTTGTGTGACTTGTTAGTAACAACAACTTGCAAATAATTATGCGTAAAAACTGGAATTTTTGTCCTAGTGTCCACATTTCCATTCATCGAGAAGAATTGTTAATTGTTGCGTAGTCCTATTCCAAACCTTCGTAAAATACAGACATGAAAAGAATATACCTTTTTGGGCACATGGAAAAAACATTTTGCCTAACACAGATTGTCTTTAAATGAATCCAGGAAGAAGAAGACTAACTTTTTGTTGAATGTAAGAGACTTTTCGTAGTTCTAGCCAAACTGTAGTGAAACTGACGTGTTTACCTAGATGACGTGTAAACTTAGCTCGATTGTTCAGAACTTCCTACTCTAATCGTTATGCCATATCTGAACCAAGTTTTGCTTCTGGAACACAACAAAATACCTTGCTATGAAGGACTGATCTTCTCTCGATGAGCGGTTTAAACGAGCCTTGAATAGCTGCCTTCACCAGAACGTTACACAACAGTGACTTCAAAGACATCTCTATGAAACGATGTCTATTCAAATCATTGGAGTGGAACCCTGATTGGGTATTCTCTCCGTCCAGTATTACTTCCCTATAAAAGTTAGCATATATGCACCAACAATTAAATCAGACGTATTGCTGCCTTATAGTAAAGCTGCAAGGGTTGTGGCGTAGCATATTAATCAGTTCTTTTTATGGAAACGCGAGTGAGTTCTCATGCCTCAGCAGATATTATTTAGTCTTTCTTAAACTTTTTCAATTTTTTTTCTTTACTGCAAAGTTAACTGAAGTTTTTATCAAGAGGTCTAGCAGATGAGCACCTCAAAATGAGATTAATCACTCAGCTACTTTATGTTTTAAATAGAAAATAGTAAGAGAAACTGGTTAGCGATGTTGGCATATCTCTTAGTAAGAAAAAACTTAGCGAGTGATTTTTAAACCTACTACAAAATCGCCTAAGTAATGGCAGTTGAGCCAATTTGTACATATTTGTACTAATGTATAATACTCTTCGAGTGCTGATATTTTAATGTCTGGTTCATCATATTAATGAGCTTGAACCTTGGAAGTCAAGAACCTACCTGAGAATACATGATAGCAGCTGCGTAGAAACATGCGGATTGTTTAGAAATTGGTTCAAGCTTTCAAGCTGACGTTCATGCGAATCCGTTTTTTTCGCAAGCCAAAGATGATCCCAAGCTTGCATAAATGCCTTATGCACTAACTCTGTCAGCAAATCTTCAACTAAGTCTTTATCGTCACGTTTCAAGACTATCAGATTCAAGTGTTTCTTGACCCACCTACGTTTATTAGACACAGCACATGAATTTATAAATGTTAAAATTTCGATTTTCGCGTGTATTCAGAAGGAACCTTTAATTGTTTATCTGAAGACCTCAAAGCAATGCATCTCATCTAAAACAAGACAGAGAGTACTTTCGAAACAACTTAAAAACTTCAATGCGGGAATGTATGTGTCAATTTTTTTTATATAAACTATTTTTATTTCAATTTGAAATAACGACCCCAGAATTTTTATTAGGCTATAACATGAACTTTCACCATTTTTGCTAGCTGCATCCCTTCACTGTTGGCTGATAGACAACTGTTCTACGCAGTTGGGAAGCTTCGTTTAGTCTTCAGCCCGTAACAATTTTGTTCTGATTAAAAACGTTCGACTTTAGTGAGTTTAGACCTCAAAGACAATAAAAAAATTAATTCTTCTTTGATACTAACGTTTCTTGTCTATGCAAAAAGCTGAGAAAACAAGTTAAAAATGAAATTTCACGAATGGCAATTGAACAATATTTAATTTTAAATGAGACAACTAGAAAACTTACCTTCCTATTAGTAACATAACTTGCTCTTCTATTCGTAGTTGTAAATCGAATAAGCTATCTGTATCCTTTCTGTTCTTCAAAAAGTATTTTTGAACGAAGTCGTCGGTATATATCGATGCCTAATGTAGTGTGAAAAGGGATTAGCGTTTTGTTTTTATTATTTTATTTGTTGTTGGGTTTCTTAATTTGTTAAATTTGTTTAGATTGAATTATAAAATGTTAATATAAACCGTAATGATACGCCTGTATAACGGGAACTATTTTCTCCTTTTGTAATTTGTAAAACAATAAAACATTTCTAGATATTAACTATCAACATATTTGCCAGCAGGAAATCTCTTAGGGCTACAAGCAAAGGACTGCTCTCGTCATAAATTAAGATTTTAACGAAAATGAGTAGCTACGTTGCAAGTTGTAAGAGAGCATTGTTCGTCTATAAAGGACCCAAAATTTCGAAGAACTGGAGAAGCCTCCTGGCATTATTATTTTTATTATTATAATCACACTATTAACTGAAATTAAATTAAAATAGATAACGAAACCAACAGGTGTTAAGTTTACGCTAGCAAGCAACATTAGCATCTGGTTTGGCAACAGCCACGGCAACCCGTAGCCCCCATCATCCAGCTTCTCGATGGCCTGCGCAAAATAGGCAGACATCTTGGCCGCACATTCCATTTTCGTCAAGCGCATTTTCGAGCGACTGAATCGCTCCTCTATGATTGACGACAGGTGCCGCATATAACAGCGCATCGTTGACTCGAGTCGTGCAACTCGGCTGGGCGGGCACCTTGACTCAGGAAGTGTAAATATTATCCCTGATTAAACAAAAAAACATATAATATAAGTTAAAGGCAAAAAACGGTAGTGGGCTTAAAATCGACTGTCCTAACAGAGTGGTTGAAAATTTGCTAGACCGAGTCTACGTATAGAACACAGTTACTAATACACTATTGGTTCAAAAGAGTATAGAGAGCTTTGGCTTTCTACTAATTACGCATGTCTCAATCGTGTAGATATCATTCCCTCCGGAGAAAGTTATGCCGGATCCAATGCAAATGTGCTGTCCTTGCATTTTTTAGTCGTCTGTTAGCGGTGTTCTTGAAGGTACTTACTTCTCGAGCCTTAGGAATCTGAGCAAAAATGAGCTATTGCTTCGCATTCGATGGGTACCTATCGAGATTTGAAACTTCTTGAGTTACCCTAAATCGACACTCCATAACACTGAAAATGGGCATTTCAGCAGCAACCTACGACTGCAGAAAAGTAGAAGCGGACTTCACTACAGCAAACGAAGAATCTACAACAAGTGACAGATAATTAAGACTTGGAAAACTAACTGATTATAAGTGCATTTTGGCAATTTTTTTTGTTTCTATAAAATCTTTGGGGAAAAAAGGATGAGTAGAGCTATCTTGTTATGGATGTCTTGTCACGAAAACCACAGGTTTACTTCATATGCCATAAGAGTCAGATGCTCTCTGAAACTAAGAAACTTGTTTGCTTTTTAGCTTTCTCAAGAATGAGGAATTTTTTTTGTTTTTTTTTTTATAAAAAAAAAATATTTTTTTACGATATGTTGGAGGGTCGAAAATGACTTGGAAATGGCTTACGTCACGTAATATGAGTCATGTTGGGTCAGTGTTGGCCAATCAAAAAAAATCAACTGCTAATTTTTATGCTCTAAGTGTGGTACCCTAAGATAGAAAAAAACAAATGTATCACTAAAAAAATAAATGTGCACGTACTATGAACTGCTGGCTGTATAGACGTAAATAGAATGATAATTCTAGAATATGGAAAAATATGCTGAAACGCCAGTTTTTGTTTTTATATACAGTCTCAGAAACAAAAGGTAAGAAAAAGTAAAATATTCAAGTAAGTTACGACTTATAACTTGGATGTTCGATAAAATATCGACATTTTTTTAAACTAAAATTGAAGCAAATCCTTTTTAAATTTTAAAACAGTATTAATAAAAAAAAACTATATGCCACACGAATTAATGATCTTTGCTATTTTTTTTTATAACACCTTATTTTCACCAGTGTAGAATTTCTATAGTTCGACAGTAAAACTCCGAATCAGTCATTTTGCCGGGCGGCACCAGTAATTCACAATGCACAATCTCGTTCCAATCCCATTAAACCCATAACACCGCTTTTTTTGGCGTCAATTTTTGCCACAGATTTTTGTCACTTGTTTTCCCACATTGCTGCGTATCTGTTTACCGTGTTCTCACTAATGATCAACCCCTTGAGAAGTGGCTTGATTTCGTTGTATTTCTGCAGATTTTCGAAAATGGATCAATTGAGTCATTTTGGATTCATTTGTGTGGTATTTAGACAGCGAACTTTTTGTCGCCAGTTTTACTTGAGTGATTGAAAACGTGACGGCCATCTACGTCGGTATAGTTTAATTTTCGCAATACGTCTATCATCAAATGCTTTAAGACTCTGAGGAGCACCTTTTACATCGAAATTTCCCGTTTCTTCTGATAACGCATTCTGACAATAACAGCACAAATGTTTTTATAGGCCTGCGCAGCATTTTTGTGTCTTTCGTAATAAAATTGTAAAGTAGAGCATGTTTCTGCAGAAATTTTACTCATCTTCAAGACTTTCTATCTGAAGTCTGAATGAAATTATTCGAACGATTTTAATACCTCTACTATTGTGTTGTCTCAGCTTTCAGGCAGTACCAACGACGATGCGGCTCATATTTCCTGAACTATTTAATTAAAGCCATCTGGTTATAAAAAGCGTAAATATTTCTCCACAATCCAATAGATATGTTAATTTCACTTCATTAGAAACATATAACTTTTTTGTGAGCAAGGGTAATGGATATTAAACAACGCAAATAAATCTTGGTACTCACTAGCAATAGCAATTTCAAGTAATTACCATGTGCAAAATCTAACTAATTCAATAAATCTAAAAAATAATATCCGACAATCAATTGAATCACATGTTGAACACAGAGTGTATATAATATTTTCGACAGTATTGATTAACTCTACTAATTAATAATGTCCTCTGAATAAAAGAATATCTGCCAAATACTGTAGCCTACGCCATTAAGTATTAAGTAAACAACCGTCAAAAAAAGTTTGCTGCGGCAAAAAGGCGGAATAATTGATTTAGGAACCATTGTCGCCTATTTTCGCCACTGTATTAGGTGATAGTTTTTCACCTAAGAACAAACAAGCTAGAAACAAATTGCATTGAACATACCTGTACGAACTTCTTCTGTGGTAAGCCCGTACATGGCTTCGAGGGCTCTGAGGCGTTTCGTATACATAGCCATGGTTTTGGCAGCTTCCTTGTGGAACTCTTCATTCGACTCGAGCTCACTGAGTAGCGCATTTTGTCCTGTTCTGAGATTATCTATTTCCAGCTTACAAAAACCTTTACTCGTTAAACCTTGAATATCTATCAGACGCAGTTGTCTACAGCATGCCCCTAAGGCTTTGTCGGAGCAATAACTTCCCTTGTCCGACATTCTTTGAAGAAAATCGGGGTATGTAGTCAACTCTATAAGCGGCTCCGGTTCACCACCAGTACCCCAAAAGAACTTTTCAAACTGATCTCGAATCGCGCGTACTTTTGCGCATGCGTTAGAGTTCGCGCCAGTTGGAAGACGGTCCGAGAGGGCACAAAAAACCTCGGCTATGTTATTTGCTACCACGAACTTGAGGCAATCAAAATAATGGCTTAGGAGACTTTTGTCTTCACAAGGAAGTGTATTAACTTCAAGGGTAGTCTTGAGTTCATTAGTGTTTTGTTTAAATAGGAAATCTTCGTTTGCAATAAGAATGACGTCAGATTCACCTGGAAAATCATTATTAGAACAGAAATGTTTCAACGGGGGCGTGCTTCCCTTTGCTGAAAATACCACACAATCAGTCAGGTGCTGCAGTTTGTCGGTCTCTGGGTTAGTTTCGACGGCTTTAAATACACGAATCTCAGATGGGTGCATAGCATCTTTGCGAGCCACCATAAGTTTGCAACCTGACAGAGACTTTGTTTCGTTACCGATATTCCCTATTCGAACGTAAATTTGTCCTTCCTCGAGAACTCCGTATTCATCTACGACCGGCATCAATCGGAACGTTCCTGGAATATTTAATTTCAGCTCCTTCAAATTGCGAATCCGCTTTAACTGATTGCATTTGAGGGTTTGTCGAAACAACACGTCGTTCCGTACGTCATAGTGAAATAACTCCGCCATTTTGGCTCCTGTGCGAGATAACAATTTGTCGATTTCAGAGGCCAATTCAGGCGGCTCACTGAGAAATGAAGCGGCAGACTCAGCAAATGTATTCGACACCAACGCTTCAAATTTACCGATGCTGATTTCAGGGCAATGTCCATCTTGTTTACTGCTCAGGGTCGACAAAAGTACCTTGTCAAATAGTGCTGGCTCACAGTTGGCAGTAGATACAATGTAGATAATATTGCTGTCGCAATTTAGAATGCGTTGTGACGTACGGTAAATAATTTGGAGACCTTCTAGCTCTGGATCGAGAACAATAATTCCAGTATATCTCCCATGAACAACCTTTAAAGCTGCTGTTTTTTGCAACTTTCCAACTCTGCAAATATAGTCGAGAGATTTCGACGAAATGCGTCCATAGCCGCGTTTGAAGTCCGGCTCTGCCGTGGAAGCATCTTCCTTAACCAAAATCTGATCTATATTTACCTCGCAAATAAAGTCAGTAAGTAGTGCATTCACTGATTTCATCCGTTCGGTAAGAGTACCGCAAATACCGAGTCGCTTATACAATTCTTTAAGATTGTCGTTTTTGTCGCTCTCGTACATCCAAAAACAATGTTCGCTGAATTGCTCTCTTGAAGCGCCAAGAAAAGTATACTTCTTTTTTCCAATTTTTAGACCCTTCTGAATTTTTACCTTGAGTGAGTTTTCAATGAGTTCCTCTGTCTCATACCTTCCTGTTGTTTGGATTTTAGTGAAGTTATCATCACGAAGATCAACCAACAATACGCGACTAAGGTCACACTGACGTAGTAAAGGGCTTGCCCGGACAATCGTCGGAGGTTCAAAAATGATTTTGCTCGGACAAACTGTAGCCTTTTTAACTAAACATAGTTCCATGGGTAATAAGTTTTGTGTTATTCCACTATGTTGGCCGCTCTGATTGGCCTGGCAGTTTCGTCTAAACGTATCCTCAATAGCCGTCTTGAGATCTATAATAAAGCCCTTTTTCGCTTCGTAGTAGATTTCGTAAAGTGAATCGAAAAATGCAGCCTTATTTTTTTTGGCAAAACTCTCAAACGTACCTTGAATATCTTTTCGGATGTTCTTTAAGTGAATTTGAATAGATAGTTCTGGTGCTATGCTCTGAATGCACTGGATTGCATATTGTAGCTCGTCTGAGAGCTTCTCTTTAGGAAGTGGCTGAATATTTTCTTTTCGAATTTCGACACACTTGACGTTTGCAAACACCATTGGAGCACCGGAAGCACGAAATAGCGAATAAATAGCTTCTGCTTCCTGCGTCCCTTTATGCTGAAGTTTGATTTTAAATACTCTGTTTTCCCCAACGTGGTTGCATCGAGTAGATGTGCCTAGCGTTCCGAAGCTGACCTGCCGAGTCCACAGCCCTTCGAAAAAATTCTCGTATGCATCTTCTCCTACTGAATTCCACCTAAACGCCAATACGCTCGATACGTGTAGGTACAATTCCATGGGTTCCCGTTTGTTATTGCAATCATAAAATGTGTCTTTGTGTCTCAATTTGCGACAGGTGACGATTTTTTTAATGTCAGCGTAGCGCACTAAAAGTTTATACACAGGTGGAAATTTACTAGTAGACCCTCTGATATCGTCTCTGAAGTAGATTTCCAGGTTGCCACGGTCGTGATAAAAGCTGGCTTGAATTCTCCGTAACCTAGCCTGCCAGTCCTTTGTTGGCACACTTGTGAAGCGCTCTATGAAAATGTCCAAATCACTCCAATGGCCGAGAGCAAAATGATCAACCTCCAGATATTTATGGTCTAACTCGACGATATCTTGAATCTCGTCCAGTAAGGTTTCTCCGCTCACATAGCCATTTGGTTTGAAGTGCTTGCAGAAGCGGTCCACCGCGTACAAAAACGTTTCGATATTCTGTTCGCAATCGAAAGTACACGTATATAACCACCTGTAATCAGTCGAATTGGATTACTGTTCTATGGTAATTGAGTTACAGAACAGGAAAATTAATAGCTATGGGTGTGATTTTTAGGGACACAGAGCTGGGTCGGATAGCACTATACTAATAGAAACTCTCTTTTTTTTTCGCATAACAATATTAATATATATCCTGATTTCAATTTAACCGATTTTGAATTTTTATCTTTTTTTCCCTGTCCTCTTTTGAATCCCATATATATGTATATATATAAACAAGCGTATGCCTCGCTTTATTTTGAGGTGCTTGCTCTATCATTACTGTGTTTAGTCTTAAATAAATTAACAATCGCCCTTTTGAGTGAATAGCCCTCATTAAACATATTTAAATGCTCTATATAGAATAAGTATAACTTACGTTTCTGGTGTATCTTGTTTGTACTTCTAAGTCGGATTGGATAAAACACATTAATCGAATAGTGTTATCTCCTTTTAACTTTATTATGACATAGATATGGTTTTCTAAGTTTTGGCACAGAATCAGTAAAACGAATATAGTAGTGTTAGTATCTTATTTTAACTATTTTTCGGAAATCGGGTATGTATTTCACGTGGTGAACCTTGTTACGTCGAAACGGGAGTTTTTTACTTCCTGACATTCTGGATGTTTGCAAAGGTCAATTCCAAAGGATTCACTTAAGACTCTTCTCGAAACTTTCTCAGATGACGTTACTTGCACCGTGAGTTTCTTCTCCGAAAAGTCACCTTCCAACCTATTAAAAAAAAATGGAAGATTAAGAAATGACACAGCATTATAGAAAGGACGGGCTTCACATCCAAGATCGATCCAATATTTGAAATATTATATCCCTCCTATCTAACAACGCGGCGCAACTTGGTTTCAGAAATATTCCCGCTAAGAGAACTCGACTCTATGAAAAGAGTATAAGATTCTATATTTACTTGATACAAATACATGAGACTTTATGGTGAGCACAATAGTAAGAGCAATTGAAACAGCAACTGTTAAAATCCGGCAATAATTCTTTTCACCACGGTAACGTATCGTATCGACAACGCAAATATTCTAAAAGTTTACTGTTCAATCCCGGCTGTAATCAGTGATAGATATAACACTTATTATACACATTTCAACGTGACCGACTTATTACAAATGCTCCCATGTGGTGTGTAAGGCAATATTAAAACATCGATTATATCAGTAATCTTTTCTACTTTACCATTATGCTCATAAACGTTAATAGATCGGGTTTACGGCAGCAGTTTTTATTGAATTTTTATAACGGCCAATCAATAGTTGTCAACTGTTAGAAAGCAACCGCATACTGTTTTAATGAAGTCTTGGGACCACACTAAAGACCAGACAATCGTTTAACGAACTTGTTAGGCAAATTTATCTTAAGGTATAATTTGCTCTATTCGACTTGTTATACCAAACACTTTTTTGATAGGATTAGTTATTTTGTCAGCATTTTGTTCGATCCATTCATGAAAAAAATATGAGCTATTATTCTTTCATATTATTTTAATTCGTTTTTCAGCAACCGCAGCACCCTATATCCTTGAGCTACATCTCATAATTGACATCATGTTGAACCTGCCCATGCAGCCCTTACATTTGTACATTAAATCTGTTCAATGTGAAAACACTAACTCTACCCAAGCCACTCGACCTATAGGTTATTTATCAACGTTACCAGCATTACACTGCACATATGCGCTATATTGGTTTTGAATTTGTCTTCAGTTGTTTAATTTGCTTGCATTACTAAATCGTAAACAATAGATTTCTTGGGCGCAATACTTTACAATGATCTCACAGTTATGAATGTGCATTACTAAAAGGAAATGTGAGTGAAATATATGCTTACATATTGCTCCTTGCAAAAATTGTCTGAAGTCCAAAACTTTAAACACGTGTTTCTGCTCTAACCAGTGTCACACACACTCCTAGAGGAGAGACTAGTAAGATTACGAGTAAATTGTACAAACTGGTAAATTTCTTTCATTAAAATATAGGAAAAACATGGAGGTCGACAAGACGTCTGCTATGCTCAGTAAGTTCCATCGAGTACGAGTTATTAGCAGACGACATCAAGGTATTACGTACAATAAAATGAGATGCTAATCCACAGAAGCCCTTTGCACAAACAAGATAGCCTCTAAGCGGGCCGGCTTCTGTTTAGCTATTTCCAGCTTTATTTCCATTCTCTTTCCACTGTATTTCAATTCGAATTATAAAGTTCGTGTCTGTGTGAACGATATGACAATCGCAAAAAGCGCCAGTTTTTGAAGTGTTCTCCGGCGGGGGGGGGGGGATGCAGTGGTCCCTTTGTGGCTGTCTGGAACTTATCGATAAAAGTGATCTGGGAGAAACTGGCACGGAAAGCGTTGAACAAGGTATTGGACTAGTTCAGCTGCTAGAGAATCAAATCTCTGTTCTAACTTGTGTGACAAACAGTGGCGCTTATTACCATATGGAAATTAAGAACGTTACTACAGTTCACTTTCATTTTCTCATGTTCTGCTTATCGAAAATGATTTGAGCATATCTCAAAATTGTAAAAGCATGTTTTATTTGTATAAAAGGTATAGGATTTTTAAAATCAGTTTATGTAATCTCCATGAAAATTCAAAATGCTGAAAAGCTAGAAATATATAACATTTCAGTAACTCCTAAATTCACGTACGCCTAAATCAAAAGTCAATAATTCACCTGGTCAGAGAAGAGCCTAGGAATTAAATCTAACAAAACTTAAAAGTGGGCAAAATATTTTAACCATAGTATTGAATTTGCTACTTTTGTTATTCAAAGTATGGATCTAAAATCCGTTTTAAGGGTTTCACCCCAATAACCAGATGGATATAGGACATCTGTGAGGTACTTCCTAGAGTCCTTATGTGCGGATTTCACATGAGTTCCTTACCTATTGTAAACCGACGTATTATACACTTTAATACTGAGTTAAATGATGTTGTCTTACCTACGAATTTGAAGTGCACGGAAATATTTGTCTGTTTCAGATGTATATCTTATCCATTCTCTACCCATGTTTCACGATCATCGGAGCCCGCTAAAATCTTGAACAAACCTCGAACACTCGTGGTTATTTGACTTGTGTTTACAGCGTATAATAGCTCCTAAAAGCCGATTTTGATTCGATTGGTTTTTGCAGCTTATGTGCGACCCGCGTTATTTAATATCTTTAGAAAATGGATAAGTTACTTGGTGCATGCAATTGGGTGTTAAGGAAGTGCTATTTATGGTATGACACAAATACCTCAAACCATCAATATTATTTTTTTTAATGCAATTGAACTTTGCTCCTTATCTAGCTTTATATTACTAGATCATGAGAAACAGGTTTTTCCGACTCAAACTTAGAGGGACAGATTGAGCTGATTCTTTTGGCCATAGTGAGAAGGTCTGTGATGAAGATACAGCTGATCAGACACACAATTTTGCCTTGAAGGACAGTGTATTTTTCCTCATATTTCTCCCCCCCTCTTGCACGTGTAAAATTAAATGCATTTAATAGCAAAACAAAGCTGAAATAGCGGTTCAGTAGCTCCAACCCTGTGTGGATGTGTTATGAAAAGTGAGTTAACAGGGGTGCTCCTAAACTTGGTGATTCAGTGGGATGAGACTACTTCCATGCAGTCGTCCTCACAGTCTGATCTGCATTTAGGCGATTTTTTGATATATCCTTGTGGTGTTCTGTACTGTAAAAAACGTTTTTTCCTTTTAAAAACTAGCCCGCCAGGTTATTATAGTTTGCTTTACTACTAATTATTAGAAAACAGGTCTATCCTCGCGTAGAAAGTACCAATTACGCTGACCTTCTAATAAGCAAAAGGTGTCTCAAGGGAAGATCTGCACAAAAGATCGAGCCGATTTCACAAATTCTTTTCCTTTAAAGAAAAGTTTGCCCTTCTTATATAGTGTAATACTAACTTGATTAATAAATTGTATTGTTTTTGGCAGTTTCAACAACCGTTAGAAATTTGTAGAAACGTTTATATCGGAAGCTTGTTTATATTTGAAATCTCACAGTATGAGCGTTGGAGCGTAATTTTTATTGATCCAATTTAATAATAAAATCGTAATTTTTATTTAGATAGTTCATAATTAGTGTAATAATCATCGCCGTTGGGTGAGCGAATATTTTTCCAAAAGGGTAGTTCCTTCCTCTTATAGACTAACGTAATGCTAATCTTGTCCTTTTTTGTCCTTATTACAGCTGGTGGTATCTGTCTCTCCGATAATGGGATACAATATTCAATTTTCTGCGACTTTTAGACATTTTATATAGAAATTATGCACATATGTATACATAAGGAAGTTGTCAATAAAACAACTGTATGGGTAAGGTTCGTAAGAAAATGTTTTCTCCTGACAAAATGGTGGCCGAATATTTTACAATCTAGGTTGTATTTCTTAATGGCAGTGGAAAGCTTTCAATAAGCCAGTTTTCAGATTGAAGATGCTGTTCGAAGAGTGTAAACTTAGCATGCTGAATAGTTGACGCCAGCTGAATAAAGATGCAAATCATATATTCACTTAAAATGACTATTTTTGAATGAAAATGCGAAAAATCCACCTGATTGAATTAGGTTACTTTGGTAATAATGGCGTAAAGATGCATTTTGAACATCTTTCGAATGGTTCCTTAATCGCATTGCCGATAAATATTATTTGAAAAGTTAAAGCAGCAAAATTGGAGAAATTTAGCAAAAAAATCTTAATTCCTTTTTACAAAAAGCTTAAATGTCAAAAAAAATAAACGTAAATATTTATTATCAAAGGAAAACTCAGCAAATATAGAAAAAAATCCTTAAACCTTAACAATATATCAAGAATAGGTTCACTACATCAACTGAAACAAATCAGATCACTATGAAGTATTATATTTTCATTTAATGGAATATGAGCAACTGTCTACTATGTAAAACGGAAAAACATTTTTAAGCTTTGGTGACGTCCCGAGAAAAGGGTCGACATAGAAATATTTATTCTAAAAAGAAAAAAAAAGATACTCTTAAGCCTTGATGTTTCTGAAACAGAGTTCATCTTGATCTGACATGTTATGTGTGACTAGTTTTCATATGAAAAAAATACATGATATCAAAAATTACTTGGTGACGTTTCAGGAGCGCAGTCAATAGTTTAGCTGGCGCTACACAATCGCAGTGCCTATTAAACATCCGCCGAATGTCATTCATTTCACGTGTGATCCTTAAAGGCTGAGTGAAGTAGGACTATTTCGAACACGTAATGAAAACCGTTCTCTACATAGTTCTCTACAGTTATCTGCTACTGCACTTGTTCCCCTGCTTGCAGGAAGATGGATGCTCACAAGCGGACATCATCATCTATTAAGACTGCTAATAAGAGAAGCAACGCCGATGAAGAAAATCAGCTGAGAGGAAACGTCGAATTCGAAAAGCATGAGGAAACTGTAACCGGAGATTGGCAGAAGGAGTGGCAAGACATCTTATTGTTGCTCTTTCTATACGTCCTGCAAGGTTTGATATGTTCGTCATTTTTGGTGCGTGTAACCGTTACACGTTTATATATTGAGATAATTGGTAAACTGAGTAATAGCCTCACACCTTACATTTCTAAAATTAACTTGCTAAACCAAAGATCCCACAAGTCCTACAGTTTAGGCAAATCCAGCGGAAGTACAAGCCGTTGAGGCAATGCAGGGTAAGACCTACCTTAAGTATTCGTTCTATTAAAGCAGAAAAAGTGGCAAGCTTTATGATATGGAATAATACCGACCAAAATATGCCACTTTGGCTGTCAACGGAAGAGAAAAAGATGCGACAATCTAATGAAAAAAAAAAAGAAAAATGGTTGAGCAATCTAAGTTGTACATCAAAGCCCCAAAACATCATTATTAGAGTGAATTTTATTAGACTGATGTTCTATATCTTATACAAATGACCTAGTAACCAGTCAAATAAATAGATCTACACCAGTTGCTTTTGCTGATGATAATGTCCTTTCGATGTAAGACTGTAAAGTGAATACGTTGTCTGAGAGAGCTTGGAACTGCGTGGTCGAAGTAAAAAGGCAGCACATAATGCATGGCAATTATAAAAATGCGATATATACTTTTAGCATATATATATATACACTATTGAAGCACTCCCCTCCGCTGTCGACTTATCTCTTTCTCCTGTGACGTTAGACACTTCAATCAAAAATTCAATGAAATCTTAATACAACTGCAACCTTTTTTGCTAACAACTATACTATTCTGTGTATGCAAATAAAAATAAAGTCATGATATTATATTTAGTATTTACCAAAGATCACATGCTTTCTAGAAGATGCGATTACCGGTTTCCTATCTGTTTGTTGAGCCAACATTTATTTGAACATTTAGGCAGCACTAAAGGGTCGTTAACTAAAGTTGTCCTTCAGTTAAAGCGCAGCGCACGGGAAAAAGCCTCAACTGAAATGTTAATATATAGTAAATACACTATAGAAGACAAAGCAACTGCTGATAATTATAATAATTGATAATCATTGTCATCGTTATGTGAAGCCATGGTCTGCCAGCGATCGCACGCGTCGACTCAGCTTCACATACCTCTACTACTGGATTCTTATTGGCGACAAAACACTAAGTATTTACGAATTGTTTTCTATCTGATCAAAATACTGTACACCTAAACAAGCACATTACATGCATTTCAGCACAGTTACTTAACTTGAGTCAAAACCAAAGGTCATTGACTCTCTTGCGAATGGCAGAAAAATAGCGGTTAAAAAAAAGACGAGAACAAATTAAAAATTAGCTCGTTCAACTCCCTGCCATCGTGTATTATACTTACAATTGCATGTTCAATTACGATAAAAATGACTTTCCTTTTTTATCCTCACCTAAATTGTACTAAATAACAATTACTATCCAGACCAATCTGTAATCAGCTTGAATACAGCATTATACCATGTCTAATGAGTCTATTTATGCTCAATATACCAGTCAAATAAATAACTATGAAATGTTTTGGTAAAGGTAACCAATCTTCGCTTTATCTAGCTTAGGTATTGCTTTGTTTATAGGTAAATTATTTTATAGAATGGGCCGTTGCTGATCTGTGCACTGCGCTATGCGTTTCGGATACACACAAAGACGTAACGGGGAATTCTACTCGATGTTTTAGGTGTCCCACTCGGCATTGGAAATGCATTTACAATGTTTCTACAGAATCACAACGTCTCCTACTCACAGCAAGCTATTTTCAGCTTTGCGATCTGGCCATTCAGCATCAAGATTCTATGGGCTCCGATAGTGGATAGTCTTTATTTTAAATCCTACGGCAGGTTAGGGTTGCACAAAAAACTTTATATCTTCCAGCATTATACGTCAAATATAAGCATAATTTATTGTTCTAAAAAATTGTTGCTGAGAGCCAACACTAGATCCGAGTCGTATCAATCTACCTTTGTTTCAGAATCACGTAAACCACATATGTGTGAGATTTGTTTATTTATAATTAGGTCAAATTTCACTATGTAGATTAGGCTTCAAATGTGACGATTTAATTATTTCGTGGTGTTCTTATACATTTTACTTAACAAAACCCTAGTTCCAGTCTCGGCAAGTTTTGGCTTGTGCCAATTTGACGGGTAAATCTTTAACATAACTTGTGACGAACTTCTGCTCTGGTGCATTTTTCAGGCGCAAATCCTGGCTTGTGCCTACTCAGTATCTAATTGGGTTGTTCTTGGCAGTACTTTCATGCCACCTTAATGTGTGGTTTGGTGAAAAAAAACACGAACCTGATATTGGTCTATTGACGATTGTTTTCGCGTCTTTAAGTTTCCTTGGAGCTACTCAAGATATCGCTGTCGATGGATGGGCCCTGACTATGTTGTCAAGGTTAGTTATCATCACATCTTATTATTTATCATAAAGACTAGCGAAGGTAAACCCTCTGAAGTTTTTTTTTTTATAAACTTCGAGGCTTCAACTACGTAGCTGTGTAGCGCGCTTCTCTATGAATACCCTTCTATTGGTTCGATACTGATACTAAGATTCCTTCTGTTCCTACACTACGATGAGATTATTACGATGTATTATGGGATCAGCTTGTAATACCTTTAGGAAATATACGGTTGCAATGTGTCTTGTTGATTTTGTATTGATTGTGGTTGTCGGCTCTGAACAGGCGCAATGTGGGACACGCCTCAACCTGTAACTCTGTCGGCCAGACAGCGGGCATGTTTTTGGGCTATGTCGTGTTTATGACACTCGAGTCCAAAGACTTCGCGAACACCTACATCTATAGCAAACCGCAAGAGACTGGTCTCGTGACTATGGAGGGTTTCTTACGCTTCTGGGCCGTAGTATTCTTTATGACAACAACGTTGGTGGCTCTTCTCAAAACTGAACGAGCATCTGAAGGAGCCGAGATGGCTGTAGCTGAAACGTACCGCATTACCGCGCGAATTTTTATGATGCCGTCTGTTCTCACAGCGGGGGTTTTTCTGTTAACGGCAAAAATCGGTATGCACTTCAAATAGGTTTTATATAGAATCAATTCTCAGATAAAAACAAGTATCGATCTAACGGTCAGAACTTCGTTCTAGGATTCGGCATTACGGACGGCGTCACGCATCTGAAGCTGATCGAGGCAGGGGTGCCTAAAGAAAAATTGGCTCTTTTGTCCGTTCCTATTATACCACTACAAACGATACTCCCATTATTCTTGTCCCGGTATATTACGAGCGACCGACCGCTCGATGTTTTTGTCAAAGCCTATATACCACGCCTGGTCTTGGGTCTAGTATTCTCAGTTGTAGTATGGTGGACCTTTTCGTTTGAAGATACTTTCCCGGCGTACTATTATGGCGTCGTTGTTCTGGTGTATGCGGTCCATCAGGTAAGGCTGGACTATGTTTTAAAAAGCATGAGGATGGGTTATTAAAGGGAACAAAAAATGTTGTATGTAAAAATCATTCCATATCTACTAATGAGCTATAAATAGTTCTTGATAAATAGAAAAGCGTTGAAACTATTGGAATGCGAGCCTTTAAAAAATATTTCAACCCGATAGTGCAAGTATATGACTGAAATAAAGGTACTATTTCGACTTTATGCTTTACGTTGGCTCGAAATTTATTATCCTTAACACCACAACGGCTGTTCTTTCATAATCGATGTTTTCCGCGCCTAGGTCCTCGTATACAGTTGTTTCGTAGCGTTTATGGCGTTCTTCGCTCGGGTGTCGGATCCTGCTCTGGGTGGCACCTACATGACTTTTCTCAACACTCTTTCTAACCTAGGTGGCAATTGGCCAACCACTCTAGCGTTTTGGGCACTTGACTACACTACGTACAAATCTTGTACTATTGGTGGGCATAATTGCTCCGGGCAAGAAGGCCAACAGGTTGGTGCTCTTTTGTTGAGGTCGTTTTTTTGTCATATTACTGTTATTGCCACAATTGATATTCATGTACAGCGTACAACAATGTACAAGTAGAATGACAAAGCAAATAGCAGACGACGTTTGTTCTTGATTTCCAGGAATGTACCAATTTAGGAGGACAATGCAGAACTCTACTGGATGGCTACTACGTCGTGTCGCTCGTTTCCATTGTTATTGGATTCCTCTGGTTCGCGCTGTTTGGCAAGCGAACAGCTCAGTACCTCCAACGACTTAAGCACGATGCTTGGGCGGTACCTCGATGAGAGCTGGTGCAAGCCGTGCAACAATCTTGTGCGTATTGTCGAGACTTTGCTCCGCATTATGTGAAATTGGGCGTAAATATTGATACATGCTATATGTTTTATGCGGGAACTATCGGCCACGCAATTTACTCTCCCAAATGTCAGTATATGATAGGAGAATAGTCTAGTACTATAGTACATTAAAAAGCTGAAAAGAGGAAACTCAATTTTTTCTCGATCAAATTCTTTATCAGCCCATCTGCACTCGTACGGAATATAGAGCCTTGCCTTGCCTACGGGCTTCCTCATCAATTTGCCTTTACTATTGGCAGGCAACTACTTGTTATTTCTGGGCTTCAAAACGGCCGGCCTTATTTCGTTAAAGCATAACAAGTAAAAACCCGGTGCTAACAGTATAACGTTTTGATCTCATTCGGAGTGAACACACATTTCCAATTAGGTTTAGATATGTAGAAATGGGACCAATAACTGAGATCATCGATTAAGGTGCATCTCGATTGTTTCAATTCAAGCGATTCGGGGTTGTGGTTTAGTGCTGGCACGTTGAAATGCATTACCTATAGTGCAAGGATAACCAAATAAAAAATTCCTTCTCGATCTGTTTATTTGATTATATTACGTTTTGATTGGAATATTTTTGCAAATTTCGGTATGTTTGCTCCTTATCTAGGCAGTGTTTAGCCGATAAGAATGATTAGGCTATACACTAACATAATAATATACAAGAGAAAAGACTGGCAATAATGAACATAGTTTATGTCAATCCAGTAACTAAATATTGAATATGGTATAATACTGGCCGATACTCGTCAATCATCGTTTTCTAAATCCATGTACGATATGTGCAAATTTAGGTATTGGAAATCGAGTTGCGTTTAGCGAAACTACTGTATTAGGTATGAGCGTGCATGTCACTTGGTTCACTTAAAAACTGTTAAAAATCATGTCCTACCAAATCTAAAATGGTAATATCAGCTTAACATGAGAGCGATGAAAACTTTCATCTATAATGCAAGGAAATGTAGGGCTGGGTATTCTTAAGTATCGACGGATAATAATTCACGTGGTATTTAGTAGTGTTCCTAAAATTAAGAGGGACGCGGCATTAGAAGAACCTTACTGTGCAATGACCGTAATATATACACAGTGACGAATCTAGACGGTCGTAAATGTTTTATATAAAAAATTCATTCCATGGATCAGTAGATGTCACGTGCCGATGAGATACGTGGGTCAGGATACGCACTGACTAAATTTACAAGAATAGGGTTTTCAAGTATTTTTTACGACTACGAGATTTGCTGTTATAAGTACGTTTAACTAATGGGACGAAAAAATAAGGAATAATAAATGTTTCTACAAGCGCAGAATAAATACAACTCGTAATTAGACTTTACTCTTTTTATTCTTTAGTATAAAAGTATACGTAGGTGCAAAATAACAGAAGATTATAGCATTAACAATTGTTCCAAACAGCAATTCCAAATGACGTGATAACAATAATATTGCTACCTGCGGCAAACTATATTATTCTCGTTCGTGTAAAAATTGGCTCATCATAAAAAACATGGTAATAGCACGAAATAAATTAAAATACGAAATTTGTGAGGTATTATCATTTGCCACGAACTAATTTTAACCATAAAAAGTATGATTATTATTCTCCATAATATATTATTTTGAATTGGTGACGTGCGCTTTGTAGTTCTGGCGCAAACATGAGGCAGATTTAAAGGCATATGTATGCTCCTACGACACTACTGAACCTTTATCTGACTGACGTGGAATTGCTGCATTCTTAATACTTTTTATAATTGTCCTTTGATTTATACTAAAGATCCCGAAGTGGGTACCAAAAACATGGTCAAATAATAAACAAGTAAACGAATAATATATTTGTTACTACTGCGGAAACAAATGTATTATTTTCACATTTTATTGTTTGCTGCATTGCTGTGTTAGCATATAAGTTGGTATTTGGATACGATGAGGCAATAGCTGTCATGCTTACTAACTTAGCGTTAAATAAAAAAACTAAATTAGCTTGCACAAAATATAATACTGCCAGTAGAGAATAGCTCTTTAGGCATTGGGTCCGTGGGCACTTGGTATAAACGTTTGTTTACTTATAAAGTCTTATTTTACATGCATATGCTGTTTACAACGTGAGCCTACATATTATACGTAAAATTAACCGCAGTACATCAAAGTTATAAGCAAGGAACGAAACTTATCTCTGAATTATCATAATTAAAACTGAACTGCGGCGACTCCATCAACGAGCTCAGTATATCCATATTAGCAGCACACTGGCCGCTCTTGTTTACGTAAGCTTCATTAATCTGAAAAACATCGATCGAATATGACACAAGATCGAATATGGAGTTTACGACTTCTAATCTTTGTCTTTGGCCTATTAACACTTCAACGACGTGCCACAGAAGCAGAAACTCTTCAAGCGTACAAAATTAAGTGATCATGATTTTCGAGAATAAAGCACCGAGCACCTTACCTTCTATACTATAGGTTCATCTAGCAGTTAAAGAAAAAGCGTTTTATAAAAAGCATGCTATGTGTTACATGAACCGGTTTAAAAAACTAGTGTCTAGCTTACCTGCACCATTAAGGTGCTGAGCTTCACGGTACTGGTACTATGCAGCTTGAATAAGTCCCGAGCAATTTTGACGATCATTTCGGGCTGCTCTAGCAAATCATCTGCGAAATCGCCACTGCCTGTAAGAAGCGACTGATACAAGAGGTTCTCCCCGCTTGAAGTACGGCAAGAAGTTTTAATTGTTTCTTTGGAGAGAGAACTCACGCTCGTCATCTGCCGAGTGCTCCTCGAATCACTATCTGATAATGTCAACGATGGTTGAGATCCGTCCACATAGCCTTTTAGTCTTGAACGATTTAAATAAAACCTACATTGAACGGAAAGCCAGCTATTAGAGCTAATTCTCATCACACTATTCTTGTCCGTTTAAACGTTTATCAACTTTCTTTCTCTTTTGAGTGTTCACAATATATCGTCTAAATATTACAAAGGTACATAAATATCTACAGGTAGAGCCTAACGCCTACTGACGAATAAAGTCATGGTGATCAACAGCCTTCAGCAGGCGGAAGTTCCTTCAAACGAGCTAATTACCATTTCGGAAACACAATTTGAAGGCAAAATCTATTTACAGTCTACAATGTTACCTCTTATCTCTGATACCGTGTTACAATTAAATAGTTTAAACAATATCATATACAGCTTACCAATCATTTTGGTCGGATTCCATGACGAACTTAGCTTCGCTCAAAAATTCCGTGAAAGACGAATAGGCCCTTTTGTCGAGTTTTCTGATATACTCGTATAGAGTCTCCAGCTGTGCGCGGCTTACTGGTGTCAGCGTCAACATACCTTCAATAAGCTTTAACAGACGGTTTTCTCTCGTCAATGGCAGGTTGTAGTTTAAACAGAAGTTTCTAAAACACGACGATAAGATACAGAGTACATGTCTTCGTTAAAAGACGTAACTAATCTTGGTCCGCGCTGCCGCCTATAGTAAAGTTTATCGACTTCATTTATCATTGAGGTTTCACTAGTGTCAAACTGCAACTCTCGTTTTGTGGGTTAATAATTAAGATGCTCTAGTGGAACTTTGAAGTTGAGCACCTTTTTTGGGTTGCACAGCGATGAAGTGCAATCGAGCTTTGTATGGCGGTTGGTTTTCTTTTTTTTTTTAATACTTTTTATTGATTTAAGGAACATGTCAGCTCGTTAAAAAGAGCGCATATACTGCGCGAAAAAGTGCGAAAGTGTGCTGCAATTGCAGGGTGCATGCTTTGTGACCACGAACGAAAATCAACCCATGTAAATGTCAGATATAGAGGACTGACACACGATACAATCATACCTTTAAAAGTGCAATAGTCGTTGTCAATTGCAAGCCATATTAAACAAATTGCTTGCAAATAACTTAGGTGAATCAAAATGCTTAGTAGCGATAAGTACTTGCAAATCTTCGGGTGCTGTGTGCAGAAGGGAAAAAGTTCAGGAAATAGATGGATCATATCAAAGATGAAAATTCCTGGAGCGATATGATTTAGCATTGTTCGATACGGGTATCCAGAGAGTAGTAATGGGAGCATAAAGATTGGCAAGCACGTTGTGTACAAAGACAATGATCGTAGAATCTCCGACACCCAGATGGCAGCTTTTGCCAGCTCGTGGAGCACGTTTACCTCCTGTAAAGCAACAAAACAGATAAATGAAAAGACCAAGAGGATATCAAAAAAGGATAAAATTATCTATTACAGGTTAATTTGCATTTACAGGTAACGATGAGAACATCATAGGTAATCCAATTTTTCTTAAGACTTTTGCAACCACAAGAGGTTAAAAAAACACCAGCATAGAAGTGGAACGATGAATCATATCAAGAAAAACAACGAGCCGTGAATTTCAAATTCGAACCATTGCATTGATAAAAGACCCGAATGCGTATTTTGCTCCTGACATAACACTGGCGCTGTTCTAAGCGTAGGACTCAAGTCCTTATTTAAATATATACTGTTCCAATGTAGCACCATCATAGTTTAAGTATATCAAACCCTTTTACCCAACACGAAGTTCTTTAAACGCTAACAATGATATTCCCAAACTTAGCTGTCGTATTGAGTAATCAGCATTGTAACCGGCCCATTTGTTATGCTGTAGGTGCTATGAATAATGAGACCATCGAGAACTAGAAATCAGCAGTGGCTTGAGATGAGTCTAATTATTATTATAACCTCTGCATATAGGCAATGCCAATCCGCCAACAGATCCGCACAGTCTCATTAAACATACTACCCTATGGATGAATCTAGCACATTAGGGATATTATAATATATATCCCATATCTCATATCTCCGATGACAGAAATAATGCGTTATCTTACCTGAAGAAATTCTATGTGATGATGTGTGAAACGAAACAAATGGGTGTAGACGCAAAAGTGAACATTCATTTGTGGGCGTTGCTGCACCATGTCCCGAAGGGCATCATCCGGATAACCCGTCCTGGCAAAATTTAAAAAGGTACCTAAAAAACGGAATAAAACCCTACCTACGACATACAAACATGTATATATACCTACATACATATATATGTACGTATTCCTTAGATTCACCATGTTATTCGACCTTCTTGATAATCTTAAGCTTAACCGTATTACTGATTCGCTATAAAAAAGAAGCGCTATATTTTTCTCAATGGAAACTTAAACTGCAAGAGACTGGTTTTCAGAGTCATACAACGACCATAGTTTTTATATTGTCTTTATACGAAACGTTATGTCAGGCTTAAACCCAGTTAAGTGTAAGTTCAGACAATTTAGCGAAAATGAATGAAACAGAATTTTAAAAAAAAAGCGGCTTTACTAATCTATTTGTACAAAGGTCGAAAACGCTCGATTAAACGATTGAAATTTGATCAAAACACACTATGTATCAGGATGGTACAAGAGTAATGTTTGTTTTTGCTTTTCTTTTGTAATTATTTTCGTTTTCTAGCGATCAGTTGGTATTTGATTCTGTTAGTGCATTGCAATCTTATTGTCACCTTCCGTTGTAATGATGCCGTAGTTTCGAGAAAGCAATAGTGGAATGTAAATGAATAGCATACGCTGTATTTGACTGCAATATTAAAAGAATGCGTGCGGACGCGACGACAATATTTGCTCGGCGTAGAATGAGGCTAGGTAGGTGCTGTAGACACATATAGCAATAATCCTCAAAAACAGCTAAGATCGATTCAAATTCGTTAAACGAGTCCAAACTTTTGTTCTTTAGTAGGATTTTTTTTAAAAATGTGCTTTATTATAAATTATAGAGCACTCGTCCTACCTGGTGCAACTGTCTTCCAGTAATGGAAGATTAAAAGGACTCGTTAGCACATTGACCATATAACAATTGACCAAAAGTAAAGTACGCGTTAGAAAAAAACAGCATCATGAAGCAATCTATTACTAGCTCATGTTGCCATGTTCACTTAAATAAGCGCTTCTATAAACAAAAAAAATGTTCAAAATAACATTTGACAAGTCTATATGTCTAAATATGTCAGCATAATAAATTATTAAAAACATAAAAGCTATTTATTAGTAATAGCCGTTATTGATAGCGTACTAATTTGCAATCGCATTGAAATCATTTATGGATCATACCGCATTTAGTTTTAGACCGTTAACAAAGAGAAGAGATGCAACTAAGAAATGATGTGGCCAAAAACATTGTTTCTAATTACTTTAGCTAAGCCATTTCGTTCGAATAGCCCATTTAAAAGCCGTTGTTAGACAAATATTACGTCAGATAAATACAGTAGACAGTTGAACTTGAGAACCGTTGTGTAATGTGTGTGGGCCTTACTGGGTTCCGGACTTTTACCTCTGTCGCAGTTGCACATCATAGATAAGCTCCAATTCTTCGTTCGCAAATCTATGATTGCCCTTGAAGCTTGATGTTTGATCAATTTGTTTCCGTATATCTGGACAATCCTCAAACACCTAAAAGATGTAATATTTTTGTGTTTGATGTATAGAAAAAGCATGCTTTGCATGTATCCTTTAAGGAATATTTAGTATTGTAACACTTATCATCAAAAGTTATATTTCAGTAGTTTAATCATGCTACAAGCTTTTAAAAAGTCATGGTATTAAAACGACGGATTGCTCTCGATATCACAGTGGATTACCCATTTAGACCTGTTTAAATCGGCGAGCTAAGTCTAATTTGTAAACTGGCCGTTCGTACCAAAGAGGATAGTCATCCCCACATTAAAATATTTTGTTATTGAGAATACTCACCAATATATTACTTAAGCAAAGGTATCGCCTTTTGCCTTTTGATACTCAGTCTAGCAGTAAAACTCTACCTACATTGTTATGCAAGGATTAGTTTCTACCATACTAGCAATTTATTTTAAAATGATCCACAAACACGCTTTCTCAGCTTACCCTGTACAATGCGGCTTGGTTTTCTTTCGAAAGTCCTGGTATTCGTGTGTAAAGGACTTCGAGCAGAGTGGTCGAACTGACTGGGTGAGGGCAAAATTCTTGTAGAAAAACCACGCGCTTTAAAGCCATTTTTCTGTAAGAAAAAGTGGCCAGTTTAACTATTACACTCAAAGCAATACCCACAACAAAGCAGACAACAAACTAAATCCACCCCCTGTTCATATATGATACTAACTGCTCATTACGAACAAAATAACATACATATAATGAGATAGAAATAAGTTCAAAAGTTCGCTCTTCGTTAGTACAAGATCCACAACTGTTGAGATTAATGCATGCGCTAGGATTGCCTCTAGTTGCTGAAATAATTGAATACAAATAATGTTTCAGTGGAAAGAAGATACATACAGTGCGGTTGGCGCAGTGAGCTATTTGTCTGTCATGAAATCAACAAAATGCGATCTAGAGTAGTTTCTTCGACACAAATTATAGAAAGGTTTCACAGACAGAATGAGAGCACATAATCTTGTGAAGCACAGACCCAGCTGAGAAACCCTCTCTCTAAGAGTCGTCGTTCGTCTATCGTGTCGTTCTCTCTCCCCTTTTCTATCTCTTGCCCTCCTTTCAATACAACAAAAACATTCACTTCGAAATCAAGCATTCGATAACCAATAACGTGTGCCCGTGTTTGCTCTTATATCAAATTGAAAGTTGACGAATTATTCGAAATTTGTGCGCGATAACTGCGTCCAGTGCGCCAGACATTCCGCAAATAGTCGAGCGTTTCCCGAAAGTTGATTGAGATTGGCTCAGGCGTTAGGGATATGGCGCGAGCGCGAATAAACACGCTTTGCGCTTAGCGCACAAACAAAAATACCCAATCGGCCCAACCCTGCCCGCGATAGTAGATGTGTGTCTGTGCATAGATTGCGTGTAATACTGCTGTTCACTGGTTTTCGCTCTCGCTATTTTCCCGTTTCCTGTCTTGTTGCTGTTGGTCCCCAACAAGAGGAGGGTAGTCAGCTCACAAGAGGTAAAGCGTTCGGTACGTTTCGAGTGTTAGACACAATCTCATAACGACTCTGCTGTTTGGGCGGCTGCTAGACTCTCCGCTACGGGTGTTGTTGCCAATACGCCGGCGGTTACACGTCTGGCTAGTCTTTACGTGCTGCTGCTGCTACTGCCGCCGCTGCCGCTGCCGAAAAAGAGAAGGGACCGACCGACACATCGCTAGTGACCGTGCCGTGAGACGGAACAACGGTGGCGGTGCTCTCCAGTTTGCCATTCGTCTACCACTTCAACCATCATCATCCAATAACAAGATCTATCGCAGCGACGAGAGATCTAATATACATTATATGTATACTGCCTTCACGGGGCGTTCTCCTCGGCGCGTGCATGCATTTGTGTCTATCGGGGGACTATCGTGTATTTTGTGTGTAGTCGTAGTCTATCGAACTAATTGCTGTTATTGATTTAGTGTGTTGGTCAGTCGGATTTGCACATAGTGCTACTAGTGTTGTAACTGTTGCCGTACTGCAGTGGATGCCCCCAATGTATGTCGATGTGCTACAAGCGCCGCTGCTGCTGAATGGACAAACAGACTCATAATAACAATAATAATAACAATAATGCTGTTGCGGTGTTGCTCTCTTTGACGGTCGCCACTTCGTGACATCTCCGAGTTGTTAGAATTGCAACGGGTAAGTTGCGGCTCTCATCACCTGTGGGGGGAGTCGAGGAGGTGAGGTTCATAGTATTAAATGGAGATTTACGTCATCCGCATTGGCTGATACAAATACGTTAAGACGAAGACAGCATTCAATACGATCAGTAACAATTAGAACTGTCTGACTGAATGAAAAGGTAGAATCATGTGCGATTTCCAGTCATCATGGGTAGCTGCATTTCATACACGTTTGTAAAGGACTCATAGCTAAACTCTTGTTCGCTCACCCTCCATGTATCGGCGGTACATTTTTGATATTGTTGTAAGTATTCGGAGGTTGGAAAAGGCAAGGAGAGTAGCGAATCCAAAGATACCGCCCAAACAAAAGATTCATGTTTAGCCGACTGAACGACAACTTAATTAGCTTTAAGTTAGCTAAGCGAAAGGTATCCTTAATAGAACGTTTCAGGCTTGCCATCAAAACGCTTATTAGGAATTCAGTTAATTTTATACACTTTCGTGTTTTGACATGTATCCAGCGGTCCTTATTTTAACGTACGTATTTAGAAAAATGGGTCAAATTGGGATGACTTAGAATTCGGGTATAAATGAATCTCAAAACTGTTACTTAATAAAAACGCTCATCAGTTCTACTGAACTTTTGGCGAATATCCTCTGTATTAGCTGTCGTGTTTGCTAAATAGCTTGACGGTAGATGGAAATGTGTGCCAGAAATTCGACGCCTACACCTTAAATACATCATAGATCTGCTCTGAATATCAAAATCTGTCCTGACGTGGTTTGCTAGGTTGCACTTTATCTTCCAATGGTGATGTAGGGGGGATAACGTGGTGAATACCCAGTAGAGTGTTGCGCGCAGTAGGTACGCGTGTTTCAATTTGTTGAACTGTTGCGCTTTATCCAATTTACCATTGTTCACATCTATAATAAAAAAATGTCTCGAAAAATACAATTACTTGAATGCTTAACACTAAATGCCAATGTTCTACACAGTTATTCTGAGTGAAACCAAGAAGGAAAGTTTTTTGGTTTGAATTAACTTGTAATAAAAACGTAGAAAATTATATGCATAGAAAAAATCAGAGAGTACCCCAATAGGATTGTGTATATCAAATTCAAAGTTAGTTGCCAATTGCTTTTAAGAAACTTGTTTTGTTCGTATAATCCCGCCGCACAACTGTGCTTGAACTAAGTAAATATAATTGAATTAATCAGCCATAATTAGTTAAAGGAAACGTAAACACAATCTAAATGTTCAACACCAATACTCTAACGAAGAGCAAAAAGGTAAAAATTGTTTAAACATACTTTTGTTCTCAAAATGATCTATTTTTCTTCGTTAGTTATCTTTGAATGAGTCGGAATCGGTTATGACCTATTTTCAAGACATTTATTGTGCATTAAATATTAGTAAATATGCTTCTTTAAAGATCTAAGGCTAGGTGATAGATGGTATTAACGAACGGCATCTTAAAAATGGATTATGTTCGATCAGCTGAGGAAGACTGATATTTGAGCGAAGTTTTCTTGTTCGAATTTCCTCGACTGTTCAATATTTATCATACCCTATGAGTGAACTTTTAAAACAATCGACTAGGAGGATTATACAGATTAGACAGCTTAGTAATGTCTTCCCATTTCTGGTTATCTGTGTATTTCCAATTGTTGTCATGAGAAATTTCAGCTCGAGGATGTCATCTCCTCCGGACGACGGAGGAGGACTCGGTAACGATGCGAATAGCAGTCTTAACAAGAGCAACGGCACCAACAGTAATGGCCCCGCGGGGCCTGTCACAGCAGGGGCAAATGGAGCCAGCAGCGGCAACATTAGAAGCACTAACGTCACGTTATTTTCTTCATGTCGCTTCTGCGTATCTCCGGCCGCAGCAGAAGAATGTCCAGCCCTGGCCGGACAAATTGAAGCTCATGGTGGCCGGATTGACAACTACCTCACGGATATGTCGACACACGTCGTTGTATTAGATCATGATCGAGATTCAGATCTTATCCTTGAAGCGACAGATCTCTACGAGAAACCTGTTATCACTGTGTGTAATGTAGACAACAGCCTTCATTTGAGCGAACCAATTGATAATTCAGTTGTTAACCTACAAGCCAATCGAACAAAGGCATAGTGACATACATTTAGCCTATATTTGGTTAAAAAATAAAATATATATTGTTTTTGTTCATGAGTAGTACCATTGTGTTTGCTTTCTCTTCTAGCCTCGATGGGTAACGCTATCCCTGGCGGCTAATCATCTATTGCCAATGGAGGGCTTCAATCCCCAACGCCGACTCTTCCATGGCAAATTATTTTGCCCATCAGCGCTGGCTAGGAAAGATATTCACGCTCTCTGGGGGATGATCTCTTACCATGGTGGCCGGATGCAACTAAAACTTGATAACAAATGCACTCACCTACTGACAACAAGGTTAGACTCATAAAGGAATATTTTACACTTCAGCTCATAGGAAAAGCAATGTTTAAATTTTACTACCTTAATATGAAACATCCCTTTATTGTCAGTGGTACTTAAGGCTGTTGCAAGTGGCATCATAAAGTTTGGATTCCGCATCAGTTTCACATAAGTCTTATTATCTATCTTGAGAAGTATTAATAATTACCCTTTCTCTAAGCAGTGAAGACGTCACAATTATATTTCAACTGTAAAGCAAGGGATAAAAGCTAATGCAGTCCCTCTGGGAAATTTACTTTGGAAAGGTTGACATTCTCCAAATTTACGTTTGCAAATTCTGTTGTGCATTTCGGGTGTATAGACCTGGCGGTGCAAAGTACGCACGGGCTGCCAACAGTCCGTGGATAACGATTGTCACACCTGATTGGATTGTTGAGTGCGTAAATCAGCGAGAATTGAGACCTCCGGAACCATTTCATCCTACATTGTTAATAAAGACGTCGCCGATCGCAGATTCTACGACTCCACCGAAACTGACAACGACGCCTCCGCAGCAGAATTCTGCTATTCTGCCAGAAGTGAAGGTATTTTTTGTTAAGTCAAAAAAGGGTTGTAAAAATAGTCATTTCCAAAGCAGTTTCTTCTTGGACTATCGTTAAATGTGGTTTATGGTTCAAACACTGATCAGCCATTCGAAGCACTTCGATAATCAGAGATTAGCAATTATACCAATTCCATCGAAGGTATAGAATGTCGGTAAGAGATTTGACAATATCTAGCTGAGCGCCAGGGAAGAAGCAAACATTGTTTTACTGCAATTTTTTGCATATAGGGTTGGCTTTCCTGTAATACAAAGCAAAATATATCTAATTACATAAATTCCGTCAAAGCAGCGGGTTAGACTAGCAGGATAAATTTTGTGTTAAAATATATTTTGAATAAAATCGTACTCCTGGCATGCAGAGGAGATACATGGTCTACAACTTGATCAGTACCGTGCACTTTACTAAAATTGACTAACTAAGTCAAAGCACTAAACTAAAGTTGACAAGTGCTAATTTTTCGGTAGTGGAATTCGTTTTGCAATATATTTTTTGACACTGAAGACGTATAATGTTTAAAATTCGAAGCATCTCTGCTATGTTGAGAAGTGAAAACGTGTAAACAAAAATGCGTTATTTCGTAACGTCTTTCATTTCAGCCGGAGCCTGCTACTGCACCGTCACCAATTCCATCTGCTGGGCAAATGATGAATTCAACACCACTTGGCGTGCCGCAGGTGCAGCCAATGACCCAACAGCTATCTTCTGCACCTACAGGTCAACTACAGAGTGCAGGTGGGCCCGACATAAGTGGGCAGTCTCAACCGCCGAACTCAATAGCAAATCAGATGCAGTACACTTCACAAATACAGCTGGTTAACAATCAGCAGCAAGGACAACAGATGCAAATACCGGGACAACCACAACAGCAGCCACAACAACTCCAGCAGGTTAACAGCATGGGATCCACTCAACAAATGAGTATGGCCCCACAATCTCTGGGACCAGCTGGAGGTCATGTGCAACAGGTGCAATCTGGGGGACAAATATCATTAATGTCTGGGCCAAGCGGACCCCCAGGATCGATGCAGACCGGACAGCAACCAGGTGGCGGTCCATTACAAGTATCACAAGGACAGTCCATGCAAGCAGGTCTCCAGGCAATAGCGTCGTCTGGCCCACAGGGGCAACCACCTGGTACAATGGGTAGGGTTATGCAGAGTGGTCAGATTAGCCCCGGTGGCATAAGCATGGTAAATATGCAAGGGGGACAACCGGTTAGTCAAGGTAATATGGGAGGCCAACTTGCGCAAATGCTAACGGGGGGTCAACGCATGACATCATCACCTAACGGACCGACGCAAATGGGTGTCCAGGGACAAGGTCCTCCGACAGGTCAAATGTCACCGGGTCAAGGACAGCAGGGGACGCAGGTGGTAATGATAAACCAAGGCGGCAAAATAGTGCCTATGGGACAACAGCAACAGTCCGGGCCTATAATTCCACAGCAGTCTCAGCGAATGATGTTCCAACAGGGGGCATCTCAACAGATATCTAGCCAACAGATAGGCATGCCTTCGCAACAACAAACTCCTGGTGGCGTAGGTATGCCTCCAGGAACGCAGAGTCCGCAGATGGTAAGAATGCAGCAGTGGGTCTCCAAGCCTCAAGGCCAGCAATTGAGTCCACAACAAATTCAAATGATTCGTCAGGTTAGTAGCGTATCACTAGTGAAAAAACATAAAAGGGTAGTCTTTTTTGATGATCTTTAACCCAAATTTTTGTGAAGGAAGGAAATATAGAATTTGAAAGTTTTATATCTTTCATCTCATTTTCCCTTTTAATGAAAACTGACTGTTTTTTCTTAAACAAACTATTCAGCAGCATTATAGATCATCTTATTTACATGTATGCTGATTTGATCATATATTTTCACGTTTACAGCAACGACATCGTATGGTAATAGCAGGCGGTCCTCCCGGGACAAACGGCCAGCGTTTGGTCGTAGCGACTCCTGAGCAGCTCCAGCAGATGCGGCTTAGACAACTTGGTCCTGGAGGTCCAGCTCATATGCAACAACAAGGTGCTAGTCAGCAAATGATGCCACCAACGAACCAACAGATGGTTCAGGCTCAGCAAAGTGGAGGCCAGATAGTTACAAGTGGTTCAGGGATGGTTCAGTCGCAACAGCAACAGCAACAGCAACAGCAGGTCATGCAGAGTAGCGTTGGTCAGGGTGGTCAACAAATGGTTGTTATGGCCGGGGGCCAGCAACAACCAATTCGATCGATGGGACCGCCCGCACCTGGAAAACCGCTGATTCAACAGAGGGCCCCAATCGTTATGCAACAACAACAACAACCTCAACAACAACAACAACAGCAACAACAGCCACAACAAGTGCAACAGGTTAATATCGTCATCATCATAGATGATCTTACTTCTTATGGCATATTTTTTTTAAATCATTTTTAGCCGTCTTTTAAATGTCACCAATAGCTACTCACACGCTTTAATATGTTAATTAAAATTGCCATGCGTTTATTCAACTTTTTTTTAGGGCCAGGGCGGTCAGTGGCGTTTCCCTGGCGGTCCTCCTGGAGGCCCAGGGGGTGGAATAGGTGCGTCTTGGGCTGGCCAAACAGGAGGACCTCCACAGCAGAGCACCCCGCCTCTATCGCCCGTGCAACAACAACCGCCTCAAGACATGATGCAACAACAACGACATCTGCAGCAGCAACATGATCGTAAGTTAACAACGTCTGTATGAGAGCTTAGTTGTAACATCTAAGTATATTAGAACACACGTTTCTTAATCGTCACAAAAGACTGCGAGCTCAATTGTGCATTTGAAGATATTAGTGGGTGTCACATTCTCAGTCACCTTCGTATGCTGAGTCATACAACCATTCTCAAGGAAAAGGTATTATTAACGAGGAGGATTAAAAGCGAAATAGGAGTTCGAAAAATATCAGAAGCCCCGACATTTACCTCTACAAACAACATAATGAGTGTGCTATTTTTTTTCTTGAAAGGCATCCGCTCCTGCTTAAGCTGCCAGACATATGTTCGTTTTCTATTCTAAATTAAATTGATGTTCTTTAAGATATCAGTGGCATACTCTAATTGGTGTCACGACCTATGAATTTACAGCTCACTATCAACAGCGAATAGAAATGCAGCGTCGCCATATACAAATGCAACAGCAACAGGTAGGTGATGCTCCAATAAGTAAACGTACACTTAATATAGAAGTGTTAATGTTAGACCACTAACTAAATAATTGCAGTTCTGGAAGCACTAGGTTATTTAAATGCTCCATTTTAAGCATCATAGAATGATAATGATTTTTTTTTCGTAGCAATTGTTCGTTTTCAAATTATTTGATGTGTGGTTCCAGTTTTACTATCCGTATGATTATTCTTTTCAAGATTACGGGCTCTAGGGGTTTCAATGGGTAATAATTGTAGTAGTTTGCAAGTCACTCATCTATCCATAAGAATCTACAGTTATCCTTCTCACTTATATTAATTGCTGCTAGTAGATTTTCTGGCTCTAATTAATGCTTAGTCTTTGCCATGATTAACTTAGAGAAGTATCAAAAACGTACTTTTGGCGTTAGCCTGTTCCATGGTTGTTGCCCGATATGATGAATGGCGATCATTTCGTAGACAATCCCGCCATTTATGTTCACTTATGTTAAAATAGCCCCGCGGCGAGGAATTCGTTGCAAATATTGCGACCATTGCCGTTTTGATATGCTCGTTTGCCTGCCTGTGTACATATCTATCGAATTTTGCTTCATAAGTAAGAAGATCTCTTCTTTAACAGAAGAAATATACCACTGAGTTTTACAATTGCAGCATTGTTGTACGACATGAAAAGGCTATGGCTTAGAGTTTAACGTTTGTAGTGACTAATACATTTTAGCGCCTTTCGATTTTCTCTAACGCAAGTTACACATATCTGCTTTTAGTATTGTTCATTTTTCATTTAAGTTTACAAATCTAATTAGACATTCTGGGTCAAACTGCCTTTTTTAAAAGTCACATTTGGAGCTCAATTCCCCTATTGCATTTCCTCCTCATGCTACAGATTCGGTTACCGCATAATCTTTGCTTTCGAAGAATAACTAAGGTAACCTTCTTTAGTGTGTTTTGTTTTGGTTTTATACTTTTGCATACCTTCGTTTTCGGTATTTACCATACTTAGCAGTTTCGGATGACTATGGAATGATTCTGGGGTATCACAATAGAAAAATTTTGATCCGTACAAAGGATTACACTAAACGAACAATCAACTTAACTACCAGGTTATAATAATCTTTTAGGCACCAATATCGTCCTTGATTTTTAAGCACACTCTATAGTTTAGTCACACGAAGTGTATTCTACGGGGCATATACAGTGTGAGCTCTGATACTACGCAGAGTCAAAATTGTTATCTCGTGCTTTGCTGTTCTCAGGTATTTCTTCCCTAAGAGTAGTCTGAATCTCCTTTAATCATCTTAACGAACTCGTCGATGGTACCATTCGTTGGCTGTATGAAATTTTCCTTTTAAAAGGCCCTTTCCAATATTAAAGAAGTTGAAGTGTTGAGTCGCTAAGTTGCAAAACTGTTGTGTGCAGCTGCAACACCTTGGTTTAAATGATAGAAATTCCCAACTACTGCGGCCCAATTACGCATAAACTGATTCTCAAAAGCTCAAAGGAGTATAGTAAGAGAAAGATGTTCAACTATCCTCAGATGTGTGCCTAAAGTGAAAGGCATTCTTGTTTTCCATAAGCAATCATTATTTCAAATATTTACTCATTGAAGACTTTTTAGTATGTAACAATGATATGGTCATCAATAATGAGTGCAGCCACTACTTCATGTTCTGAGGTGCTCCGCTAACCTCTCAGATGTTTGATAATAGCCAGTTAGTATTATGCAAAACTAATTCAGCGGGTAACGAGCGATTTATTTGGTATACTTTGGTTTATGATAGTCTTTGCTAGTATGGATGTTATATCATAGTGCTGAACATTTCCATGAACATTGTTCTTACGATTAAAATTATAGTCGTTACCGAAATAGATGCCCAAGCTGATAAATGCGTTTATAACGATTTAGTTTCTGCATTCGAAAATTAGAAAAATATATGTTTTCATATATATACAACTGTAAAGCAGGCGTGATTCGAAAAACTGAAACGATGCAGAAGCTTAAGTGTTATTATGTAATATAAGTATTCTTTACTTTACTGTAAAGCTCTGAGGTTAAATTACGTTTGGATCTATTATCGCACGAAAGAAATAAAGATTCAATGACACACACCGTTATAATGTTTTATGTTATTATTGTAATTCAATTTCTTAGTTTACTTTTTGACATGCTAACAATCTCGATAATGTCGTTGGTTGACATGACCTTGACTGTTGCTGACATCATTGTTGTTGTGTTTTACTCTTGTTATTCTTGTTATTTTTGTTGTCACTGTTATTGCTGTCATCCGTATGAATCAACCAATCGACGATCGATTAATGATTGTTCCGTCAAACTCGTTATTTCCGTATTATTGTTGTGTGGGTGTATGTCATCATGCGCGTGTATGTGTGTAACGGTCGTGGTCTGTCTCCTAGCCGCAGCAGGTAGCTGGCGGTACTGGGGTTGCTGGGGTGACGACGGTGGTCACTTCACCGGCGGCAGGTGAAGTCGTAGTCGTCGGGGGCCAACAAGCCCAGTCACCCCTGGCATCACCGGGCGCCCCTGTCACAGCCGCGGGACAGACTCTCGCGTCGACAACCGCTACCCAAAATTCCATCACCCCAGCTTCTACCCCAACCTCCCAGAGCCCAGGTCCTGTTGTCGTCCAGCAAGCACAGCCTCCTTCGTCCGCCCCTACAGCCACAACCCAGATCCCGCCCAACCCAACAACCCAACAAACCCCGACTACCCCGAGCGCTGTTACCAATCAGCTCAAACCTTCGCCGGGCCTTCAGCTACAAGGGCCGGTATCATCTACCGCCGTTGTCCAGCAAACGCAACAGCAGCAGCCACCAGGTGGCACTGGGACTGTCGGCGTCGTTGGCCTCGGCGGGCAGGTGCAGCCAGCTGCTGCGGCAGCAACAGGCCAGTTGTTGCAGCAGCAAATCCACCAGCAACAGCAGCAGCAGGGGCCGCAAGCGGGGCAAATGCAGAGTCCGCAAACCGCCAGTCAGCCTCAGGTACCCAGCTGAGTAATCGAGCCATGTAACCATCAGTTAATAAGGGGAAAGCAAGGGTAGGGCAAAATGAATGAAAAAACGGAAACAGAGCGATCTGTTTTGTAGGATTACACTACAATCGTGGTCTGTCTTTGTCGTCGTACGCTTATAAAATTGGGGCATCCCCAAACTAAAAAATTGGGTATCTTTAGTCTATTGTGGTAATAGTCTATTTTCTTGTAAATTCGATACCTTTTAATAGGGCATTTAATAAATCTAGTCGAGAGCAAAATCTGTGCACATAAAAGTTCGGTGTATTCTCGAACTATACGTTAACAGAAAGAAGATTATTTGGCGGAGCCACCTTTTGTTTCTATCCATATTGTTTGTCATGAACGTCTTCGGCAACGAAATAACTAATATACACAATTAGAAAAGAATTAGTCAACGCCAGAGAAGGCTAACCAGCTCGGCTATTAAGTATTAGTTTATCCACAACATAGGATACTATAGTGTATTAATAAAACAAAATTCCAAAAAATTAAGAAAGCTTTTCAGGCTAGTGCTAAAAACTTTTACACTGATTATGAAATTGAACGGAGTGTGAAGTAGCTTTTGTATCTCCAAATCGTGATTAAAGAAGCGCTATGAAGAACTGTAATAATTTTGCTCTTGGCTAGACTATAAGATCAGCGGTGATTTTATTTTCGGCAGAGATAATAAGGGAAAATACGCTCCTATGGAAACGCTAAAACGATCGCGAATTTTAAGCTTAGTTATGAAAGTGAACGACCTGTGAAGACAAAGGCCAGCCATGTTTGTATTTAAATGGTTTGCTGTGGTGCTGATTTGGCCTCGGATGAAGACACCTTGCTTTGCGCTATTCTATAAGCAACAAATGGTTTATATACCTGTATACTATTGCATGCGCTTAGAATAAACGTTTTCCCCGTTACGGAAATTACCTTTGCGCCTAGCATCGTGGTTTATAGCTATAAGACCGTTATAAAACTTTTGAATATATTTTATGTTAACCCTGAGATGTACCTTTCCTTGCATGACGCCAATTCAAACAAGCCACATACTTGAGACGCGCCAATCTAGGCTGGTATACCTGATATTAACTTAATCAACTGAACTGATCACTAACCAGCTAATAATACTAACATATAATACTACTATGCACTCAGATCTAAGTTGCCACGTAGCGGCAGCAGGGCAGGTATGTATATATATCTTGTGCATTTTTTGACGGTAGTGAGTGAAGTTTGAGAGTTCTTACACGGTAATAGAGAGATTTGATCTAAAGTATGCCGTTGTTGTTACTGTTGTTGTTGTTGTTGTTGCTATCGTTTGCTGCTGTTGTTTTGCTTATTGTCTTTTCTCGTTGCTGCTCTTGTCGATTTCTTTCTTTCCCATGCTGCCTCTGCTGATGCTGACACTGCTGCTGACTCTGCTGGCTGGCTGGCAACTTTCTCTCTCTGTGTGTCTCTCTTTCTCTCTCTCTGTCTCACTGTCACGCTCTGCCTCTTCCACACCATTTTGTGCCGTTCTGTCTCCATCTACCGATGTCCTGTTGGCGCACACGCGTGCGATGGTATGTGCGTGCGATCGCGGAAACCGCACACGGCAACGACTCACTTCGGCTTCGGCTCAAATGTACCTTAATCGACATAAATTTACGAAAACTAACGACAACTCGACATCTGATGGTGCTTCTCATCCATATGAATACACACCTGGTGTTTGGTGCCAATGGTTGCTTCATCGGCATTTGATTACGATTTCTTTGGATAATCCAAAATGATGACAGTCGATGGTGGCTGTTGGCGGTGTCGGCCACATGGCTGGATCTTATCAGGCGCATACGCAACTGAGTCCTTCGGGTGGCCATGGAGGTGCTGCAAGTACCCCTCCCCCCGGCCGAGTAGGCGTCGGAGTCCTTACCATGCACAGAGGAGACACAGGCACACCTCCTTTAAGTGGTGGCCCCGGAGGCCATCCAAATCATATGAGTGGCCCCCATGGTCCGCACCACGGTTCTGGCAGTGTGGTGCATCAAGGGGTTCATCATGGCCATGGGAGTTCCCATAGCCATGGCAGCGCTCACGGTGGTCCTCACGGCGGATCTCCGCATCCACATCATTCCCCGGGACAGCATCATCAGGTGATAGCACCTCGAGCAATGCCGATGTCCCCCTCCGTCGCATCAGGCATAGGAGCGTCAGCCGTGTGCGCCGCTACATCTAGCCAGATGTTACGCTCAGCTTCACCGCAGCCCCACCATCCACTTCACGCGACTCAGCATCCGCAACATCCACAAGGTCTGCTACCACACATTCATCCGCAACAACAACAACCTGGTGGCCCACAGCAACAAATCCAGACTTCACAACAGCAGTCACAGGTTCAAGGAAACCAGTTGCCCGGAAACGTGCATCCGAAGGTAGACATTCGTCATCCGTTTAGGTTCAACTGTCGTCAACAAAAGCAGCAAATATAGCTAGGGACAGCAGTAATAGCTGTTGAGGAAAATAAAACAACTGTTCTTGTGCAAGCTGTGCAAGCCAGACAGGACCCTCGTCATTCGACACTCAGTGGCATCGATGCTAATTCCCGATATTCGCGAATGCGTAGACGGATGTATTGTAGAATCACAGATAGACGGACATGTTGCATGGGGACAGAACAGAGTTATGGCACATATAGTGTAAAACAAACACCTTTGAAATAAGATTCTGCTCGGTCGGTGTTATCAAAAGGTTGTAGTAGAAATGATGTATAGCACATGTTTGGGTGCGCACCTCCTATTGGATTTGTTGCAGTACTAAAGCAAGGCAATGTACAAACACAATGCTCTTCTGAAGAAAGCTACAATAGTTGGTTTCTGATCTATAGCTCTATTGTGCGTGTTCTTAACTTAACGATGGGTGCACCCTGGGTCTGCGAAATGGCGAGTCATTAACTTGAATTACTTTATAATAAGAATAACACGGGCGTGGAAAATAACAGTCGCCTAGCGTATCCATTTTTAGATGTACATGTCACTTATGTAGCTACACTGATTTGCAGATGGCGACGCAGATGGGACCAAATGGTCAACGTATGATAATGGGGCCTCATATGCAACGAATGCCTTTGGCCCCTGGTGGACCCTCCATGGCGCAAATGCAGCTTGGACCGCCTGGAACACAAGCTCAAGTGGGCACAATTGGAGGGCCTCATATGGGTGGTCAACAGAGGTACGTTGGACCTATGGGACAGCAGATGATTGGACCACAAGGTCAAACCCCTCCGGGTGTCAAAGTTAATCCACAAACGAAAACCGCTTTAGCGAATTTACTCAATAATAGGCTTGGTGGAGGAGGACAGCAGGGTGAAATGGGACCAATGTGCCCTCAAAATGGACCGCAGCCTCCAATGGGAATGCAACCACAACCCCAAGCAGGTCTATTACAAGGCGGAATGCGATGCTATCAGCCGACGGGGCCTAGTGAGGGTCAATCAATGCAGCCAGGCCAAGCTCATTCGGGTGGGCCAGTGAGTTATCGACCGGTTGGAGCACCCTTGGTTCGAGCTGTCCGTCCCGACGGTAGCATGCATGGTCCTTTCATAGGGGCACATAGCCAACATCCGCATGCCCATGTAATCGCTCAGGAGACGCTAGTTGGCCATGAACAATCGCCCCACCTATCTGCTGACACGTGCTTCCTCGGCTGCGTCTTTTACTTTTTGCTTCATCACTCGACTGAGTTCAACGCTGAGCACATCAGTATAGCAAAGGGTGTGTGTGAGGAAAAAGGTATGTTTCATTCATTACGGCCACTATTTTTATTATCTATCTAGATATGCAATATCTAATCGCAAAATAAGCTAATCTACTATTGTGCGCCCTTGCTATCATTGTCCACGTCGTATAGTGACTTAATACTGGTTTTTACTATGGTCTTCTATAAGGCGGTACTGTGGCTGAAATGTATAGCCTGGAAGTGACACATGTTGTCTGTACGCATCAAAATCAGCTTGGTGTGGAGCGAGCACTTCGGGACGGCAAGCGTTGTATCACTGTATATTGGATCAATGACTGCGTACTGCAAGGCAAGATGGCCCCTCCATGGCAAGCACTGCACCTGCCAGCTGCGTTTGGGCCACGAGAGCAGCCTTGCGCGCAACACATCATATCGTCGACTGGCTTCAGCGGCGAAGAACGGTTGCGTATCCGTACGATGATTAATAAAGTAGGTGCCAAGTACTCGGCGTGTATGACGCGAGAAAATTCATTACTAATTGTCAAATCTCGTCGTTGGGCTGAAAGCGGTGAAAAATTGAAAAAGGCCCATGAGTGGAACATGGCGTGCGTCAGTGCGCAATGGCTCAGCGATGTAATGCTGGGGCACTATGAGGCTGTCAGAATGCCAATGTCACCTAAGTACCAGGTACGTTTAATGCGACAAAATTCTCAGCTTGTTATTGTTACTCAAATAACAGTTTTTACCAGTTGTTAATGCTATCATCGAACCTTTCAGAATAAAGCAAAAGGCAAATGTTGACACAAGAGGTAACAGACGAATGTTCATGGTTCTATGTTTAATTTTCAGGTGAGTGAAATGGACATACCCTTTCTTCGCATCGACTACGGAATAGCGCAAGCCCTTTTGATGGCATGGAAGGTGCCTATCAAGATATCGGAAGATCAATGGAGGAGCTTTTCTGAGTCAGATCTCTACCATCGCGTACAGAAACGAAAGCTAGAAATCGCCGAGGAAGAAGAGGTGATTCGCAAGAAGAAACCCGCAAACGATGAAAATTGTGTCACTGTAACTAACCCGAATCCACCGTCCGAGGGCCAGAAGCCACTAGTCTTGTTCTCGGGAATTCAAGATCCGGAACCCCTCAAGAAGATGGTGCGTATATATATAGTTTTTAACCTTTATTACTACGTTCGTTCATGGCTACATCTGAGCAAAATGTGGTCGACATCGCCGATTTTTTGTGCTCAAAAACTTCATCAATAACACACGAAAGGTGAGAGTGCGTTAAGCTGCTTGAAGACCAAAGTATGTCAAAGCTTGTCGACTGCATTCATAAATGAACTTGGTGAACCAGTAGCGAATGACAGGATACCTATTATGCTGCTTTCGAATACGTTGCTTACTGTTAAAGTTCTTAATCAGTTGAAGTGCTGATGTAGTGTTCATACATAAAAAATTCCGCAGTGATTTAAGTAGTAAGTACAATAGATTTTTTAGATGTTCAATGTTGCAAGCAAAATGTTAATTATGGTTTCATTCGTGCTAACGTATGTAAGCTTTGTTCCCTTGGTGCAGATCCTCCAACTAGGTGGTCAAATCGCTAAGAATGCCAAGGAAGCAACGCATCTGGTATTAGCAAAATTCTCGCGCACTATCAAGGTGATGTGTGCGGTTAATCATGTCAAGCATATTTGTTGCCCCGAGTGGGTACACGAGTCACATAGAGCTAATACTTTCCTTGGTGAGTATCCTATATTTATCTAAAGAATAGCATCCTCTAAATATATACATATGTAGGTAAAATCTAAAATAATGACTTGGTTTTTTTCTTACTTTATTATTTATTATATTATATTGTCTATTGCTTGTGCCGGCCATTGTATATATTTTCAGTCATCACAAAAGCTTTACGATGTTTATATTTAGTTAGTCGTTATTGTTTGTATTTGTATATTTGTTTTTATTACAGAAAATTAGAACAGTAATGGCACTAAATAAAATTCACAGTTTTTTTTGTCTTAATTATAAAAGTAATAGCTAGATACATAGTTCACTAGGTTCTTATCTGTTTTTCTTTGCCTGTTACTGCGCTAATCTCTAATCTCCATTATTTTTAGACCCCACCGAATATTGGCTGCAGGATTCTGATGCTGAAAAGCAATTTGGCTTCAGCTTGCGCTATATCCATATGCAGAGACAACGAAATGCTCCTCCGCCTCTCAAAGGCTACGTGTTCTACGTCACACCAGGATGCTTACCGACGATACCCGTCCTGAAAGAGGTTGTGGAAGCGGCTGGTGGCAGTATGTTCCTCAACAAGCGACCTACCCTCAAGCATATCAATCAGTTTAACAACAACAACAACTACAGCAACAATAATAATAATCACAGCAGTAATACAAATAACAGCAACAACAACAGCGTTGGTAGCAACAACAGCAACAACAATAGTATGAATAGTACCTGCACTGGAAACAGTGCAAATAATAACGGCAGCAACAAGGACAATAGTGAGTTAACAACAGCAACTACGACAACAGTCTCAACGACAACGACGACAACAACGACAACTAACAACTCGGCAGGAGCCGGTGTGACGACGCCGACGACGAACGTTAATGGCGGCCTACCCCCTGCCAATGACGGCGCCTCCAGTAAATTCATATGTGTTACGTGCGAGGACGATCTGTACATGTGCAAAGAACTTCTGGACAGGGGCGTGCGGCTGTACAATGTCGAGGTGATTTTAACAAGCATATTGCGGCAAAAGGTTGAACTTGACGAGTACGTCCTCGATTGTTGCATTTGAGAAAACATGACTGCAGAAATGTGAACGAGAGGAACTTGTAGAGATACAAAGTCAAAGCTGCTCTTTCAAGTTTTTGATTGAATATTGGACCACACATGAGCTGATCTGCCTGTGCCAGCTACTCGAGCCAACTAAATAGTACATTAGATTTATTATTACACGAAAAAAAGAACTATTGTCGTGGGTCTAGGCGATATAAAAAAAATGCGAAAAAATCTATAGATTCCGGTGCGTGCTGCGCGTTTAGGCTCGCCCAAGCATCGAACGCGCACGCAATGTATATTAAAATAGTAGAATTTATATATATATATATATATATATGCAATTGATTGGTTGTAAACAACAGCGCGACTTGCGAAACAATGGAACTATGTACGATCACGTTGAGGATTCATAAGTGAAAGATCTAGGTAGTGTGTGCAATGAAAAGGAAGTATCCAAGGAAGAACAAGTAGAACTAAACCCGTTCGAGGATTTAACTGACGATAGTGATGCCAACTAGAATATGTGAGAGGGAAACATCGTTGTGGATTTTCATCGTCCATCAGATGTTAAATAGTGAAAGGTAATTCTAGAGTCCCGTAAGTCGATATACACGTGTGATTGTGTATACTACGCTGGTGTACCGGACGATCCTTACATGACAGAGTAAGCATATTTTCCTCATAGGGCATTAGCAAAATAAGGGAAAACGACACACCTTTGTATCGTGTCATACTGACATTGCATAGAAGCAAAATCACACTTTTCAATCACAAGTGACGCAGAGAAGAATTCGCAGTCCTTCAGTTTTGGCTTTCGTTAGTTTGTCATTTTACAGGAAGATTAAGAGAGACGGTAGCTCATAAATCTGTATAAATTGAGTCGTTGTAGTCACTGTAGTTTAGGTTGAAGATTTTGTGGAAAACTGTTTCGTAGCTGAAATTATCAATTTTTGACTGAATCATATCGTTTTCACTATTTGCGTACGACTTGCGTATATTTTTTATACAATGATGTACACTATTGAATTTTTTCATCAGTTCAATCCTCCCGCCACCTCACCTCTTCGTATGGAGACTATCTCCAGTCATCAGCAAATTATACGTGTGCACAGCTTGAACTTCATATGCGCAGCGTTAATGCCATGTAATTATAACAATAGACAAATTTATTAAATCAGACACATGTAACACGTTATTTAATAGACGAGAAACTGCAACAGAGCTTATAACTAAAATACTATTAGATGTGTGATCTAAAAACTGATACTTGTTGTCAAGGTAGTTTCGTAGATTTACATCGATAGTACTGCATCGGCATCGATGCGGACGGCGTGTTCTGTTACTTTGACAAGTACCGAGTATGCGAGAAAAAAAAGAAAAATTACGACTAAATGCAGTACCGATCTCACTCATTTGTCCATGTAAATGATATTACAATTCTATTATGATTATATAGACTTAATTATTTTACCGTTGTAATCTGAATTGTCGAGTATTGTTTGTATGTTCAATGCTATATCACTATTACTGCTGATATTATATCGCGATGTAATATAAAGACGTTAGAAATGGGAAAAAGATGAAATATGAAATGTAAATAACCGTGTAAATTGTCGTAATTAGAGCTGGACCATTAACGAGAGGACCAGCTGGATATATAGTAGGTAATTACAGGGAAGGGAAACTACCTGGGTAAGAAAGGGGATAGGTTTATCCTATAGGGTTTTTCTGCAAATCAAGAACCTGAGAACCTTTTTAGTAAGAACTCTGTCGAAGAACATGGCCAACAGGGCCATCGTTGGACATGTCCGAACCGGGTAGATTTGCGGTGTCAAAAAAATCGACGATCAAACATGACAACGAACTTTTTAATGAAGAAAAAGAAATCTACTAGAGAAATCCAAACGTTGTATTTATTCAAAATATATATATATATATATATATATATATATATATAAACAAAGAACGCTTATTAGCAACACACAACAACGTTATGGGCCTAATAGTACACGATATCGTTGAAAGTGAGAGAAAGTCTATCGGACAATCGTAAATTTCAAGTTTCTTTATTCTTCTACCTAAAGTTCAAGCCGTTTAAGTTCATCTGACAATTCTTTTTCTTTAGAGATTTTTTCCATCTGCTCCGGGTCGAGGGACTCTCCTTCAGCTAACCGTTGCTTCAATACGTAGATTTGTGACAATTTCTTCTTAATAGCTGTCGCCTGAAAATCGCAGAACGCAATAAGCAATAAAAAAATACTTTTAATTTCCTCGTCTTTTTAATTTCGTAATATTAAAAATGTACGAATTGGTTAATAGTCAGTAGGTCAAGAAGGAATTACTTCACGTTTGTAATAAAAATATTTCTCTCGTACTGTCTAATTGCCTACCTTACGATCGTCCTCGTCAAGTTTGCTGAAGCCAAAATCGATCACAGGATTTCCCACCGGCGGCTCCGATGGTTTGGCAGTCTTAGATTTCTTCCTATTTTTATTCTTTCTGTTTTCTTCCTTTTTTGCCTCTTCAAGGGCTCGAACACCTGGGGGCCGGTAGGCTTGTTTGGACGCCTTAGGCGTCGACTGCCTAATGCCCTCAACCTTCTTAAAGACAATCGTAGGCTTGGCGTATTTATTGGTTGACTCTTTTGATAAGCAAATCTGCCACAGTTCGTCAAAGCTTTCATTGCCATCCTTACTCGAGGCAATTTCGCTCTTTAACGCCCCTGAGTAGTGCCACACCTTAAAGCCATTGTTGACTCGAAGTCGCGGTGAAAGTGTAGCTGTAAGAAAATGCATGCCGTCAACGGAAAACTCGAGATGTGTTGTATCTGGTATTTCCATTATACTGATACGTTTTTTCTGCTCGACATCCCATGTTTCGACGGTGCCCTGAAGGTTGCCAAAGCCCGCTGTCAGTAGAATGTTGCCTTGTGGATTGAAGTAGGCTAAATTTCTTGGACCCTCTTCTATATCCCATATGGGAGAGCATTTAAGGTTGAATATGGTCGCCTTGGCTGGCATGAAGCCGTACACAACGCAAAACGTGTCAGTGCACCATTCCGTATGGTAGATTGGACCTTTCTTCTTCAACTGAACAATGCAGCTGTCGCCCTCAACATTTGCGTAATGCAACGCCTGGTCGCCGTAATACGAAGTATTGCTTTTGTCAACTTCGTTTGCGGCAAGAATCAGAAGGTCAGTGCCTTTCGCATTCCACTTGAACGTGACATTGTCGCATGTGAAGAACGATTTTGACGCCACTGGATCACTTGAGATATCGATATTATAGATTCTACAGAACGCGGGTTCCCCTTTTCCGCTTGCCGGCACATAACAAGCAAAGAACTTTCTACTTACCGACGGCGACAAGCGAATATCAGTTACGCGTTTGATATTGACCTGTTTAACGTGTTTCGATAAATCAGTAGGTTCATACAATAAAACCGTATTGTTATACGGTCGTGCTAGATACGCCTCGTCGGCGAACCAGTGTGGTTCCCAGCCCGTTTGCCGGCGCTGTACATACGAGTGAACTGTTTCGCCCGTGGTGCAGTTGACGATAAAAACATTTGGCATTGGTTGCTCGTTAGGTTTACATAGAAACGCTGTAAGAATATTCAGAAAGGTTGCCCTAGGTGAAAACTGAATTCCTTGCACTTTCTCGAATGGCAGAGTCTGAAGACGTTTGAGCGAGGGTACCTCAACCAGATGGATGCCCTGAAACAATTAGAAGTTTATTGGAGAAAAACTTCGTGTCAGTTTTTAGAACGCACATCGCGTTTATCCTTATGGAAATAAAAAAATATTGCCCTTTCAATTTAAATATATTTTGAGATTAATTAGGACAGATAGTACGTGTAGAATAGAATACCATAATTAAAAAAATTTGCTCAATTCAAGGAGAGGAAAATTCCAATGCACCACGGTTTCATTTGGTACACCTCCGTGAAACACGGAATAGGAAGGACGTAATAAAAGTATATTTCTGTTAACTGTTAAAAGTTGGGTGGTAAGCTGTAATAAAGAGACACCTAGTACTATGTACCCTAGGGATAGCGGGAGATTGAAAGATGTCAAAAGATGAATAAGTAGAAACAAGTTTATGAGCGGCACGTTTTAACGTGGAGAAGAATACCAGCGCACATATTGAGTAGTTATAATTTCCCCACACATTGTCTCTTTATGGAAATGTAGGTTAGACGGACATCCACTGATGTATAAAAAAAACTACACTCGCATTTCAAGACGGAAATGCGCCTTTCCTAATAACGATTTTCTTAATCGATAGGAATTAGCGTGATATTCAAAATGCGGGACATGACAGGTGTACCTTCCGGCTAGCATATGCAAGCATCTTGCCATCTTCACTCTGATCCATAAATTTACAATCGTCATCGAGCTTCTCTTTGAAGATCGCCTGTGACTTGTCATTGATTGAATACACTAATAGGCCACGGTTGCCACATGCAAAGACGAGTCTCACATCATCAACAGCCATAGTGGCGGCATCAACAATTATTATTAATATTAAGAAAAGTGTACAGTACTCCTACTATCCTTATCGTTTGCCGTTCACGCTCTCTATTTTTTTTTTACCTGCACTCTAAACAAGAACACAGATTGACCACACGTTCTAAACTGAGTCGCCGTTTACGGAGGCGACTGTCGGAGAATACCAATATCGTCATGGGAGCGCCGTATTTTAAACTGACAGCTGCATTAGCTACATCAAGGTTGTCGAAATTGTTTAACGCAACGGATAAGAATTAAGGGGCAAGAATCCGTGGTCACAAGAAACCGCCATCTTGCTAAAGAGTTTGTTATCATCGCACTGATCGTATCGCCTGTGCCTCATCGCGGAAGCGGTATATGTGGACCAATTGTTTTTAGGCGATTTCACCATGGCTTACACCTAAAAATAAAGGAATTCATAACTGTCTTCATGCTTAGCCTCTTCATAATATAATGTTAACCATATAACAGGCTTAATAGTGGATCATTTTGTGGAATCATAGAATTTGTCTATAAGTGCACAGATATATAATTACTGGTAAATCTGTGCAGTCGATATGGGATAACGCACATTGAAAATAAAGCCTATATCTTTTCTCAATCTCATATACGTCGTTTAATGTATGAAAATACGGAAAATGCATAACTCCTTTAGTGCAATGGGTCGTTAAGGTCAACCTTGCTGTCGCTCTATATCCATAAACACCCGAAGAAGTAATCACGTTGAGCAAATGTGTACAAAGTGATTTCATATTCTGTAAATGAATAATTATCTTGGTATAAAGACACCACCCCTGCGTTAAACGAACTTTTTTTCGTACCCAGTGATGTTTCTCTTAATCATCAAATTCGGTGATGCCTGGGCCTCGGCGGAAGTTCAGCATTTTCCTTATCTTTTCCTTTCTTCTCTCAAAGCCAAAATCCTTTCGTTTGAAAGTTCCGAGCATCATCGGTATGCTAAAAAATCCAAGACATTTCATAGTAATACTTTCTTAAATACATCTAATTTGAGCTGCCTAAGCTAGGCTCATTAGATATCACGAGATCCAACAAGAAACCGTATAGTATTCGAGATCTAATTAAAGCGAGAATTCATTTGAAAAAAATTGTGGCGATGGTCGCTCGCGTTTAGCATGTTGTAACACATTGTGCCTGTTACAGAAAGCGCGCCTGTACCGGCGTAGGCCTTGCCGATTGTTCGCTAAGCCGCTGTCAATCATGCCTAGTTGTGAACGCTTTAGAAGTTCTCTTTTGCTATATAGAAAATGCAAGAAGATCTATAAATAGATATATTAATTTTTGAATCTTTAACCCAGTCGACCTTTTCTAAGCTGAGAATAAGCATTTCGGTTGCCCATCCCTTCTATTAAGCGGTCGGCATAGAACGGCAACCCGACGCTTTCATGAGAACGAGCCGCCTGGAAGAAATATGTACGAGAGTTCCGCCTCACCGCGGTCGGCGTTGGCCAGTACCGCTCAGTTATTTGGCTATTGAAGCGCATGCAAAGACCAATTCGGCAATTTAATTACTAAACTCAGTCACCTCAATTCAATCGCCAAACACCATTACTTGTATCGGCGGCCGCCACCGTCAAGCTATCGAACACAGATATCGTCATCAACCACCCGTATCTGATCTACTCTTGGCAGTTTCTAGCTGTCTGGTGCCTATCTACATATCTGGCCGACCCGACAGTCTTTCATCAAGCGGATATATGATTACAGTACAATAGATACTACAACAGACAGTGCATCCGTTCTCTAGTTCACGCGACAGCAGCAAGAGCACAGATCTTAAACACGTGAGCATAGGTTGCTTTCTGCGTAGCGGTTAAACGTAAACGCCAAAGCAATATCCAACGACGAAGTCTGCAGCAGTTTTTGTAAACTGCCACCGAGACCGACACGGATAAATGTGGAATGACTCTGGCACAATGCGCCGCCTAGTAGTGCCGCGTCAATATGCCGCACCACATAACATAACAGCAGCCGCATGGCGAGGGAAACACATTTTTCCGCATTTTCTCTCTCTACTTTATATGTATGAGGGGCACACGAGTACAACCAGTCTGTGTTATGGATGAGAAGGAAGCGGGTCAGCGCTCTCGTACCTACGGACGCAGTGGTTAACGAACAAAGTAACGAACACAAAAATATTAGACGACCGGCCAGACAAGCAAATCGATCCATATCGGACAAGCTGACCGACTGACAGAGGGACGGAGTTAGTTGCTGCCCGCTGCTGCCGGTAATCGAAGTGTGTCATTGTAGCCTGTCTTCCGTAAACAGCATCGCGTGAGTTGAGCTTCTTGTTATAGATGCTTAATATTGTGTTTTGTTGTTATAAGCTTCTTAGACAAAACCTCTTAATATTAATTTTGTAAAAGCTGGAGTTTATTTTCAAAAATCTATCGACGCTAGTTAGACATCTCTGCTCGATACATGAGCCGAAAAAACTAACAGATTGATTTTGCTGCCCAGAGAATTGCATTTCGAGAACTGTACCATAAATGCACAGTGACGCCAAGTTGCTGAAAATGAATAGTTAGTAAAATTTTTAACTTTAACAATTGGTGCTGTCAATGATTTTTCTTCCACATTTAGACTACTCATCAGTTAAAAGGGAAGTAGCGATTTAACGAGACAAAACGACACTGAGAGGACTAATGACGTTCAGAGAGCAGCCATTGAACAAAAACAGAAATGTTGCCCTCGGAATCTTTTGAGATTCTGGTGTGTTATTCTTAGCGTCTATTTTTGTAGTACATAGATCAGGATAGTTAATGGGTTGGTTCAATTCTACTTGGATAATGCAACACTATTTACCTATCTTGGCACTGACATTACGAAATATTGTCCGCTGCTTGCAAGTTCATCATAAGATGAAATGAAGCCTAGCTATGATAACGCTCGACTGTTTTGACGCCGATGCCTCAAGTAAAAACGAAGCTATACGTGATCACAACAACCGATCATATTTACGGCTATGGCGCTAAAGTAGTAACGCTCGACGTTTTTTCCCCACTAACCGATTGTAAGATGTACTGTGTAAGATGTGACTGCAACACAAAAGTAAGCTACGTATGTTCGTTGTGAATAGAACAAGCTTTAACAGAGAGCACAAGTGTTTTTGGTTTGACTCTTTTCGCCAACCGACCAGCGAGTTACTAAGTGGAACTACGATCAGATCAGGGGTCAGAAATCGCACCTCGAAATCTGACCACCTGACCAAGCTATGTGAGAGAAAGGTACTGCCATTTGAGCGCGCCACGATTTGTGTGCCAACTAAAAGACCCTGAATTTTTACTCGTGCCACTACAGGCTGCTTCGCGCTTAAACAAGCAATTATTTGATCGGTGCTATCCAAGCATACATCTCTTTACTGGGAGCGAAATTTCTTGCTGTATCTGTAAGAAAAATAAATTCCCGTTTGGATGTATTGGGCTTGTCAAATGATGAATGGGTAGAACTTAAGGCATAGATGGTGCCAGCTCTGCCCTGTGGACGTGTTTTAACCTTGATATGGTCGTGGGCATTGCCCTGAGTGTAAACAATCGCAGGGACGTTTGATCGCTATGGGTTATCATCGCATAGTTTCCATCAGGTGACCCAAACCTATCGAGACTCATCTAAAAATAAAAACGTGGTTACCAACATAACCAGGTAATTAACGTGTCGGAATGGCTTGTTCCTGTTATCGTTACATACAGATAACTTCTAATCTGGATTATCTGATGATGGAATTATCAGCTGAGGCTGAGTGAGCAAATAGCTAACCATGTAATAGTTGACGAGTCTACGCAACAAGGATACATTGTATCAGTAACATTAAACTCTATTCTTGTAAGTGGCTGCTGTCAGGTGCCGTTAATGGATCATATCTTTAAAGACAAGGTTGTTTATTATGCTATGCATATTAGATATACAATATGACGTAGATTCAGAGGGTCAGCATCTAGTCAAATTATGAGTGTCACAAAGTATCGGTAGAAAAATTGAAGCATGATTCTGAGTCCTTCTTAAGGGCTTTCATGCTTGGTTCCGAGACCTACACGTTATAAACCATGTGAATTTTAGTATCACTATCACTGTTATTTTTTTCGTTGATATTGTATTCTATTCTCGCCCTCGATGAGCCGCAGGCTGAAAGCCACGTTTAAAATCTTCTGAAAAGGAAGTTTCATTGTAGTCTTCAATACTTTCAAATTGCATTTAAATCAGACAGATATCAAACAATAATTTGGCTATAGACATGTAGCTGTGTCCGACTTGGAATAAAAATATATGCAAGGAATCTACGCAAATTAGAATAGGAAAACATATTGCGATGATCATTGAACTATTGAAGTTTTATTATAATATAGGCTTATTATAATGAACAACAGTATAGTAGAGTTGTATTTTATAATCTATTAAATGAACCTCAGCACCTTTAGGGATAATCTGCTATTGAGCATCTTCCGGTAAATGTTGGACCTGAGGTCGAGATTTAGCACTTTTTTTATTTTGCATTTCAGAATCATGTCCCTTTCGGCGGTCATACGTGTGGCGGTTCGTGCCGTTCACCCGTTTACGCGGAAATTCACTGCCAATACCCCGTCAGCGGTAATACTAGAAAACCATAAATTCGGTAAGATTATTATTCGGTAAGTGTATGACAGCAGGGCTGTGACTGAAGTAATTGCTACATATTAAACTAAATGTTTGTAGTGTTACATTTTACATCTAGACAGGCAGCTAGCTCCCAGCACAAGGCGAAGTGTGCTTATTTCAAGTTAGATCACCGTGTGTTTCTGAGATTCACAGACAAACACGTTACCTACTGAGGCACCACGGGGACGATACTTATATCAGCAAACTATCGAAGATATGCGATCTATATCTGATATATAGAAACTGAACCGACGTATTGAAAAACTGTCGTTTATTTATTATTACTTCGTTAAGTGCTCATGACTGTTATATAGCAATACGCGTCGTGGCTGGCTCAAACGATTGTGATTGAGCGGTCCGGCTGCACTCTCCTTTAAAAGAGAACGAGATTAGTCTGTTGTTATTTATTGGTTTGCTATTAGCTTCCTGCGAAGTAGCGTATATATAGAAAAATTTGGCGTAGATCTTATTGGCTCGAACACCGTTCTAGATCTCTAAAAAAGGATAAGCAGAACTGTACAGTTGAACTCAATTTTCAACCAGGCCCATACATTAAAAACGCGCCTTATCCTGCGTCGAATTTAGGTATGATTTTGCAAAGTTTCCACTGCAACATCGCTTCACTTTTTGCTGTTGTAATAAATTTTAGGAGATCTAAGTGGTCTCCGAACCGCAATGCTGCACAGGTCATCAGTGGTGATGACAAAACTCGAGTACGAAGATCTAGTCGCGCTTCTGGGTGGAGGAAACCTGCATCTTGTTGACGTGAGAGAGCCGAGCGAAATTCGTGAGACTGGCAGAATTCCTGGCGCCATAAACATCCCACGTATGTTGAAGATTTCAAGTCACTAGTTGAGATCTAGCGACAATCTACAATTACTCTCTAATAATAGTAATGATAACAATATTAACAAGAACACGTTATGTATTTCAGTTGGTCAGGTAAAACAAGCACTGCTTCTCGACGACGAGATATTTCAGGAACGGTTCCGCTGTGAGAAGCCGCTGAAGCATGATACAAACCTCATCTTTTACGGCCTCGGACCAATTAAGAGCCGCGCTGCAGTCGAGTTGGCTCGTAAAGCCGGCTATAAGAGGTAAGAAAGAGCAAACAGCACACACAAGCTGATTTTTCTCACCTAATCTAATAAGTTCCTGTAGGAACCGACAGATGGCGCTAGCGTCGGACCAGTTGATCATATCAAGCCGAAACTTACGAGGATGACTGTTTCGACAGTCGGCCGTAGGTACGATAGACTCGTTATCGTTAGAAGTGGTAATTCGGCACGTTCACTCATGAAGCTTGAAACGATGCATGCCGAGGTATATTCTGCACTATTTTCGTACTAGAAAAAGTGCTGTCAAAACAAAAATAATTGTTTGTAAAGTCGAAGAGGAACGTTGGGTAAGCGTTACCACATGCTAGTTTTCGTTGCAGAATAGGAGACTCTACTTGAATGACAAGCCACACTCTGGATGGCTACCAGAAGCAAACGACGGCGGTGAACTGCGGGTACTCTTTAAGCGAAATGCGGTGCACTCGACCTGAGAGAGCTTTCTGTACAACTACGAGTGATCCAGATGACAGTTGTCAATCGTTTGTGTGGGCTGGCAAAGGTCTAAATCAAAGAAAACTGGACTTCTATGAATTTGGTAGAAACGACAAAGACGTTTGGTAGCCCGCCCCTCGTTGCTTGCATGATATAAACATTTCTATACAGGATCGTTTCGCCCGATGAAGGACTGATCGTTTGTGATTGCAAACTGCAATTGGTAGATTTTTTTCCAGTTCGATTCCGCGAAGAAATATTCATGGTTAAAGGCTACACTTTTGCATATAGCGTGGTGAGAAGGGAGTGTTATACTGTGTAGGTACATAAACTTAGGAAAGAATTACAGTAGATCTCTTACACAGAATGACTTATCTGTCGCGAAAATGACAGAAGGCCTTGGCAAAGGGCGACGAGAAAAGAGGTATTTCTGCATGATAGTGCTATATTCCTTGCTGCTTTGATGACCCAGAGAGCGCTAACAGACATCCAATCGTAAACGCTACCCCACCCGACGTACGGTCTGGTTATCGATGCTTTTGATTATCTTTTGTTGCGGCTGAGGGAGCTTGGCAAGGAAGATAAGCACTTTCGAACAAAGGCCGAGATCCGTAAATGGATCGACGAACGAATCACTTCCAAGGAGACCTTTCCTACTTTGCAGGCACATGGGGTGCCAGCACGATCGGCGAAAGTAATAGGACACTACTTCGATTAAAAATTGACTACAATTAATAATCTACAACTATAAAACAAAGTAAATGGCTAAAAAAACAACTGAAATTTAACTTAATATCTGCCTACAATTCGGAGGTACTCAAGATTAATATGGCCAGTTTGTCGGGCGTATCGCAAAGGTAATCTTCTCTGAAAATTGGATATTAACTTCTGCTTTATCGCTGCCGACGAATTCGAAGCTATGCCTCCAAAATATGCACGAATTCGTTGGCATTGTTTTGCCAATTTTCTACCACCGAAAAATTCTGTTACCTAGTGCAAGTAACGAAACGTAATTAACAGAGTACTTTTTACAGCGGTTTAATGGCACGACGATATTGTATGAGAAAGTCTAGTGTGCTAACAGAATCATGTTTGTGTGACATCTGATTTTTGTACAATTTTACTGTTTATTGACTATTTTTCTATCTTCCAGTTGTCGAGAGTACAGTGGAGGTCTTGAGGATTGGTTAAAGCATGACGGAAACGTGGAGCGTGTTTCAAGCTGAAAAGTTTTCGACATTCCATGTTGATTTTACTACATATTCAGCCAGGTAGAACTTCTACGGAGGATCGCCGTTTCAAGTTCTAATTGAATTTTAAGTATATGCACTAAAACCGCTAGACGATCACTCTCAACGACATTCAAGTAAGGATCAAGAAGTAGAATAAACAAGTTCGTCTTTGTAGAAAATCATTTTTGAACCATGTTCTGGGCTATATCCATAGAGGTAGCAGATATTCAACCAGTATTTAAACAGGTAAATGTTACGAAGAAAAGTGGTTACGAACGCCTCTGTGTGTGATTATGTCGCTTGTTGCATATGGGCACGTGGTAAGTGGAAACGATAACAATGTTAGCAAATGAATATTCAGCGTTTAAGTTTGTGCCGAGATGTCGTCGCGAATTAGAGATGAAACTGCTAGATATCAATAAAGCACTAGGGATGCCGAACACGAGATTAGGACGATATGCGCTTTGGATTAGTACTTTTAACATAAAAATAAACTTCTATGTACGGTTGGCCATTAATGTATGTTTGTATTTCGCTCACTTTCTTTCTTAAAGGTATTAATACATCGATGGTCGAAATCAAGCTTAGGGTGGACGCGGTGTGCAAAAAATTAGGTTCCGCTTTTTTCGAAAATTTGTTTCAAAGCAACCAGAGAGTCTTATATGCCCGCTTACGCATTTTCCTACGACTCTTGCATGTGACACAATGATGTGATATCTTCCATATTTCTTTTTAAGATTTCTGACATGAATGGTGGGAGATGAAATAAAATCTATTAGCAATAAAGGGTTTACATGGCCACTCATTATGCAGTATATATGTCGAACGAATGTTTGCTCTAAGCAATTGAAGTACTGCGGAAATCCAATTTGTTTTTGTCCGAACCTTTTGTCAAGAAGGAAGGCGAGCGTGTTTTATATGTCACATTCATAACTAATCATTTTAGAAAGTTCATCAGCTTCAAGGCGTCTTTTAAGTAAAACAACGACAATCCTGTAAATATTAAATATGTTTCTCGTTATTATTTACGTATTGAAGCCAATTATGCAGGAGTTTCTCAACAACTGACTTGCTTTTATTGGTATTCTATCATCTAATCCAGTCATCGACAGGCTTGTCCTAAGAACTTAATTCCCAGATTACTAGCCAGTTAAAGGACGCTACAAGTAGGCTTGCCACGAGCGAGCTAAGCAAGCAGCACTAATAGTTCAACCTCTGCTTAGAGATCATTTGGAACAATATATTCATACTGACTGGTTCATAGAACATGTTGGTATCGGCAGCCTTATGAGGTTTGCTTATAGGCCTGGGCAAATACAACACCTAACAGTGACCCTACGCGTAAATCGTAGCAACCCTAGCAAATCTGCAAGAAAATCTAACAAAAACCCCATTGCATTTTCTTAAAATGAACGAACGAATGAATGAATATATTAAAATATTAAAGTGAAAAATGTTGTGTTATAGTTATACAGAACTGGATAAAACGAGAGTTTATAGAAACGATGCATTCAACGAGCAATCTGGAAAAAGACAGTCAGTCGCCGTGTAGGAGACATTCGAACTATTTAAATATGTACAACAAATAGGGTAAAAATAAAATCATCGTACCATATTGCTTTCTGCTTTAAAATTGCATAACGGTATAATTAGCCTTCGTGATACCAATTCATAAGAAAAAAATTAATTATTATAATAATGATTATTAGCATAATGTTATTATATTATGTGTACACACAGTCATCGAAAGGAGTCCCCGATTTTTTACTAAAGACTTCGGAAGTTTATTCCAAATTTTATGCGGAATGATTATATGAAATAGGGGTGCTCAAATTGGCGTTTCTGGTCTTCTCAATCAAAATTGTAGACCGTACGATACCGCGTGAACTTGTCATACATACTTTTAGATCTTAGTGTTCACACAAATAGAGACCAGTAGAAAAAAAAGCTGTCCTAATTGGGGCTCTTTTAGGGTAACGTGACTCCTTTGAAAGATGCAGGCAAGAGACCTGCACCTAAATAGCCGTTGCCCGTTTTAATCTATGGCATAAATACTTCCGCTCTCTAGAGTACCCATCTTTGTGGGACCGAAAACTAGCTTTTTACACGCAGATGGTAGTTCTTTTTTCACATTTAGGATAAATATGACGTTAAACAAAACTGAAGTTATGAGCCTTAGTCTAACAAAGGCATGGTAAATGTAAAGGAATTACGATGCTAATAGTGGTGTGGAGTCACTCAACCTCTATGTTCGTCCACAGGCCACAGTGGCCTTCGTCGCCAGTGTCAATGCACTTCTAATTAGACACTTTTGTATCAGTGTCAAACTCTCAACGGACTTTGCCAGATTTATATTGGGTTATCGATTTTTCGGTGGAAGGTTCTCTGGCCTGAGGAAGAGGACTCCTTCGGGTATAAACTGAATTAAGGTCAATCTAAATATTTTCAACAGTATCTGAATAGGCAAGTGCTTAAAATTTTTTTTGGTGACTTGCGTCAAAGCATCCTTTACAGGTCTGGCCTTGAACATCTAGCTCCTACTTGGAACATGTACTTGGAAAGTTTTTGCTTTGGGACTACCTGTGCCCTAAATTTTTTCAAATTAAGTGAATATTTCTACGACAGATTCACATCTTGCTATTTTCTCGTCTTAGTCATTCTCGGCCGAGCAATCAAACGAAGGAAGCGGCAGGTGGCTGACGTCTGTGGGTGCAAAGCGATACCCGCAGGTCGCTCTCTCATTAGAGTAATTCTATTCTAATTATCGTTATTTTCTATATGTTACGGCGCATGTAACGCCCTTGTACGACAAGAAAATACGATTGTCTAGGTAGAATTGAGTTCGATAGAGTAAGTTGTTGGACTCACAATCGAGCAATAGTAACTTCTATCTTTGTAGGAAACTCGGCGTTTTTTTCAGTTTATAATATTGGAGTAAGCCTTCAGTTACGTACGTAGAGAACGTAAAACTATCTATCCAAATTTAAGATAAATTGACATACACAGTGGCACAGGCATTATTGCCCAAAATACCGGCGCCGAAAGGTTCCAGCCTAAAAGCAACACAAAAGAAATTGTTGAAAAGCAGTAAGGATACCTCGTTATTCGATCTTATGTTCATGTGCTTTCATAACAGATAAATGAAAGTTAGTTGAAACATATTTGGACTTTTTGAGGCTAATATACTAGGATAGGGCGAAAAAGACCTCAAATAAATGCCCTTAGTAACATAGAACCCACGCAGAGAGTTTCACTTGATGGCCGTTTCAGACTCCAAATAATCTTCTTCCTATACACTTCTCTGTTTAATTTAGAAGCTAGCAACCTTACACAAGTCCAATAAGCTATCTTAGCACTTCCTATCAGGTCTCTGTAATCACTGTTTGATTCTATCAAAACCCCTTATACATGTTGCGACATGGTCATGTACAATAGAGCAGTGTTAATCAGTACCTCTAAACTAGCGTAGAGAGCATAGAAAAAAAAGCTTTATATTATTTAACTCACTGTATAGCGTGTGCATGATGTTTGTATCTGTAATGTTTTGCCTCGACTGTCCATAAAACAAGCATTATACTATATCTAACGTAATTCTAAATAACATTATCGTGAACATATACGGTACGATATGGATAAGGATTTATGTTATCCACATGAACTTGGATGCACTTTGAAACTTAGATAAATAATACATTACTGTATCACTATTAGGAGCACAAAAAAACGTTAGAATAACATCGATTGTCAAATATTTCCTTTGTTCCATGTTACGAAACTTAGAAAAATTTACAAAAACTTACCAAGATAATCTTTCGTGCATTTTTTTGTTCCAAAAACGTATTGAATGCATATTTTATTTGAGAAAATATTATCGAATGTAACTTACCTGTCAAGATGGCAAATTTGAACGAAGATGGCTGTTTCCTTGGAAAGAAATCTAGTACATAGTCTAGAAAAATAGCATAGAAAATCTCATCATGTTCTTCGGAAAATACCAACAATTATCTACTACCACTAACAGTTGTTTTCTGAGAGGGCTAGTCTCAAACATGTCGGACGTGGTCCATTCGTAAGAATAAACGTTGATTTAGATACCATATGTCGATGTATACATTTTGCAGCAAGTTAACATTTAATGATAGTCACATGCTAGGATTTACGACCGTCAGCTCAGTCCTTTGTACAATATATGATCGTGCCCGCCGTCTGACATATTTGCCCATACCTCGACTTCTAACCGTCTTCTGAAAACGTAAAATGCGATAAGCCATTGGTCCCTTGTTAATTAGCAAAGCACATGTTGTCTTTCGTCTGTTGGATTCCGATTGTGCTGCTACAGCCTTAATATGTGAAGAAAGCACACACTAACTAATTGGATTCATTTCATCCTTGTGATAGAGCAGTGGCTAACGGGTTCGCGTATTAATCTTAGGGATATATGGCGATCTAGGTTCGAATCCGGGAGCTAGCCGTCTATAATAATTCTTAACGGCTTAAGAACCGGGCATAAAACACAAAAACCACTAACGAACAGAATGCGCAGTCCTGTGCTAGCCACATTTTCTCGCGTGGTGTCGAGGTTTCCTTTCGTATTGCTTCCCTCTACGTGTGCTGCGTTCCAGTACTATGGTTAGAATGGAAAATACGGCTGCGCCGTACTGGTTAGCGCGTGGTACAACTGGCCGCACGCTTTGGTTACCCCACCGAGACAGTGCGAAAACGATGTGAACTTAATAACAATTTGTTCAGCTGCTACGGAGTAGTAATGGTAACAGATTTAGTGGGCAAAGAACGGGCGGTTTCGCAGACGGGCATGGGGAAATGGTTCGTCCCGGCCGCTCATCGTTCGGACGTAGCCTTGCGTACTTCAATGACGTACATGCGTTTATAACCAAACGACAACGGTTAGGGGATATACTCCTGATCAATGAATAATATATTATCGTGAATAATTTATTGTATTTTTAGTGCTATGGCAAACGATTGCCATAAGAGAGCCCACAAGCAGAAGGAAATGGCTTATATAAACAAATACGCAGCTACTACGAAGCAGGCTTTCTTGCATTTGCTCAGTGAACGTCTATCACGCTGCTATTTTAAGCAATTTTCGGATCGGAATGATCGACGCTTTAGACTCGCAGTAATAACTATGAGAAATATACGTGGGCGCCTGTTATCGAAGCTAACCCAGAATTTTACTTACTAATTGCACTCGTCACATCTGTATGGTGCGTGTATCGTCGACGCTTATGTTCCTAAACGAGAAAAAGCGTAGGTTACTATAGCAGTGTTCTTGATACCTAGAAAGCTATTATTTAAAGGAGTGCAGTAAATACGTTACGTATTTTACCCACAGTTTTATTTGCTCGGTGGTATTGATTGACACCTGGAAGGTGAATAATACACAGCTTTTAGAACTCCAGTTAGATGTTCAGCCTATGGCGTAAATGCTTCAAAAAGCGTAGGGAAACTCCGGAGCGAAAATCAGCTCAAATATTAGAGCAATACCTTCCTTGGAAAGTCGGTCTCAGAAGTGTATGTCAATATGTATGTATATATATATAGAAATGGATATACATATGTACGTGTTTGATCACCCGCAGCTGTGTATATCAGGCAGTTGTAAAACTGGCACTTAATACGTATTCTCGATCGTATTCTGCGCCCAAAGATAGTTACGTGTTTAAAACTGAGAACATTACCCTGATAGAAATTGCTTGAGTAGTGCGTTGTTTCGACGCGCGTTGGAAGCCGGTTTTATCGCACTTAGAAAGAGACGAGAGCTCAGCTGCTTTTTTTTTTTTTATTATTAGTTAATAACTATTTAAATCCACGTGCGGTGAAGAAAAGTGCATGAACTTCCTCTTTCATCAAAATCATCGATATAATCTGCGTATGAAATTCAGTCGTTCTAGCCGTCATTCTGACAATATGGCACCCCGGTTAACTAATTTACAGAGCTAGATCTCCCATACGTAATCTCCAGAAAGAACTAAGCTTTATCTTCAATATTACATGTACATTATAGCAATGAACTGTATTGCTCGCCATATGATCTCGCTATGCCGATGCTCATTTTGTCAAGGCAGTATATATACTGTTGCATAAAGATAGCTGAGGCTGAAGCCATTTATCGAGGACTTTGGTGTACACTGAATGTTAAATTTGCCTGACACCTGTCTGGCCGTATAGGTGATCCTGAGCACAAATCAACGTCGATAATGAAGATTTCAAACTGTTTTTTTACATACTGCTTTGATTTGATGTGGACAATTTTATATACACACAAGCGCAGTTTCGCTTTATAGAAAAAATAAGTTTAGATGGCAATAAACGAGCAGGCAAGCAACTGAGTTTGTTTTCCGCTAGCATAGAGAATCTAATGCTCGGGCAGTAACATGTGGCCAATATAAATGTACATAATATTTTTATATGCTAAGATTTTAATAGAATGCGCGAGCTCTTAGGCAAAACAGGTTCTGACAATCGGCTAAAAGCCTTGATGCTTGATGTTCAAACGTTACCAATGAAAATAAATTTGAATTTAAATTGTAATGGTAGAGGGCGATTTGATCACCTAAAGAGAACTAGGGCCTGATCTTACAGCGGGATTACCTGACTATCAAACCCGATACCCGAAGTCATCAATGGAGCGCGAAGATCGCGGTCCGAATAGGTAGCCCCTGAAGCTAGATTGTAGAATCGGTCAAAACGAGACAAGGCAGTTGCCAACTTTCCGGTAAAAATCAATATAATGAGCTTATTATGTACACTTGTTTGCATGTGTTTATTGCGCTTCATACGTGTTAGTGCCACATAAATATAGCGAAAGGTAGTGTATACTTTTACTTTTGAATTCAATCTATAATCGTACTGCAGTCAGCCAAATACGAACATCAAGTTTATCATTGTAATTAATCAATCATCAATTGGAATACGATTTTTCTTCGTAGATGCATACTGTCGCACCTCAGAACAGGCATGAACAGTCTATGTCTACTCAAAAAAATAGATCGTTTATTTACTGTGTGTACAATGGGTAAGAGTGCGTGTCTCAATTACAATATATGAGCGAATACCGTACAGAGTATTGGCAAAACCCTATTTTTCCTTTGGCTAACATAAATACTAATGCATCAGAAACATTTCAAGTTGAATTAATAAAATGTTTTTTCTGAAATTCACATAACAATTGTTGTGTGTGCAAAAAAACACCTGGATATTACCTACCCGAATAACAGGAACTGAGGAAAGTCGTACTGTGTGCTAGAGTGTTTTTGTTCTTCAAACAAAATTCTGTTGTGTTAGATATACGTTTAATGTCGGAAGTTCTCTGAAAACGTACACTTAGATAGATTTTTTCGGTGCTGTACCAAATTATTATTGTTAGTCAACTTTGCTATATTTGTATACTAATATAATAGAAAAAATTGTCAATTATAGTATAGTCAAGTGAACGCTGAGAAATAGAAGCGTACGTCGTCCAGTGAATCTGTATTGCTTAGAGCTATTATAGTAGCTATACAGTACGTAACCATAGTGTGGACCTATGCGTATATGTATATGTACTCGTATTAATAATTAAATCGTTTTATTGTTCGTGGTCGTGATCATCAGTAGCCGTATCGCCGGCAATCGTGCGCGGTGCATATCACTGAGACTATCTGTCCTTATAGTGCAATGTCCTATAGTCGCGCGGGACGGCATCTATAAATACCATATTGAGACTTGCCCACATGTATGTATAATGTGAATGTACGCTGTGATGAACGAAATTTATAGAAAGAAAAAATATATATATATACATACACACATTCCCTACAGTTAATATACAGTTAGCTAGCTTAAGCTCTCGTATCAAACATGAATGAGCAGTAAACGGAGGTCCGCCCCCACACAATCACAGGGTCTTATGGCAAAGCAGCGGTAGCTGTTAGTCGATCTGCCGAGTGAGTCCTGCCCATCGTTGGGCTTCCCTTGTTTAGTGGTCAACGGCGCGTTTCGCGAGTTTCCGTTGGCGCGGCAGCGGAACACGACGACCCTCCCGACGAAACGATGGGACACCGCATTAGCACGCACGTAGAGTCCCAGCATAACGACTCGTAGACAATTTCTGTGATGGATCAACAATAGAAAACTTCAACAATCAACAAGCAAGAGGCCACGTGTAACAAGAAGACAAATGGACAACCCTCAGGGGCTGTATTTAAATTTCTAGTAATAAAACGTACATAGATAATAGCGATAATAATCAAGTAGAAAGTTTAATGGGGTGATCGTTGTAGACTGAGCAGATAGCATTGTGCTAGGCTTGGCCAGAAATGCACTCATAGGATAGATACTTGGATGATGGTTGCGGAATCGCTGATCCCGCAGAACCGAAGATGACCATGTGTTATTCTTTCAAGATAGTACGACACAGCTTATGCCAGGGATTATGAACGTGAGATCAAAATTTGATTTCAGATTTCTTCAGTAGTCCAGAATTGGTGGATTTATTTTACACGAGACGTAACAGACAGGTCCTACTTTCGAAGAAGTCAACTTTATTTGTCATCGAAGCAAAGGAGTTTTATTCAAAGCGGGAAGTGAGGCAAGCGCTATTTCAACATTAGAAATAAATTTTACATGATACATAATATTATTATTGCTTTAACTTTGTAAAAACTCAGACAAAAATTGCCAGTGGGACAAAAGCTTCGACTGTGTGCCTACAAGTTTTCATATTTGAATTGAAAAAACTGTCGAAATTTAGTTTAAGCATCGCTGGATCAACTGAAGTTTCAATGGCAGTTAACTTCAAAGGAACGTCTCACTACATTCGCATAGGACAATATGTTGACTATAAATACTAAGTTAATTGCCAGGCACTACCTAACATTCTTTTCCAAGATATAATAACTTTGGTGCGGCTAGTGCATGCAGAAAAACGGAAGCGTATTTATAGGAAGAAAAGGAGAATAAACTCTTTAACAGCGCCCGTCGCTAACTGGATGTCTGGCCTTTTCCGATGCCTACAAACGCATGTCTTACACTGAATTGAACATTATGAACATTGTTTCGTTGCAGGAGACAGGCGTACAACCTCGTTAACATCACACTCATAATGGTTGAATTACATTAGACGTGGAATGAGTAACTGGGTCTGTGGTAGTTGGACGAACCGCTACGCTAATCTGTTATTAAGAGCCTTGGTAAATAAAAAGACGGCCTAGGCTCCACGGTTTAAGGCGGACAAACCAAATCGGAACTGTTGCCTCAAGTACAAAGGACCGGTTTCTACACCATTCAGAGTACGGCAACAATTCTACATCGCTTGTCGTCAGATGACCTGTCATTTAGTACTTCCTCAAAAGAAAAAGTGTCCTCTCGAGTTCTTCCCTTGCATATACTGAGGCTACCTTTTTTTACCCGTTTTGATCCCTATATTTTCATACTTATTTGCCACCATATTTTCGTCAGAGAATCGGCCTGTATAGCGTACCTGTTCGACTTTACAGTAAAATTAGAATTTGAAGAAGACAATCGTGATCGTCGTGGGAGTATCACGCCTAGACAACGAAGCTGTTTTAGCGGAAAATTGTAGAGTCCCCTAGATGGGTTTAGCTAAAAACGATTAGAACTAAAAATGAAAAACAGCTCGTACACTCAATATCCGAATAAAAACTATAAACAAGGGTGATCTTCTGTTTTCTTCCGTCATTTTCTGTTATGAAGCAATCACAATATAACTACCACTGATAACTGGAAGACGTCTTCAATTATCTCACTATTACCCACGCAAAGGCTCTAAGTCTGACACAGAAATTCGTTACCTAAGCGTGCAGAAACTCATGTACGAAAGCAGATATATGTCATATATGCTATAAATTGAACGCTATCTTCAATAATCAAAATCAACAAAATATCTCTATAAAGGAAGTTGCATATGAGTGTTGGAATACAGCTCTGAGGTTACAGCTACTTTTGGGGCCTGATGTACAAGTCAACATTTCAAGTTTTAACTTTGGCACTCAAAGTTATAAAAGTTAGAGATAATTGAAGTATTAGCTAACTGATCCAGAGATTTATAGCGGCTACGTAAGACAGTGTGTGGAAGGCTTAGCACAAAGGTCTCAAGGAATTTCGGCCAACGGTGCTCGCAAAATTTTGAAATTTATGAAAGAAAAAAAGTAGTCAATGCATTTTTGTAGAGCATCATCATGTCTTACAAATATTCGCAAAGAAAGCCTGTGTAGAATCAGAGTTAATCATAAAGCTATGATCGTATGTACCTGCCAGTGTAACCCGTATTGGTGTTTACGTAGAGTCCGCGGCGCTAACAGGACTTACTGCTGTTAAGATCTTTCATGTACCTTTGCTCCGTGCTGGTACTGAACTTCGCATTTATCGCACTGCGGTCATTATGGTTTTATTGTTGTCACTATATTGTTGCTATATGTCGTCTTGCTCAAGATTTGGTTTACTACTTTAACTATGGAAGTACCTCATATGTGCGATTATTTATGCAAATAATTGAAATGAATAGAATCAACAGTTATAATACTACCTATCATCGTTGGTGATTTCTCATTCACTGTATTCGTTTCATGACACCAGTATAAGATGTGACGAAACGGCCACTGCCATACGTCTGTATAGTCATGCTAATAAGGCGGCGTCCCCCGCAGGATCAAAAGACAGAAGACAATGGTCTACGAGTATGTTAATGCTGATATGAGATACCGATGCTGCTGTCTCCTTCAATGTATGCTACCGTATATATGAGTCATAGCCCTTAGAGAAAATACAGTGGCGATAAATCGCTGTCACAATGCCTCCATACCACCCATCTGACGGGCTGGTCCACGCTAAAACTACCAGTTACGGGTTGGCCTCAGCGCTGAACTTGAATAAGTCGCTGCTAGCGTAAGTTCCACTAGCGAGAGTCAAACCGCATATACAGTGCGCGGTAAGATTTAGTGGCAGAAGATACTCGGCCCTATAGGGCAATGGACGAACAGTTGTATTCACGTATACATACATGTAGACGCCTCAGTGTTCCCCGATTGCAATCCGTGTCAGCAGTAATCTACGACGAACGCCCTCAAGTCTCCTTGATGGCGGTGTAGTGGGTTACCTGTCAGTCTGTCCCATACGACGGCCGTATATAAGAAGTACCACTTACCACAATGAGCAACGGTCAGTTACTTGTTTGTTCGGAAATAACTGTGTGTCGTGTGCTCCAGTCATTATGGTACGTGGGGTACTGTGACGAGTGTTAGGAGATTTAACGTGAGGTTCAGAGCGAGCGAGAAGCTCAAGGTTGTTGTCTTGTGACACGCTGATGATGACGAGTTATCGGAAGCGCTGTAAATAACGTAACCTATTAAGGTCTAATACCGTGTGCAGCTGATCTCTTTCTTGCAAACTATTGGGTTCACAAGATACACCTGTTTATGCCTGGCTATTGTCACGAACAGGTCCTGCCTGTTTCGTCCTTTTCTGGACCGTAGAGTAAACTGACGATGATATTCTCTTATAATTCAATAGAATCTGTAATGAAATTTATCTTCAGTAGTCAAATAGAGGGGATTTCACTAACTGAGTTGCAGGCGAAAACGATTGTCGGGCAGAACATTGATGTATAAGAAATTCGTCATTGATCAGGCCTTTAAATGTTTAGCTTATTTACACAGTGCAAGTATGTCTATTTATATTTCGATAAATTCCTCGACTGTTGCTCATTTTCGTGCTACCTAATCATCTCAGCAAACAGGATATGTTTGTGAAGCTAATTTGAGTTTTTATTTAAAATCTTTCTTTAGTCGCCGCTTCTAGCTGTCGTGTTGTTACTTGTGACATTGGTCGCCAGCCAACAGGTCAAATCATTCTATTCTGGTCCTATTGCCTCGTATTCTACTAAGTACAGTTTGGGTGGCGCTCAGTACGTTCCTTACAAAGAGCAGACCCAGTCTGCGTATGTCTACAAATCTGCGCCAGTGTCGCGGCGATTTGAACCGTCGATTGCCGCCCGTGAAGTGCCGGCTGAGGTCCTTACTCAAGGCATTTCTGCTGCTCCCGCATTTTCTGGACCGACTACTCGGACTCGCTACTTTTCTGCTGCGTCCATCGGAGCAAACGCCGCATCGTTCCGGCCAGCTAGCGTATCTGATGTGGCCGTGCCCGCCTATCCCGTTTCGGCTGACGTTCGCGTAGCCAACCCGGTTCGCATTGCTTCTGGCATCGAAGACCGTATCAATTACCCTCCGACGCCATATGCGTTCGAATACTCGGTCAACTCGGCGGAGGGCGGCCAAAGCAGGACGGAACGTGCAGATGGCGCTGGCCGTGTAACGGGCAGCTACACCATTCAGCTCGCCGACGGGCGAAACCGCGTTGTGGAGTACATCGCTGACGAGGGAGGTTACCGCGCTAACATTAAGACAAACGAATTCGGAACCGAAAGTCAGAGTCCAGCCAATGTAGCCTTTCTGTCCTCTGCCATTCCGGCACGCGAGGCTGTACTTCTCGGCGAACGTGACGTCAACTTTCGGAAATACGGACCCTCTCACCATAGGCAGGCGTAAGGATCAAACCACTGCTGCACTCAAATTCTGCTAATAAATTTAAAAAAGGCTACAAACCAAACACATTAATTAATGTAATTTCGTGAGACGAAGGAATAAATCGTTTGAGCGCATCGTATTTACATGTAACGTTAATCGAGTGTGCTCATTGAAAATCGTGTTTTATTTATTTAAGAAATATAAAGGCTTCAGGACATCAATGGAGCACCTTTAAGGGCTCTAGTGCGGAAGGGAGAAAAAATGAGAACAAGAGACCACCGCAAGGATCCAAGTAAGAGGAAATCTGTAAGTTAGAAATCGAAGAAGCGACGAAGGAGTGCCAGCTGTACATTTCATGCTAAAGATGAGCTCGAACTTGAAATCAAGTGTTACTCCTCGAAAGGGATCAGAGGGTAATTATGCAGAATACTCTTCTGAAGCCCAAATCGTTCTTGTAGTTCCGCCAACGCTACATGACATAAATACTTGCAAATATATTCATTCTCGTTTGTCTAACCTCAGTACACTCGAATTTGAAGGATTTGAATATGATCCAACTTTAACTGTATGACACGCCAAAGTGCGTTGCGTTTTAAAAATCAGATACTAACAGCTAAATTGCTACTGGCATCTTTTCAAGAGTTAGTATTTATATTTTTCGTAATTATCACGGACAGTAAATAGGAATGCACATTTTACGTATGGATTATAACGTAAGTTGCACAAGAGCATCCCAATTTCGATTCAAGTTAACTACTTCTAATTTATGTTGGATTGAATTTTTCTGAATTATACAAACCACTGCCAGTTTGTTCTTTACGCGAACCTATTACATTACTCTGTTAGAACATTGAAATTCACACGAATTTTTAGATAAACGTGACCGTCTAAATGGTCGAAAACGTGTTTTAGAATATCAGTTATTATTGCCAAGCATATAACTTTTTGGGTAAATAGTCGGACAAAAAAAAAATGAAAATCATGTGCATAAAATTTAAAGTGCTAGTATCATAGGTCTAATATTTTTAGATAATTTCTTATAGTTGCAAATGGTATACCTAAACAGACTAAATTGCTTATATTACAGTTATTATGTCCCACGAACCTACAGTGCATACATTTATTCATAGGTCACTAATATGTTGTTTGTTTAGAAAAAAAAAAAACACAGTTGTATGCTTGCCAAACTGGAGTGTTGAGAAGTTATTATCATTCTACATAGCCGCATGTCTACTTAATCTAAACAGTCTGACTACTTTGATCAGTTTGGTACAACACATACGCCATTTGGGTATGCAAATGTTCGTACATCTTAATTTTTCCCCGTTCAGCCCTCGATACCTGCCTTGATAGGCGACTTACGCCCTGTAAGTCGCCTATCGAAGTAAAGGGACTGCGTCGAAAAGGACAGAGAAAAACTGCCATAGTAATATCACATACTGCCTTTCGGAAAGACGACCCACTTGACTATCATATTTATTAGCGGTGTTATTGATAACAGAGTAAATCTTCTAAGTTACTCTGATGTTTTCTATGCGCTACTGGTTGATTTTGCCTTCCTCTTCAAAAAGGAATAAATTTTCTCCAGTGAATCAAATTTGTGTTAATCACTACGAGATAGGACTGTTGATCATTTAGCTAGTTAGTAAATGCGTAGTTTACCCTAAATGGTAGATTAAAACTAGTTTTGGGTTTTATATACAATCTTTCCTAATTGAATTAAGTTTTAATCAGTTAACTAATCAATATTAACTTGATAACTTTTACAATTAGTCACATGTAGAAGACGGCCTCAAAAGCAGAGAAAACACACTTTTGTAATGCCTAAGCTTTTTTTTTTGCCCTTTACCTCTTTGCGGGAGGTACCATAAACCTGGAGTTGTGAATAATTGAGAAACTTGGTGTTATATTCTAATATGTTATAGTAGTTACACTGTTTTTTCATTACCTATAGCTACCTGTTTATCGAAAATTCCATTTTCGCACACACACAGAAAAAGCATTTTGCACAGACAGTGCCATAAGACAAACATACCATGTGTGAATACGACAGGTTTATAAAACTTTTCGTTATCAGCTGCACCGATGTAAAGGACTCAATGCCTGCACTTCGCCGTAGCACACGCTAGGCCACATCTTTAAATTGTCGACGCACTTTTCATTCGGGCAGTTCAAACTCGTTAAAACGCAGGACAAACCGGGATGTATCTTTGAAAAAAAAACTGAAATACTTCGCCAGTTCGTAACAAGGACCTCTTTTGGAAAAGGGGAAGGCTGCGTACCATCACAAAAAAATGCCTACTACATGTGCCACACACTCCCCGCTGTACAAATTATTCCAAAATTTGGCATACATTTCTCTATTTTTTTGATAATAACAGCTTTTTTTTTCTCTAGATCAACACCACTTAAAGCTGTTCCCGCGTTCATTTCTGCACTCAAGGCAGCTGTTGCGCATAGATAAGCCAATATCAGGCTTCGCTTATTAGGCTATCGATATTATTACAGATAGAATTATATACTTATATATTAATTATAATTACAACTAGTATCCTAGACATCTTTTCCTAGCGTATATTGATTGTTTCGTAGTAAAGCAGTACCTTTTCTAGGTACATGCACTATACCAAAAAATTTATCATTGTAACAAAGCCATTCGATGAAATGACTTTCAACGGGGGTTTGGAATTTTTCAATCTTCTTCTCTAGATACAGGTATATAGACACCGGCTTCAACTAGCTCTTGGAGCAATCCAGTGGCTCAATCGAGAAATAAACGAGGTTCAGTATAGGGACTTAATAGATTGAGTCATAAGCGGCCGAGACGGAATAATGCTTCTCATGCTTGAAAATATTCGAAGGACCGACACTGACCTGTGTTCCGTTCGTAGAGGGAAAATGGCATATAACTTTGAAGGACTGGTAAAAAGCCACTGTAGTTAGAACCTATAGGGTTCAGGTGTATTTGCATGACAATGGTTGCTAGTTGACTCCCTACAAAAAGCCGACAGGGGGAAATTTATACATGAATCTCATACGATGAATTGCGTTGGAACGTGGAAGCTTTCTGTATAGAAAAGATTAAAAAATTGTCTGAATTCAAGTGATACAAAGGTATGGCTGGCTGGCTGGCTGGCTGCAGCAGGCAAACAAGCCCTAGCGTTACAACGCAAAAATGAGTTGAATATTTTTTGAAGGAGTGAATATAAAAGTGGACCTGAAAGTCTAGGTTCGGATTTGTATACGCTTTAATTTGTGTCCTACTCCAAAAGCCACAGCTCGTATGAAAGTTAAGAAAAACACCTGTGTGTATACGCACAGTTTACCTTGTTTGTTCACTCTTATTTCTCCTACATGTTTGATATTTGCTTATAAAATGAAAGCTCTCAAGCTAACAACAGATTTTCGTCCTATTTTGTAAACTCCCGTTAGGAAGCGTCAGACATGCATCTGAACAATACTAGAGCACAACTTTTCCGGCGAAGTGGGAGTCAGAAGGGCCACAAACGCAGGAGTGTTCATCAAAGGAACATGTCAAATTTGACTAACTAAAATTGAGAAATAGCAAACATTAAGAGCTGCCAAAGTTCATTTTCGGTCGGCCTATTTCCATACGACCTCAACCTATCGGGTAGCAGTTCCTCCGTGAGTTCAGTCTCGCCGAATACTAAACTCGACGATAATTGACCCGACCGATGAAGATTCAAATGGTTTCTGTTGGAGGAATAAATCGAAACGCGTTTCACATACCAAATGACCTCAAACTTTTTATGAAGTTAACTGGAGCCATTTACCAATATTCTTCGTAAGACCATTTCCCCCATTCATGGAATAAACAGATAAAAAAAATCGAGCGTCGCGCTAATGCTGGCTGCGTCTAGCGTCAACATTCGAGAGCAAACACGTAAGTTGTTCGGAAATGCCTTTGTTTAAGGCACCGTTATGTTGTGACCATATTGTGATTTTTGCTAGGCGTACTTGTGGGTAGTCTTGAGAGAAATGCGCTTTCTATTATTAGAATAATATGAAAGACGTATCTTTTCTTTTGCTCCAAAGCCCACGATAGACATTCGTTTGAAATGTCAGCGAATCCAGTTGCGCTTCCGGTAGATTGCAGGATCGGTTTCCTGTGTACCGGCAGCAGCAACAGTAGCAAACATCTCAGAATCTAGGCAAATAATGGGGCTGTTTTTCCTAAGCGCCTAAGGTATACACCAAATCCCCATAGGACCTAACTTACGTGGCATCAGAGAATCGCAGCGGTCTCGCTGCAAGAACAAGTATCTTTTATATAGATCATTGACAATAAATTGATGAATGAACTACCATGAGCTACTTGCATACATCTAGGTTGTATCACACCGGAGGAAGAACACATAAGAAACTGCTCCAAAAGCGCAACCTGGATTGGTTACGAGCAGAGATATAGATAGCTTTGTATTGAGAGGTTTTGCTCGCCTCGTAATAGAATCTTTTGTGTTTAGTGGGGATACTTTTACGCATTCCAATTGCACTCCGCTTCGAACGAAAAAACATCACTTACGGGCGCCAATTCGAATTAAAAGTTTTTTTTTTAATCTTATGTATATCTCAACATACCTAGCATATTCGAGCATCTTTGCAATTTGGCGCCAAATAGTAAGTAAACGTTTGGTCGAGAAAGCAAAAAATAGACGATTTTTTATTGTTATGCAAAAAACCTATTGCAATTTTTAGAGCGCGCATCTATATGTCGAGTACAGTAACACATATCGCCGCGCTAAACTGGTTCGCCATTTATTCAATAACAATAATTAACAGTGCTAGGGCGTTCTAATTCTATTTAAAGCCTACGCATAAGGAGCAGGTCTGTACCGTTGCAAAGGCAAACCGCGTTCGACACGTAGTACAGCTTCACGTGAGGGAATGTCCGACGAGAGAAAAGCGGCACCGGCTGGATTCTGGCTTTCAATGCCGAACTCGTTCATTTTCACAATTGCCCTGTAGCCGATCTCATCAGTGCTGTATTCCACAACCAGCGTTCGGCCGTCCGCCAGCTGGGTCGTGTAGCTTCCCGTCGCCCTGCCAGCATCATCACCGTTCTCCTGTCGACCGTGATTGCTTTTGGCTGTATTAATACTTAAAAGCTTACGGGGTCGGAGGGTAATTGGTGCGGT